AATCGCTAATATATTAGCCAATGTCAAACAGCAAAATACCAATGTGTGCGCCGCATGCAACTGCAGGAGGAGTGTGCCCTGATACGGATTGACGCTGGCTTCTTTCGGCTTGCCACGAAGAAGTCTATATCCGTCGCCAAGATGCTGTGCCAGATGCCACCCAGATCACCGCAGGTAATGCGTGCCCTGCAACAAAAAGACGTTCCCTAAGTACGACATGGAAAACATGAACGTTTTAGATGATTGTGGACATGTTGAACAGCCACTGCACGGTCTTTCCTGAGGCGGCGTCGCCGGGCTGATGCTGTTGCAGCAGGCGCAGCAGCATTCGCGCCCAACAAATGCGGTTAGCCAACGACTCACTGGCTTTGCTTTCTGCCGATTTCTTAAGCAAGCTCACCGCGTCTTTTTCCTACAGGTACATAAGCCAGTTAACAGGATGCAGACAACGCTGTTTTGCGAGGAATCCTTGCCTCATCCATAACCGAAGCCACCTTGCTAACAGCGTCCATCATGTGGCCTTAACCAAACAGACGATCTGCCACACCAGCGAAAATATCCATCCGAAATTCTTTTGGTCGTGAAAAATGTTTGAGAGCACAATAGTATACGATTTGCATACACAAAGGTCATTTTATCAGAATGCTCAAAGATGCGCAAAAGAAAACCGAAACATAGTATTGCCGTACCGATTAGACGAGTTCGTTGAGAATACAGGGTGACAGCCTTTTCAGCTGTTCATCGGACGTTCAATGACTGCAAAGACCTATGACGACCTTAAGACAGCTCTTCCAGTCGATTTGGTTGCTGTCATTGTCGCACCGATGGCCTGTGGCGACCCCTTCATCACCCAATGACAGGAAGACTCCTCAAGTCCGGCAAAGTGCGACAAATGGAAGTAGGCTAGTCGTTGCGCCAGGCCAGCAAATGTCAATGGGCACCCAGCTGACAACACTGAGAAGTGCCTCCAGATCTCCTCCAAGCTCCGTCGACTGCTTCGTCCAAAGTGGCCAACACGACCGATGAACTCTTTTAGAACGCTGCAAGATCTCCACGGGGATCGAACTGCTTTCCCCCTAGCCAGCTTTCCACCCGGATTTATATATGGAAGCGGGAATGCGCACCATGTCCACAAAAGAAGGAAACCGAGTTCATCCTGCAGCACAGTATCAACTACTGATGTTCATTCACCTGAGATGACAACGGAAAGCGGACCATCGCTAAGAGGAAAACGGCGGTCAAACCATTCCCTCAGCGCCATAACGGGTACATTCACGTGCTCCTCGGCGCAGAAGCGGTATTCCTTGAATTTCCTTCTTCACCGCGCGTGCCACACTCTCCGCAATTTTATCGCTCTCCGATGGATGTATCCGCAGCCAATGGGACCACATGGGCAACTGAAGGCATACAATGGAATTCAAAAAGGTGTTACAAAACCCACCCACCCACAAAACGCGCGCAACCAGGAACTTACCTGTACTCAAACAGCCAAAATCCGTGCTGGCCATCGGCTTGCTGATATTATCACTTGTAAGTTGCAACATGCACATTTCCCAACGAAAACTATCCACCGATACCTCAAACGAAAGAGAAAACAATTTTAAGAATTTTGATACCAATTACCAAACAAGTTGTTTTTTACAGGATCTAAGAGAAAATCGAGGCACCTAAAGTTTCTCGTAGACAAAGCACAGAATTTCAATCCACGGTTTAGTTTCAGTTTTCACGCAGAAATAGTATGCTTTGTCTACGAGAAACTTTAGGTGCCTCGGTTTTCTCTTAGATCCCATAAAAAACAACGTGTTAGGTGTGGCGTAGTGCAGTGGCACTGACGTCACGAGAATGTTGTATCCGCTGTGACCTCTATGTGGTGTGTTGTCCAGCATGGCAACTGCGGTTGCAGTGTGCCTTTGTTGTCCTGATGACAACGATCAGTTGGTTGTTTGCGCCCTCAGTGGCGGTTCATAATAAATACATCATGCCGCCACCTTCAAGTCGTGACATTAGGTATCAAAATTCTTGTAATTGTTTTCACTTTCGTTTGAGATATCGGTCGATGGTTTCCGTTCGGAAGTATGCGCGGCGCAAGTGTTCGAATTCAGCATGAGTCTGTGCTCAATTGCATGTTTGCAGTTTATTGGTCATTTGGTCTTGATAAATAAATTGTCGGTCGCGGACCGGATGTAACACCTTTTTGAATCCACTGTACGAGGACGCACTGGACACTACGGCGGAATAGCAGACGGTCGCAGCTACATGTCGGTATCGCCGTCAGCTATTACAACATCATCCGTTAAATGCTATCTTAATTTATGCTGTATCTGTAGGTTCTAAGCTGAAGTCCAAGAAGAGTAAACTCAATAAAATCCCCCATCACATCATCCGGGACTGTCCCCCTGACACGCACCAGCCGCCCTCCGTATTCAGCCAACGCTCCCGCCAAATTCACCCGCAAGCGCTGCCCTTGGTGGCTGACAGTCAGTGCCCTGTGATCCTATGTAGTGCAGTCGGTCACTTTTTGCAGCAAATTTTTTTTGTTTTTTTTCCTGCGGCGCGAAACAAAACGGACAACTTTTCCAGCTCGAGCGCCGCCAGGCCACCATGCTCAGACTTGCCACGGAAGCAACTCCGCAGGGTAATCGGGCTGAAATCCTGATCTGTGAGAATTGTCAAGACAGCCTCTTCATTCACCAGCCCCATCAGCGCCGCGATGTAGTCGGCGTTATCATCCGCAGAGTTTAAAGCTACCCAATGAACGAAACCCGGCATCCACGTCGAAGTATGATCGGTTGGGGCCGTACCGTTTGTGATCCTGGCTCCTTCTGTCCAGCGGCATTTGTTACCACTTTCTAAAGTTGACTGTTTCTCTCGTCAGCCCAGGTGTCTACAGGGCCTCTTTCCCTTCCGCTGTCAACAGAGATGCCTCCATGTTACAACCCTCATTCCGCTTACATCGGCAGGGGATAAAAGGTGGCAGTGGCACCTGCCACTGGCAACTGCCACCGGCAGCGGCAGTTGCCACTGTGGGTTCTGAACGTTAACAGTTCTGAATATGAGTTGCTTGTTGTCGGGAGTAAACTAACGCCGCCCTTTTTCCCGGCATTTTCTTGCTCTAACTAGCTTGGGGCGGGTTTTAACATGAATGCCGACAGTGACCGCACTGATCTCGGCGGCGGCCGCCGCACTGCATTGACATGCGCCCCTTTCATAAGTGAACAATAAGCGCCTGACTTCCTGTCCAGACTCAACACTGCATTCACCGCAGTAGTGGCCCTTGGATCATTTGATTTTAAATTTTAATTATTAACAATCCCAGATTTATACAGTTGTGCAGTAAACTGAAAATACCTGGGCCACCATATCCACAAAGTATATAAGGCTCTTCAACAGACTGCGCTGCACAAAGTCCGACAGGGATCCGGAAGACGGGTTCCGGCCCAACACGTCCAGCATGGCCGACACGTTATTGACAAACTGCACCGCCACCGCGTCGTGAGTCGCTTCGTCGGGGCTTTCCAGTGGGTGGTTTTGGTTAATGTTGGCAAACAGTTTCAGTAACGGTCGGACTGGAAAAGAACAGAGCCGTTAGAAAAGAAGCCACCGATAACGGTGGAAAGGAATGCTAACGACGCGACGAAAGGCATTTCACGGCGAACCAGCGACTGGAAGAAACGCTCAAATGACGGTGACTCAATCAAGTTCTGATTCCTGATTACGTTCAAGAACGGTGAGATCCACTGGAAATCTTGCATACTGGAGCACGCTAATTGAGAAGGTCAAAGCTTGCTAAATGCCGATTCCACGAGATCGCGCGTCTACAAGAACAAAACGAAAAAGTAAAAACAAGTCAATCCATTTTGTCAAGGTACCATTCATTTATCACTTGCCATTTGCCAGTCTGAATTTTTCCGGACTAACGTCAGAAAAAGTTTCTTTTAAATTTGCTGTTTGAAAGGGAAAGTTGATAACTATCGTGTAAATACGTACATATTAATCGTTTAATTAGACTATGATTCGTGTAACAGTTTAATTCCAACCAAGTTGAACCAACTACCATCAGTGACCTGTACTGTAGATTTTACCTGGAGCGCGAATTGCCGGGACCAGCGGCAGCGTACAGATTGCATTATTCGGTGTAGCGTAAAGCTGACGGGCACATCAATCGTAAGGAGAAATATTATGCAAATGCCCTTGGAATCCGCGTAATTGTCTGTGCTTCGCTTTGTGAACCCGCTGTTTCGATATTCGCAATGACACCTGGCATAATTTTGCTTTATACACACTCGAACGTTACCGGTTCAGCGTGCGAAACTGGTTAAGACAGGAGAAAAAGCGTTAGCAAAAGGAGAAGACAACAGTGTGATCAGTGATCAGTTATGGCGGAAGTGGGCCAACAGTGTGGTCCGGAAGAGCGCAACGCCCAACTGGAAGTGGTACTGTCCATGGTAATCAAGTGTCTCCCACAGCCAGACGCTTTCGCACCTTTGTCGTCATTTACTAGCTGAGGAATACCGCCGGACTTTACGAACTCAAGGTGATTTTTTGTTTTTGGTATTCCGGTAATTATGCATCAGCTGTTGAGCGTGTCCGTAAGTGCCGCGGGGCACTTGCTGACTCATGTGCGACAGTCCATGCAGTATTCCTTTTATCAAGCGCTACTTACTAGCAGCTGCCGGTAAATTTTTGTTTGTGAAGGACATCAAACACGAGATCTGGCCATCTACTGCCACATGACAAATTTAATGACAAATGAAAGTAAACATAAAGCATGAAAGTAAACAGTAAACATGAAAGCAGCGCATAACCCTGATTCCTACGCTCAAAACTGTATTTAACCATAATTAGATCTCGATATTGTTATCGCGCTATTGAAATAAAGTAAATGAAACTCTGAGCGTATCTCTACGCGAAGCCACGTCATAAAAAAGACTCACAAAATACTCTGCATATATTAGACGTAAACAGGTCGGTGGTTAAAAGATAATGAAAATACCGGGCAAACGTATCACCGGCGAACGGAGAACGAAACAAGCAATTACGTGCCAAAAAACGAGGTCGGCACAGTTCATGTTTCAGGACGAGTTTCGTGCCAGGGAACCGCATTACGGACAATCTGCTCGGCCTACACAACGATGGAAGCATTCAGAGGTTGTGCTTTTCCTCCACCACGCCCAGGATGGCGTATCAGCCACTGGCGGAGAGTTAACCCGGCTTCCATCCTACAGAATAAACAAATGAGGCAAACAAGAAATGCAGACGTGCCAAGTAGCGTACTTCATACGCAGACGTACGGCCAGTACTGGTATACGGTAACTGCCGTGACTACAAATCCTACAATGCAACATTGTCACATTGACAAACACTTACAGGCCGGACCAATGGCGCACTTGCTGCGCGTCAAACCCAATAAGTTTGGCGATCTCGACGAACGTCAGCTGAAAATGTGCACACAACGTTAGCGGAGATACCAGTCACAGCAATACTGCAGAATACAAGTTGTACTAGGAGCCGCTTTAATACGGTGTTCTACATTGTACTCACTTTCAGCTGGCGCTGAGCGAGCACCACAGCAAACCAGAATGTGGAATCTTCCTGTCCGGCCTTGCGTTTGGGAAGGCTATCGATGTTAGTCTTATGAGTACGCGGCGTCCACTTCTCGGCCTGATTCCTAATTCCCTTAACCGGACCGGGCAGGGGCAGATCCGGATCAGGCATGTGAGGATGCTTCCCAGCCTCGGCGGGGCTGAGGACTGGTGGGGCTCCGGCGGGACTTCGGGTAGTGTTCTGGGCGGCGCGAGGGAGGCGGCGCTTTCCAACTTTCGGCGACGGTGTGGCCTTAACCAATCGGAACAGGTGATTGATTGCCTCCGCCACTTCATCCGCCTGCGAACGCAAATACAGCAAATCAACTTCACAACCGATTCAGTCAATTGAGAAACACTAATCGAATGCATGGAAATCCACGGCACGCTGCTTCCCTCACTTACCGTATCTCCGTCGTTGGCCTCAAAGACAAAGAACTGGCGTTCACGGCCCTTTGCGCCACCGACGTAGCCGAAAACTCGCTTATCCGCTTGATGCCGCCACACCGGTTTCAGCTGTACATTTACCACCGGGTGCGTGACCTTCTCCTACAACACAAAGAACGCATATTCAAATACAGCAACTACAAGCCAACAGTACAGTCAAAAGATACACATAAAAAACTATTTCTGATATTGTCAGGAAGGAACTGTTCAGTATTAGGAAAATTATTTGAAAATCTCCTTATCAGTCACACGGATACTGAATTCACGCAACCAACGTCATAAAAACACGAGAAATAATAAAAAGATGAAAGGTATAAGAAATCTAAAAATGAGAAAAATACAAGAAAGATCGAAGTACAAAAAATAATAAAAATTAAAATAAACACAGGAAAATTAAATTGATTTCAGTGTAAACACACAACAACTAAACACACACAGGATTGTTTGATCCTAAACGAACGATATCGGAATCATCTGCCGCCCAGCGCGGGCGCTGATTAATCTGGCAGCGAAGCACCACAAGTAACCCACGTACCGTTCGGCCGATCGTCAGCTGAATCGCGGCGCGGGTGATAATCGCGGTGACGCGCTCCTTGCCGGTCTTGGCCCGCCGGATCCTGTTGAACTGCGAATCCAGGGTCTTCTTCTCGTCATCCTCGACCTCCGCAGTTCCCAGGCGCCATCCCTTGAAGCGGAACTCGTCTCCCACCCAGCCGGCCGATTCTATAGCGATACACCACACCGTTATTTAGTATTGCGGCACACCGACCGGCATGCTGCACAGACTTACCGCCCGCCGAAGACTGGCTACTGGTGTCGGCGCTGGGTGATTCGTCCGGTGAAGGCGCTGGTGCAGGCGCCTTGACGGGTTTCTTAAGCACGGGGATCGGCTTCCGTTGGGCTGGTTTCTGAGGCACCGGCGCCGGCTTCTGTTGGACCGGTTTCACAGGCACCGGCTTCTGCTGGGCCGGTTTCACAGGCACCGGCTTCTGTTTGACCGGTTTCACAGGCACCGGCTTCTGTTGGACCGGTGTCACAGGCGCCGGCCCCGGCTCCTGTTGGACCGGTGTCACAGGCGCCGGCACCGGCTCCTGTTGGACCGGTGTCAGAGGCGCCGGGAGGGGCGCGCCGTCGCCGGGTGAATCTCCGATCGCTGCCAATCCATCAGCTGCGCCATCGCCGGGTGAGTCTCCGATCGCCGGCAGTCCATCAGTCGCGCCGTCGCCCGGTGAGTCTCTGATCGCCTCCAATCCATCAGTGGCGCCGCTGTGGGCCGATGCCTCGGTGTTTTCGCGGACTGATGGTTCACCAGCAGCCCCCGGCGCCGGAGCCTCACTTCCAACGCGACGTTGAGTCAGCGGAACCGGGGAGTGATCCACCGGCGACTCCCGCACGTTCCTCTCCAGCGGGCCCGGGGAGCTGCTGCTGCTGGATTCCGTCGAAAGCCCAGGACTCGAAGAACTACCAGGACTGAAAACCAGCGGCGCACTCCCCTCCGAATCGTCATTGAACACCTCTGCGAAAGAAAATAAACTCGGTTATATATTTTTTAACGTTTAATTACTTTTTAATTAATTCGTAGCTTCATACATCCACGGTACGTCAACAATACTACTACACAATACGTTTAACTACTTGTTCTACGAGTATTTGCTGCGAACGAAATCTGTCCCGAGAATAACAAATCATTTCGCAATGAACGCCGTGACCTTTTATGGACTTGCGCCGAACAAATTTTCTTCGAAGGATAACAAATTATTTTCAAAATTGCTTAGTTTATGCTGTGACCTTTTATAGTCATTACTACAACTTGCGGTATTTAATTAAATGTTACCGTCATCTAATCATTTTAGAATATTATTATTATTATCATTTGATCACTGTATTAAGCGTTATTAATTTTTTCCCGTTTTCCGAAAACTAATATCGCAGAATTTTCAGCCTGTACCTAATTATTCGTTTAATATTGTTAGCGTAACATCATGTAAACTTATTTATCACCCTTTGTTATTTGTACTTGTATTAATTAATAACATCGTTAACAGATTAAAAACCACACAAAAACAATCGCAACATGCATCCAAACATTTTCTGTGCTCATGATATTTTTATGAAAAAATCACGACAAAAGCCGATGCCACATTTGCTAATACACGGTAAATTAAAAAAGAAGACAAAAATTTTAAAGAAAAACGAAGGAATATGAAAATAAAACTGACTACAAAATAATAAATACATAATAAACAAGAAAAGCCAAATTGAAAAAAAACTAACAAACACAAATGATGTGTAAAATATAAAATAAAATAAATATAAAATAAAAAATAAAATAAAATATTTAAATATAAAATAAAATATAAAATAAAATATAAAATAAAAAATAAAATATGTAGAATAATGTATGTATGTATGTAAAATATATAAATTCAAATATATAGATGTATGTATTCATTTATATATGTATGTATGTAAAATATATAGATTCAATATAAAATAAAATATGTAAACTAAAATAATAAATTTTTTAAAAATACATTAATGCGACTGTAATTTACAAAAGTTGAAAAATATCGATAAACAAAAATTATGAAGTAATCTGAAGCTGTTGTGCAGTAACCACCCGCCGTAGTCGTAGACTTGTAAAAATATTTCAGCTACTTTTACTTTACAAATTAATGCCGAATATTCCTGCTTATCTACTGAATATCGTCAATTTACCGGAGTCTGAATTTTCACCAGATTTCTCTGGAGATTCATCGTCCGCGGCGGGATGGTTTCCGCTTGGCCCTTCATCCAGCACGTCCACAGGCTCATCAGCCGGTGTGGACACATCCGGCATTTGCGCATTCTGCCATTCACACAATAAATTTTCGTTACGACTGCCTTCTGTTATTTTTACTGCGTATTATAATTCTGCAGCCTATTCTATCATTTTGTTAAGCCAATTTGCAATTAACAAGTATGTACATAATAATATTTGTACTTCCATTGCGATACAATTTGGCACGATTGTTTTCGGCACTTTAAAAATTAGAAAAACCTTCACTAATGATCCGCCATTTTAAAACAGGAAAATAAATATGCTTTTAATTAATTACTGTTATCCACTAAAAATTTCTAGCGTATTTTACTATGACTGTATATTTTTATAACGCCGGTGAATAATTATTCTACAACAAGAAGCGGTAACATCACTGTTTCAAAACAATAAATCAAATAAAACATGTTATTACCGAATTATATCATTATGTCCCCATTCAAATTTATTATTATTTTCCTGTTTAAATATTTTATTATTTTCACATTAAACTGCAGTACAGATATACCGTCTAGACGTAACAATGTTGCTCATATTTTACTACTGCTTTTCAGTGTAATTTACTAGCATATTTTTATATTTTTATAAAGGTAGGATATTCTTCAGCATGTTACTACCGAAGGAAATTAATATTTTCTTCCATTTTAAGTTATTTTGTAAACGATACCAACTGCATGGCTTACTTTCCACAGTTTAAATTCGCGGTGCGTGTAGGCTGGTTTCGCGCGCCAATACCGCTCAAGACGGTCCATGGCCTGCTCGGGCTTCTTAACCTTCCAGAGGTTGGCTGGCCAGTGGAGATTCATGGCTTTAACAGGGACGCAGGCCACCAAACCGTGCAGCAGATGGCTATCGAAGACTTCACGCCTGACCTTTCTCGTCTCCACTAGCGGTTGCCACATAGCAGAGGTGACCGTTCCCCGGGCGGTGGCGTGTGCACGGCACCATATTTGTTCGGCACGGAACGGGTGGCCGCCGGCCCATTCCGTGCCTAGGTGGAATATATCCGAGTCATGGCACTGGAAGCACTCCGGAGAAAACGTAAAATTTTGCAGAATGAACTTCGCCCGCTCATCCTTCTCCATGGGCCAGTCTCGCAGTCCACGGCTGACGACAATAACGTTGTGTCCAGTCCGTTCACTGTGCTGTATGATATGACTGTAAAATTATACATTTTTATATAATGTCACAATCGGAGGCCAGACAAACCGGAAAATGTCTTCCTGTTTACCATAAAATTACCCACAAAATGATAATTTTGTTAGATCAGATTCCAAAATTAGAATCAAAAATAGAAAAAACAACAGAAAACAAATTCCATTCAAAATACAAATAAAATATTATTAAAACAAAATTCGCATAAAATTCCAACTGCCTTCTACTGCACAAAAACTTAAAAAATACTGCATTTGTTTTTACTATTATTTTATTTTGCACCTACTACTACTCTGCTTATTTTAATACCATTATTGATACGATTATCAGCATTTTATCATTATCATTAATTTTTTTTTTATTTCACACTCTTGTTAATTATTACACTATGAATAATAAATGCGCCGATATTTTAAAAATATTATTCTCTTTCAGTTTCGACAAATAAAAGAACCGAGAAGTCAAACACACGACAATTGCGTAAGCGGTTTATTGGTCCGGTACGTGGTTGGTGAAATAATATAATTTTGCGTACGGTACACGGGAAACATTAATAACTGAACAACACAATTCAAAATAAAAATTATAGAATGTTATAAAAATATTAAATTTAAATAATACCTAACAAGAGATTTAAATAATAAATTCTGAAACGGGAAAATACGCAAACAATATGTACTATTGTAATTTTAACGGTTAATTTGCATTTTAGTAAACAATGGTTCACAGATTTCCAAAACATAAACCGCAGTTATTTCCGGCATTATTTTTTTCCACATATCTTAGAATTTTCCTCACTACTATGTACAAGTACCTCTTCAGTTGTCCATTCTTGGATACATTGCAGAAAAATTTACGGCAGTCGGCTGCCCCGCAGTAGGCGAGGCAACGCAACTCCTCCAAGCCACAGTAGCTGCACAAAAATTAAAATAAAATTCAGTATTTTATACAATCGAATACAACCGCATTTTTTTATCAAATTAACATACGTACCCACATCCCATATTTTCCAACAAGAATCTGCCGGGCTGCACAACTGGAGCCATACTTTGTGCCTCGGTAGATGCACCTGTTAAGGATAATCAATCATCAAAGGTGACCGGTGACAGTACTGGTAAACTGTACAGTACATTCTGTAAATACGTTTATGAACACAGTATTTATATTCTCATTTTCATTTCTTATCAATTTTCCTTTATATTTTCATCTCTTTTTTTATTTCTGATTTTAATATTTTTTGTATCGTAAAAAAGCAATTAATTCTCTTAATACCCACTTTTCTTCAATAAAGTACGTGCTCGCATAGACATATGTACAGCAATACGATCTCGTACGCCCGAAACAGTATTCGACAAATTTAAATTCTACGAAAATTGTGCACGGAGCAAATATTAAGTTTTTTGGTTTTTTTGTATTTTTTTACATATCGTGCTATGATAGTATTTTTAATAATGATAGTATTCTTAATTATAGAAGTTAGATTTTAGTTATGATATTAATTCGTATGAAACGCTTATGTTTTTCACCAGCTATTTCCGCTTTCAACGTGTTTTCAGATCGAAAATTAAAATCTCAGATTGAAAAGCCTGATATTTTGAAATTTCGCTTAAAAGCTTCAAAAAATCCGACATCAAAAATCCGGCATTTCAAAAGTTCGCCATCTAAAATTCCGAAATTTTGAGACACTACCGGCAGTACTACACTGAACAGAAACTGCAGTCATCACGGTACTTGCTTGTCAACAGAAAATTAACCATTTAAAGTAACAAAATATAAGATGATCAAAATTAAATTAATAAATAATAACAACTCGAAAATATCTAAAACTGAAATTTTTTTATTAAGAACGTCGTTCGGATCATGGTGACACACCCGGTAGATTTTCCAGTACATGCTGTACAAGCATTTTAGCAAATATTTTATATAATTTTTTGTTTCATATTTTTATTATTCAAAGCAAATAAATTTATTAATTACTTAATTTTCATAAATAAAATTAACAATGAATAAGTATTAAAAATTAACCACATGCACTTAGTTTTTATTTACAATTTTAAAAAATTATCTAAAATAAATACAGTAGTATTCAAAAATAAATTGGAAAACACAACAACAAATAAAACCCTTTAGCTTTTTATACTTTACATAAAAATGCGGCATTTAAAAACAACGAATTGTAACCGTACCAAGTTGAAAGAAGTTATTTTACAAGCACATTAATCCGGTTTTTATTTTACAATTACAAATAATGTATTTAAAATAAATACAATAACACAAATAAAAAGAAAACAACAGCAATAAATAAAACACATCAGCTTTCAATACATAAAAATGAGGCACTTTAAAACACGGAGGAAAAATTAGCAGTATAACAAGACTGGAGAAATATTTAAACTGAAGCAATAATTATGTCATTTACTGTAAAGATTTCATATTTTGAAAATCCAGCATGCAAAACGAATAAAAAATAATGACAAGGAATAACTATTTCTTAAATTTTGAAACCATTCCATCTGCAAATTGCACCTTCGAAGATCCGAGTTTTAAAATATCGACATCTAACTCCAATATTATGTAAAAATCTCACGTACAATACAGGTACATTTAGGAAGGCAAATTTACAGGTACATTTAATCAAGAATCCGACATTTAGAAAGCCGAACAAGAAATTCCCACATTCAAAAAATTTATGATTTAATTCATACTCGTACACACACATTTAAAAATGCTACTTAAAAATATGCGACATTTAAAAATGTTTTAAAATATCCGCCATTTTAGAAAAACCAGGCATTATGGTAGAACAGCAAATTACTTTACATGCATGTACATAATAATAACGAGTAAAAATTCCATTATATAATTCGTACTCGTATGTATGTACTATTGCGATATTAAAATGCTACGTCAAAATAAGCGACATTTATAAATTCTGTTTTTAAAATATCCGACATTTTCAAAATACCAGACACTGCGGTTGATTAGCAATTCAATTTACATATACATAGAATTCACCAAATAATAATTACAATTACTACATAAAGTACCAAACGAAAGAATGCACAAGTTTGCAATTTGCCCGCGAAATGCAGTACATGGCGCCGTTGCAACGGACCGCGAAATTTGCAGATAATTTCACTTTTGTCTTACCTGCTGGAATTAATCAAACGACGATCCGTAGCCGACCGAGATCACTCAGACTGGAGACTTATTTCAGCTAGCGCTGAAACTATCCAGATGAGCAAGGGGAGTTACTGCAGGCTGTGGCTTCGCGGATCAAGCTAGGAGACAATCGGATCCAGGCGAAACGGGATCCAGCTAGGCGACGCGAAATGGAATCCAGCGACTACGGGATCAGCGACACCAGCGAAACCGTACCGATAACGTCCCTCCTGATAAACCGCAGTACAGATACCGATCAACCAAAACAGTTGCTTGCACACACAAATTTAACACGCGATCAAACAATTCAGGAATTCGCACATGCAAAAAAAGTGAAGGAAAGCGCTGTCGAAAGTGCGAATGTTTTGATCGGGAAATTTTCTTGTACGCACTGAACGCGAGTCGCGAAGCAAGCCGGTGTACTGCGCAGTACGGCGACTAATACCTGACCAGTGAGTGGCTGTGTTCCAGCACCGTGTACAGAGCGTAAAGCCGATTGCGTCAGCCGGTACGTATGCTGGACAGCAGCCGTTAGTGGGCGTTGGGCGAACGTCGGTCGTTGTCGTTAAATCAAACGGTACGATCCTTTGCTACTGCATAGGCGCGGCTTTCGGATTCGCGATTTTACTGGTAAACCGTTTCAAACGGTTTACCAGAAAATCGTCATCGAAACGGACCTGGTCCGTTTCGTTGACGGATGCCGAACCAACACGCTGTCGCATCTCGAACAGCCGCTCGCCAACTGATGCATCACGTCACTGCGCCGAGCGCTCTAATCTGGCACTCGGTCGTTGTTTCCCGTTTATCGTGTAGTCGGTACATGGAGAATTTTCCATTTTCTTCCATACCAAATTCCGTTCAATCCAATAAATTTATGGTTTGTTTGCCCTATGTGCCGACTTGTCATACTAAATAAATAATGAGTAATATTCCACGTTTTGACGTGTACGGTAGTAATAATTAGGAATTCAGAAGTGACCTTTAGATGCATTTGAACGCTACAATAAAAACTGCGCCAATCCAGTACTACTCGTACTGCACATATAAACATGATTGATGAGTTAAAATTAATGGTGTATTAAATGACGCGACACTGGCTGAAGAAGCGGCGTCAGCGTTAATATCAACAGTGGAATTTACGTATGTTACTTGGAAAACATTCTAGAATTCTGTTAACAACAGAAGTGCAGATCTGTAAGCAACTATAATAATTGTAAGTGGCAAAATCACAACGTAAGTGGCAAAAATCACAACAAAAAAAATAAGATGTGACAACAACATTTTGTTCGTTCGTGTTGGTTCGTTTGCTCATTAGTCTGATATAAGATGTTTGCTGCCGAAAACTGACCATCTAACATGTGAGTGTGAGTGCGCACTGCGCACTAATTCCTGATTTGGAATGAGGTTTCTTTTTACTACACTAAATACTCTGTCTTGACTGGTTTGTGCTAGTAAAGAGGAGTTGTAAGTTAACTATCCGTGCAGCGCGTTTTAATTATCGCTCATGTAATATGTGCAACATAAGCGCTTGTTTTCTTCTGTGAGAAAAAAAAATCAACGTACTGTATCTCGGGTGACATTTGCGACATCTCGGATTTTTTTTCTAACCAACTGTGCGGACAGAAATTTAATTTAACAGTGTGGCTGGACTTGCAGCAGCCACTTAAAAGCAGCCCGCCAGCGCGCACGTCTTTGATGCAGTATAGATGACAGCACGCCGCCCGTGTCCTCAGGTGTTCGCTGTATCCCATGAATCAGCAGCGCATGCGTACAGCGTTAGTACAAGTGCACCGGCTAGGCTCAGCGTCAGTACTAACACGGTCCAACAAATTTGCTACGTACCGCTGGCTACATTTCTGCTGACAGTGAGCTCAATTTTAAATTTTAATTAAAGTGTAATAAATAAATTATTTCATTTTTCCTGTCTTTTATGAAATCAGTGAATTAATCGTAACTCGGATGCTGGCCACGCGCTGTCTCGCGCGCTTTATTTCATTCGGATTCTGTACAAGAAATCTCTGCTACTTTTAACGCATCAGCATTTTTTTCAAAATTAAAAAATAATTACAAAATCTTTTTTCATTTACTTGAGTAGCTTTATTCAGCGGCAAAATTTAAGAAATAACTAGCTTTAAACGGACCTATTTGTAATTCAGTAATAATTTTAATTAATTTTCTCGTAATTTTTTTGTCCTTTTATTAGTTTGATTTATTTGCAAGAATGCCGTAAGCTACAGAGTACATTACATACGACTAATTAATCAGGTATTTTTTAACTTCGTTAATTTTCTTTTTTTTAAAATTTTCCAGATTTCTGTTCTGACACTGCGATTTATTGCAATCTGTACAGGGAATCTCGGCGTAGGTTTCTCTGCGATTAAATCAGTTCATACACCCACACCGTCCGCCGAAAGGACTACCAATACTCTCCCATCTCGAATCCGAAACAAAAGCAAAATGTTAATCAAAAGTATTCTTTCAGCAAAAGAGATTGACCATTCCTCCATTCCGAAAATACCCAAAAAGAAACAGACAAGAGGATCGCCGCCTTATTGAGTCGTAGCATGTGCCGGTTAAAAGACGGGCGGCCGATTGAAGACCATCTCGTTGAAGCCGGCCGTGATCAGGGTCTCCGGCAGCGTCTCCACTTCGTTCGGATCGAACTCGCACTTCACCAGCTTCTCCTGTCAATAAAAATTATTAAAAAAATAATTCAAATAACACAAAAAAAACAAAAAAATACTGTCGCGCGCAGTTGATACTTGAATCAATATTTCATTAATAAAAAAAAACTATTTATTGACATGAATTATTATTTGAATAAAACTTAGACAAGCAAACGATTTTACTAATAAAAAAATTTAAATGACTGTGATTTTTAAAACCTTTTGAAAATGGTTCTGATTTTTTTTAAATTTTATTTACAGAGATTATGCTTCGTTTTTTGCTTGTATTGTTACGGAAAACATTTAACCTATTAAGACGAGAGGTACCCAACATTTGGTTAAATTGGTACGATGTCGTTATAAAAACAGCTGGGTAAACAATTTCCCTAATAAATTAAAATCCGAAAATAAATTTTAAAATTCGATTTACGAAGATTTTAAACTGTAAAACTGACCAGCAGACTCGGCTCCACCTTGGGCACGGCAAAAATCACCCCCGGATCAACACCCACCGACGACACCTCATCGAAGACCATCATGCGCACGCTCTTCGTATCTGCCAACCGAGAAAACAGGTAAAATCAGAGATTTTCTAAACAAAACACAGCAAAATCAGCTGCCGGGAAAAACCAATCAACTCCATATAAAAAAAATAAATTCCACACCCGGAAATCACTGGAAGATCTTCCAAACAGAAACACAGTACAGTGAAAAATTCAAAAAAACCCCAAAGTTAATTTCAGTGAAATTTCAAAAAATTGTAATACCGTAATTAAAAAACCACATCAAAAAAATTTTTATAACAAATTAAATCAGAATTTGAAAATTATTTCGCTCATGCCAAAATTAGCAGGATCGGGTGCACAAAAATTCCACATACCTAATTTGATGGACAGGATCAGATCGCGCAGCTTGACCGGACGTCCGACGAGGATGTGCGGCGGCGAAGACTGATCGCGGCCGAACGCGGCGGTGTAGAATTTCTTCCCGACCGGCTGCTCGGCCAGCACGCGCACCGGCTCCGATCCGCCCAGCGTGATCAACATGTTCGCAATCTGCCCGATAAAGCAAGAAAATTGTCAAAATACAGATTTTACAAGTCAATGTTTCCATTTAAATTACCTTTTTTTAAAATTCAGTCATCAAAATTATTCTAGATATTTACGGTTCACATCAAAATGACATTTTTCAGAATTAAACGACCTACAAATTTCCAGAACGAACAAACACATTTTCTTAATATTTAACGATTTATGGTTTACACGTACAGAATACTCCTTATTTTTCGAACACATAAAATAATACGCAGCGTCAAATTAGCGAATTCTTCTAAAAAGGCGCAAAGATTTCTTGCAAGTTTATTTTTTAAAAAGAAAACTATAAGACATTTATGACATTAATTTTTGAGCGCACCTGGTCGATCTTCTCGAACGTTTCCGCCACGATAATGCACTGGCAAACGGGGCGCGTGTGCTCAAACTTCAGCTGATGCAGAATGGCCAGAATGTACGCGGCCGTTTTCCCCGATTTCGCCGGACCCTGCGTCAACACCGGCTGATCTGCGAACGAGCAGCAAACACTAGCATCAACCACCAGTTACCTATTGATTTATTTTTTATTAAAGAATTTATTATTTTTTATTTATTATTACTAAAAGAATTTATTTTATTATATTTTAAAGCAAACTGCAAAAATAACACCAAAATGCCAATTATGAGTAATTCACAAAGATTTAATTCAAATTTAATTTGCTCAGGTTTCAGAAATATCCTAATCTTAATTTACGGCCTGGAAGTGCATTAATTTAACAACAATAAATTTAAAAAGAAATCACTCGTATGATTCCATTAAAAAAATTAAATTAATTATGTCAATCCGTTTTCTTTATTTTCTCAAATAATTATTTCACTTCCATGAATTTACCGTACAGCAATTCGTTACCTTGCAGAATAACGGACAAGATGCCTTTTTGGTAATCGGTCAGTTCGAAGGCCGATTTGTTCTTCCCGGCCTCCTTCATAGTCTTCAGTAATTCCGGTTTCAAGTCGATAATGTACTGCAGCATTAAATGACATACGATCAGCATGAGCGAAACAATTAAAAAAAATATTAAAAAGCCAAACAAATTAAAAAAAGCTGATTTCATCAACAGTTTTAATTCCCCCAACATTTTACAATCCAACTTAAACTTTTCAAATTTAATTATTTACACCGTTTAATTCTGTTGCCTACACAATAATAAGAAATAATTTACTAGTGAAAAAACTGGAAGTTGGCAAAAGAAAGAACCGCATAATTATAATACTGTAATTACCAAACAAGGGATTAAATACAGTAATTAGTAATAATTATCGGAAAATAAAGAAGCAAATTCAAGGCGTATCATAAGATTTTCGGCGAATAAAATCAAATCGAATAAAATCACCACCGACCTGTTTGTTGCGATCCACGTTGGAGATGATGTGCGCTTTCACGGCAAAATCCACGGACGCCGATGATTTCTCCGCCGAGTTCCTGTTCACAAAATCCGCGAATAATTAGCCAATAAATTAGCAACGCACAAAAAAATTATCAGTAAATAAAGAAATAATTTTTCAATGAAACTGCTGTCTTTAATTCTCAGATATTGGTCGGCAGAAGGCGCGAATTAGTGGATAAATAACCAGTTAAGGAAAAACCTAGTACATGAAGAAATAACTGTGCATTATTATTCTTTTGATTGACAAATATTGAAAAAAATTATTACAACGGCAGTGCGACGATCAGTGCGTGTAAAACACGTACATGGGACTGGAGAGCGGTGAGCAGGGCGCCGTGGTGGGCAGTGAGGACAGGGAAGAGGAGGCCGTGGGCACCCATCCCCGCTCCGCATCATTCTCATCCAGCCATTCATCGGCAGCGGCGGCTTCCATCGGCTGACCACCCGTCTCCTTCTTGGCGAACTCCCCTAACTGCTGCGGATCCTAATAAACACAACACGCATTTTATTCGGATTTTTTGGTCAATTTTAACCCCAATGAATTTTTTGGCATTTTATTAAATTCCGATTTTATCTGAATTATTGATTTTAGTAAATATAAAACACGCGCTATCGGCAACTCAGGAGAACCAAAACAAATTTAATTTTATTTTTTTTGACTGCTCTGCGGAAATTTTTATCTTGTATTAAATCTTACAAAACTGACTGCAACCACGGAACGGTAAGAAATTCCCTATCGTCTACAGGGTAAAATTCAAATACTACTAAAATATTTAATTAGTAAAGAAAAGCTTACGAATGGGTCGTAGACGGCCGGATCGACGCGGAACTGGTCGCTGGCGGGGTCCTGCGGCGCGACCGCGGCCACCGCCGGCGTGGCGACGGGAACCAGCGGGCGGCGCGCCGTCATGTCCGCCGCGAAGGCCTTCTCCAGATGCCCCACAATCGCTGGCTCCTGCTCAGACAATCACGCATGTACACCCACCAAATCGTCACATGGCGAAGAGAAGTTTTCAACCCAACACAAACTGCGCTAACCGAACAGACAGCAATTCATTCCTGCCAACTGTTTAATAATTATTGACACATAAATAAAATAATTTAAATATGAAAGAAATAACTGAATAAGTGAATAGTTTAATTAGGAAATTATTCGGATCGAAAACTGAAAAATTCTCAAAGAAATTCCCCAGTTCCTCCACGCAAAACGAAACAAATACTGCCAATTATTTCATTCCTGCATTCTAACGTTACTGATATAATTTTTTAAAAAACGATGCGGCTCTTCAATCGAAAAATTACTCACCAAAACAGGATGGCAGCCAACGATGGTGGAATTGCCGTTCTTGTCATAGCGCAGGCATCCGGCGAACCAGCCCTGACTGGTGTCGTCTTTCCAGTACAGATTCGTCGTCTACACACCATAAATAATTTATCCAAAGGCAAAAAACTAACGGCTACATTCGCACGCCCTTGACGAATTTTCTAATATTTTTTTGAAATTATTAATAATTAATTTCCAGCAATTTTAGGCTGAAATTTCGAATTTATCGCAGTGAAGAAAATCTTCGCATCAATTTTACCTGATAATCTACTGACACGTGCATCTCGGCTAAACTTCCCATCACATACACAAAAGTGACAAAACCAGATAAATCCCAATCGAACGATGCGCACGAAAACAGCTGGCGAAACTGGATCTTCGAATGACGAGGAAAATGCAAATCAGTACGATTCGACGGATTCGTCTGAATGCGGAGAAACGACGAACCAGACACTACAGCAACTACCAAAATTCGAAGGAATAAACCTCCAGTCGAGGAACGAAAGAAGGAGAAACCCGAAACAAATGTCAAACAGGAAGGAATCGAAGGAACCACTGAACAGACCAACCCATCGATGGATTCAGTGAAAATGAAAATGCATTGCCAGGTCCCTGACCGCGCGCCGCCTGACTTTGTCTTTCTCTCTGTGCTGCAGCATTCCTGCATGAATACTGCGTGCAGCGGCAGCCCTGGACCGCTCTTTCCTTACGCCGCTCGGATTGGCCGACGCTGTATTTTCCGCGATCCGATTGGCCGATCCACTGCAAGGAATTGCCGCATTGGCTGCACTTGCAGCCAGGCGTACGAGCCATTTGTACCGCCTGCGCATCCATTGTTCGGCTTGATTGGCCGGATCAGCCGCGTATCATGCAGGCCCCGCCCCGCCTTGGTTCCATTTCAGCCGAAGCAGCGCGCAGGCAGTTGCATCGTGTTTTGCAGTGGCAGGCAAACGCGACGTGGTACACGGTACAGTTTTGGAAAACGGGTTTTCCGACCATCCAACAACGTTTTCCATCGATTGATCCGCTTGTTGTTTTTCGGGAATTTTATTTTTCCATGGAGAAGTTTGTTGATTTGTTGTTGTTGATCCGGGAGTGTTTTGTCTGATTGAGGCGCCACCGTGGGGGGACGGGGCATCATGTTCTAACGCGCGCAGTTTTCGCTGATAAAATGCTAAAATCGTTCTCGCTGTCTCTCTGCCTGCTGCCTCTCTCTATGCCTTCCACTTAGCAACTTGACCCAGAAAAGACAATTGTCAGCAAATAGCTTGAGCGAAAAATCCCCCCTGAAATTCCTGTCCGCCTGTCTTGTCTGGCTCGTTTTTCCGTTTGGCGGGCGCCTTCGGTGTGCATGTATCTGGTTTATTCATTTATCGCGATTTGGCCGAGCGTTGCATGATCATTTTCTGCTGGCGTCTCGTCTCCGATTCCCGTTTATTTTTTCGACGAAATTCTGTCGTGATTTTCTGGATTATTTAATCAGCAAAAAACAACGAAAGTTTGGTGAGTGCTGCTTTTACAGCTGAAGTTTGGTTGCGGGAAAAATTAGCTTTATTTTATTTTTTTAAACTCATTTTACGTTAATTTCTGCGTATTTTTAATTTTCATCATATTAATCCGTTAATTTATGTTGAATTGTGTTTCTCTACTGTTCGTATGAAATCTGTCGCAGTGTCGCTTAAATGATGCTGTGAGCATGTAGACCAGTTAAATAATAAATTTTCTTCTGTACAAACAGAAATAAAATCAAATGTTTGCATTTGTTGTGCGGATGCAGCATTTATCATGATTTATGGCTGATTTCGATGGAAATCTGAGAATCGCCGTTTTGTAGCGATGCTTGAAGTCACGCACAGTGCATTCTCTACTCGGACAGTATTTTATTTGACGTATTAAGCTTTAACTATTACCTCTTTGCGAATTTTACATCAATTTAAATTTATAATTGCGGTAAAATTATTCACATTTCTCAGTAGCGATAAAGTAAGTTTATGGTGGTTTTATTTGCTAATTTTTGCAAATAAAAGTTATTAAGGAATTTAATTCATTATTCATTTTCAGATTTATCATGTTTGCTAGCAGCTACAAAAAAGAATTTAAGATAGCGTTTATTTTGTAATTTGAGATTAGGATGATTAAAACATCCCCCGATAACTCTGTCGGTCGATTTTCTTTTCGGCTCCCATTTCATTAATTTTATTAAGCGAATATTTTGCGCAGTTTGACGAAGATGATCTGGATTTATTTGCTGTAAATTTTCTTAGATTTTTGTTAGCTCTGCTTCCTGTCGATATTTTTATTGAAGAGTTTTAAATTGGGCTGTTTCGTAATTAGACCAAGTATTTTTAGCGCATCGCGTAGCGTAAAATGCGCTAATGAGAAGCGGGAAATTTTTGCCGCACCAGTTTATTGGAGAATTTATTTTTCGCCCGCCATTCGCCGCGTGTTATGTTTATGTTATTGTGAGCGTTGTGAAATGTGTGGGTTATAAGCCAATAAGTGTGTATATCGTGTACGGGATGATTCGGATCGATAGCGGCTAGTTGTGTGAGAGTGGCTGCGGTGGGCGAGAAACTATAAAAAACCTGTCGGATGGGGCAAATCAGCAAATGCAATACAGGCTGCACACTGCTCCCCCATTCAGATCGCCAATTTACGCACCAGCATGTTCATTCCGAATGGAACGGGTTTTTATTCCCCGACTCTTTTACTTGTCCATATACACTACTTTTGTCCTTTTCATTTTCATTCACTGGGCGGACGAGAATTTTCGCTGCCTGGTGTTGCAGTGAAGATTAAATTAAGTAAAAGGAATTTCGGCTCGGTGTTGATTTTAGCCGTTATTGCACTATTTTCGAAAATTTTTGAATTTTTATAAAAATTAAGGAACGCCAGTCATAATTGTTTAACCAGATTTTTTAGACACAAGTTTGCAGAAATATTTCAGTAAAATGAAGGATTATTTTGCCTTGGGAAATTGTGGTAAAGTATTCTTTGATTAAAATAAATTAAAATTGATTTTGGCTCGTTTTTTCTTTGTGGTCATAACTGCATTGTCTTTGAAAATCTGATTTTTTTTAAAATCTACCTAACTGTGAAACATCATGATTATTTAGCCAGTTTTATAAAGCCGAATTTGTCAGAAATAATGCAATTCAAACCGGGAAATAATCAAATTATCGTTGATGAATATTAATTTTGCGTTTGGAAATAGCCGCTGTAAAATTGTGTTTTACTGTTTTGATGGGAATTAAATTTAAAATAATTTCGGTTCAATGTTGATTTCGGCCGTGATTCCATTGTTTTCGGAAATCTGATATTCAACAAAAATTAAATTAATTAGTTATGAATTATTTGAACAGATTTTTATTACAAGTTATCAGAACTGATGCATTAAATTCTGGAATTTATCCGTTTTATGGTTGATGAGAATTTTGCTTTGGGAAATGATGGTAAAAAAATGTGTTTTGACTGCGCGCTTTCCAAAGCGTGCTTTCTAGCACTACATCGAAGACCTGTGTGAGGAAAACAGCGCAGAAAGGCGTGGTGAATTTTGTTGGCACCACCGACCACGTAACACACTGAAACGCTCAGTTAGAAATATGGCTGTTTAGTGTTTGTCCTTGGATATGTGTTGGCGAGCCGTTGAAACGCTCTTTGACTCGGTTTCCGTTGGTAATTGTCAATGTTTATCGGCTGTTCGTCTAAGTGCACTGGCTCTGCGCTACTTGCTGTTCTCAGCGGTTTTCCGCGGTTATCATTCTGCTTCGTTGCTGGCGGTGCCGAAAAATCCTCAACGGCCGGGTAATTAGGGAATCTTCACCAAACCGTGATAATTTCTCTGGGGAAAATAAACATTTAGTTTCGTCGCAATTTTCAAATTTCTACTTTCCAGTGGGTAGTGTGTTTACGTACATAAATCATCGTTAAAAAAGGAATTTTCAAAACTATTTACAGCTGAATTTCCAAGGCATATTATATGCGCAAAATGGTAATATTTTTATGGTTTTATGTTTTGTCCTTTTCGTTGATTTGAGTCCGTAAATTTGGTGCAGTGTTTTAATTTTAATAATAAATGATAATAAATTGTAATATGTTTTATTTTAATTTTAATAATCTCTGCATTTAGTCGTTTTATTGTGCGAAATGTTACCGGAATAAAATGGCGAAAAAATAGCTAAATTTTGTTAATTCTGCAAATTTATTCTGCGTAAATTGTCGAAATTAAATGATAAGGTTTACTAATAATCGACCGATTGCATTTGTGAGCAATTTGTATAAAAATCTGAATTTAATAATTTTTTATTTCAAAATGCTTCTATAATCAATCTTTTCCTATTACCTGCTCAAAAATTTCAAGGGATTAAATTCGTATAATTTATTTTGATTCTATTATATTTGTAAATCACGCTGAAAAGTAGGGAGTAATTTTTGCATTTTCCCTTTCCCAAAAAATGCTTCGGTTTATGAGATCGCAATTGGTATTTTAAAATGAACTACATCGTTTCCTGTAGTGGAAAAATCGGGAAAAACGTGGAAAATTATTGATTAATTTTGACTAGTGGATCCGCATTGTAATGTGCGATTGTGCGCTGCTGCTATTGCACTGCGCTAGAGAAAACTCGGAAAATGAGGACAAGAGTGGAAGTGTGCTAGCAGTTGTTTGTCGATTTGATTGTGAAACATGCAATGCAATACCAGGCAGATTTTGTGCGATGCGGATCTAGACGCTCTCGCGCTGTCTCTCTGTGGCTCTCACGCGGCAGAATATTCTCTGCACAGAGAGCACTATCACGTGTTGGCAAGTCCTAGGTTGGCAGTTTAGCAGCAGTTCAATAAAATTTGTGGCAGTCGATTGTAAATTATTCTACGTGCGTCTACATTGCTAATTACTGCGGCCATTTTATCTGCATAAACAGGAGAAAATTAGGCCGCATGGAATTAATATGACTGCTGAATCAGTTTTGAGCAAATTTGCCTGTTTTCTGATTTTGGTTTAATTATGGATTAATTTTTCTTCTCCTTAAAATCAGGTGCGTATTATTTTATATTTCGTCCATTTTACTGCATAAATATTGGAAAATCCAGCCTGATAAAATTGGTTTTACCCCGGTAAATGCGTATTTTGGGCAAATTGGCCCTTTTTCTAATTGGAATTTATTTGCGAATGTTTTTTCTAGATTTTGAAATCCGGCTCTTGTCAGTTTTATTAATGCCGCCATTTTTTATTTGCACAAACATGGGAAAATGATGCCGCATAAATTAAGGTGATAAATCATATTTTCTGCAACTTGCCTGTTTTAATTTGAACTGAATAGCGATTATTTTTCTGATATAATTTCGTTTTGTCTATTTATGTAGTTATTTAGTCTCATTTTAATTAGCAAATATTTTTCGTGGTTTGGGAAATTGAGTGCGTAATATTTTCACGGCGATTTGATTTTCCGCGGCATGGTAGAAAATTGTTGCTTTATTATTAGGGTGAATCGGTCTCCGTTGTTGATAATTTATTCTGCCATTTTTGTTTGACTTGTTGTTGATATTACTTGAGGAACTAATAGCACTATATTCGTCGGTCGATGGGGAGATTAATCGGGGGATTGTTGGCTGCAGGTATTGGATTTGTTTGTGGGATGATTGATTGTTGTGCGTGGTGGTGATTGATTGGAGAGCGGCCTGTTGTTCAGCGTGAAGATGGGCAGTCAAGCGGAAGTCGCGGTGGGACGACGGTTTATCTGCTGCGTGGGCGCTAAGGAGACCGATCAGCTGGAGAAGATCCCCTGGAAGACGGGCATTATCCGTGCCGCGGCGGAACAGCCGCTGGCGGATATTGAGCAACAGGTACGCTAATTATTCCGCGTTGTTGGATAATTATACGGAATATTCTGGTTTTATTCTGACTTAAATTGCAGATTTTTCCGGTATTTATTTCCATTAAATAATATTGGTTGGTTGAGAATTTAGCTAATTTCGCCCTGTGTTTTTTTTGCTTGAGAGTGGTTTTTAGATTTAGATTTTAGATGTTAACCGAAAATTTGGAATTAAAATTAATATTAAATTGAATTTCACCGTTTGAAGATTTAAAATAGATTTTCAATTGAAACTTGCCAGTAATGATTTGAAATTAAATTCAGGACGAAATTTTTGATTGAAAATAAAATTAATCTGAATTTAGAATAATAATTACCAACATAAGCCAATAATAGTGGAAACGAAATTCGTATTCTGATTTGAATTAAAAATTAGAAACTGTTTTTAAATTGAATTTAATGGAATTTATTGGATTTAATTCGCATGAAATTCTGAAGCTCCGATTTTTGTACGAGAAATAATTTTGGAATATACGGTTATCGTGGGATAATTATTGAACTAATAAGAAAAATAACTCTGGGATTAATTCCTGAAATAATTCTGGAAGATCTGTGTAATGTGAGAGAAAGCAGATAATCTTTTAATGTAAACGTTGAAATAATAATGATGTAGCTTCACTGCATTTCCGGTTGTCAAGTGTGAATTATGGCCCAATGCCTGCGCTCACCAATGGTGAAAAGAATGTGCTGTAGGCTTCAATCGCTTCTGTAGTCTCTTGACGGAATAATAATACGCGGTGAATCTGGTCGTGCCGGTACTTGATTTGCACCTTGATTGTGCGTTTCGCCGCTTCAATTGCTGAATAAGTTTTTGATTTATATCGTGAATAATTACAGTTTATTAGGATGGCAGTTACATCGGTAAATTCTTTCCACTTCATGCCGATTTTTTTCCGTTCTTTATATGAGAAAGCTTTGCAGATTTAATTTGTTTTTATATCGAATCTTGTCTGATTTTTTCCTTTTAATAAATTTAATTGCGCTTTTTTCTCCATTTTTATCGCATTTATGGCTGTTTAGCGAGAGCTAATTTATTACGGAATATTTTTTTTATTTATATCTTGAATTGTTGCAGTTTATTAACATCACAGCTACATCGATAAATTTCGGAAAGTTTATTCCTATTTTTTTCTTTGGGTTTTACAGTTTGATTATCTAGTTTTTGCATCTACCAGATTTTGGCCTAATTTTTTCCATAAGAAATTGAATGCGGCTTTTTTTCTCCGATTTTTTAGCGCATTTTTGGGCTGTTTAATGTGTGAAAGGTAATAAACCTCAAAAAAATGCAGTGAGGAATTTTGACAGATTGGGCACTACTCTGTAAGTGTGTATAACGTGACTGTGGTATTTTTAGTAATTATTATTGGTTTATTGACGCTGATGCGGCAGTTTAAGAAGGAAATGCGCGGTCGGATGGTTGGGGCTGTTTTGATAAGAGCCCGGGTTTATCGGTCATGAAATTATTCGGGCTCCAGACGTTGGACGCACTGGAAAGTGCGTTAGAACAACACAGACAACACTGCGCGCTGATAATCGATAATCGTGCTTTTATATTTTCGATCGGAGCTTCGTCCTTTTTACGATCGAGCACTTTGATAACTAAATCAAGGGCACACGGCATTCAGTGCAGCCGGTTAACCGGCGACTTTCGTATTTTCTGCCTAATTTAACAGGGAATTAACTACAATATTATTGAAAAAAAAACCTGGAAATATTCTTTGCAAAATTTTATTAAAATATGCTAGCGAAATATGGGTAAATATGCATTTTAAAAATTAAACTGGCAAAATTATGTGAAAGGTTTCTTATCACTTTGATAACGTTGTCCATACTTTGGCTGGGTTTTTGCATTGCCAACTCTGCGGTTTCCCGTTGATTATTAACTTACAAAATTATTCGCCAGTTTTAATAATTTACAGAATTACTTGAAAGTTTTTCGAACTGTTATGATTTAATATGGGAATTATTTCATTATTATTTGATTCTCAATTGGCTTTTGGTTAGATATATTTAAGCAGCGACAGTCAGTAAAAAATATAATCAGGAAATGCGGTGACATTAAAGTTGAAAAAATTAACTCTCATGAAAATTCTTGACATTCCGCTAATATTTAACTGGCTGATTGCCGTAGCAGGAAGCCTGTAATAATGTTATTATAGTTTTGGTAATAATTACTGTATTTTACGATGTGTATTATTATCTGTATCCGTGTATCGTGTTAAATTTCTGGATTTCGCCGGAAATAATTCGAAAAAAATCGGATTACCGGAAGTGTGTGGGTGTTTTCGTACTGCTACAAAAAGCCGACTACCGCTGCAATATGGATGTGTATTATTGCAGTTCTGCGTGGAGTGGGATTCTAAGGATCCGGCGAATAACAAGCACGAATGGGTGTATTTACACGAGACACCGGAAGACGACAGGTGAATCAATTGGCCTCCGTGCCAGCGTGTTGAGTGGCCCAGTTAACACGCTGTGCTGTTTCGTATAATATCGTATCTCTGTTTCCCCTCGACAGGCACGAAGATGTGGGCGGCGGCAACTATTCGTGCTTCCTCGTGGAGGATAAACTCATGTGGTACGACGCCGAGAAGCTGTCTTCCAAAAAGGCCAACCATGCCAGCAAGTTCGCCTTCCGGCCGGTGCTGGTAAGTGTTGTTTAATATTATTTTTATATGCAATTTCTGGTTCATTTGCATTTTTGATTATTAAGAAAATTTCTTGCGTTAGTTCGATAACGAATAATTTAAGGTTTTGTTTTTGGTATAATTATTTCGGTTCCATTTTTAACTGAATACGTTTAAGTTTGAGAAGCAGTTAAATTAACAGCATATTTTTGACCCGGTCGATTTGATCTGCGGGAGTGTAGTGAAGTCGTAGAGTAGTGGACTAAACACGTTATGTTAAGCCAGTTAATATGGTCGCTTTTAAAGTTGAGCTGGCTGCTGGATGGATTAAGAATTCGACAGCCTAACCTTTTTTCTCAATTGGTGAATTTTTTAGGCTATGTTTTGTACGTAATTTTAATTTATGTTTTTCGGTTTTTCACTTTGTAGGTCTTTTGCAAATGTTTTTGCATTTATTCGATAGGAATTGATTTGTTGGTTTTTGGTGGAATATTTCGGTTCCATTTTTACATGAATATAATTTTTTCAATTTTGGAAACCAGTTAAGAATAGAAGGTTGTTTTTGAATTAACTACCGATATGGTAATTTAATTAGAGAGTATTGATATTTAAATATGTGGATTGTTTGTAGACATTTAAAGCGTTGGTGGACAAATCGAAGATTGTGGAGAGCGGACGCATGCCGGTGATGCTCCTGGCTGACCACTCTCTGGCCTTCGTCGACAAGGACCAAAATGGCGCCATTCCCGTGCAGCAGCACCAGGTACTGTAATTCCCCATCTGTTATTTTATCTGAACGTGGAAATTTAATTCTGTATTGTACGTTAAATATTTACTATTTGAAAATGGCTATCAGCTGTTTATTTCGCCGGTTCTAACAAAAAAAAACGTTGTTAATTTTTTACGAGGGAAAAAAACTCGTGTAAAAAAATTTTTATTGAAAGGATGTGTCGATTTAAATTTTCAATGTTTAAAGTTTCGCTGGATTGGGATTTCTGTTATGATGTAGTGAAGTCGTAGAGCAGTGGTCCTAAACAGGTCGCAATAGGTTGTTGTAATTATGGTCGCTATCAACATTACTTTGCAAGTTGACATTCTGACGTTGATGAACAAATGAAAACGTTTTTCTCCGTCCTTTTTGAATTCTTATTGTGTATTATTGAAAAGCAATAAATACTGAAGAAATTTTGGATGATAGACACAGTGGAAAAATTCCGCAATAAAAAGGCAGAGTTTCTGAAAATGCAATGGGAAAAGGATGAATTTCGCCTTTTATTTGGGTAGTATTGGGTTAGTTATGTGTTTGCTTTTTTTTTGAAGAACTTGTCAATTCAATAAAAAGAAATAAATACATATATTTCGATCTGAACGGAAAGCCGTGAGCTCGATTGTTGGTTGGATTTCGAATTAATTCGGCAAAAATTCGCGTCAGGGTATGCTTGTAATAATTACCAGTGATACATCAAAATATAAGCACAGCTGCACATGTAATCATGTACGAAATATTTTCCGTAATTTTTGCGGTACTTATTTGGCGGTATGTGTAGACGTCGCTGAGTGTGAAGGGCGAGAGCTGGTCGGTGCCGGCGCCGGAGCAGACGGCCATCAACGCCTGGTTCGACACGCGGCGCAACCAGTCGCGGTTGTGCGTGGAACGCGACCGCCAGCTGATCGGCCAGAGCGTCAACGTGTACTGGAAGGACGGCGCCAAGCAGCGCTGGTACGCCGGCTGCCTCAAGGCCTTCAACAACAAGGACGGCACCGTCGTCGTCATGGACTACAACGTCACACAGGTCAGCACACGTCCCATCGACGTTTTCTTCTTCCTTAGGTTTTTGCAGATAAAATTCAGTTTTATAATTGAAGGACGGTAAATGTCGCAGTTTTCTTCAGTGGATTTGGAAGCCTGTACAATATTGCATATTTTTAATTGATTCGGTTTTTTCTGCTTATTTGTAGACGCTCTGTGAGTGTGTATTAATAAATAAGAATATGTAAACGTTTTCATTTTGATTGAAAATAGTTTTACTTAGGCTTTTTTCAGTTTTTGTTTTGCTTTTAAATTTTTTTAAAGTGATCCTTGTGAAGATTAAATCATTTTCATGCGTGGATTATGGAAGCTTCAAGCCGGTATAATAATGCACATTTTTATTCAGTTTTGTTTTTCTCATCATGTACAGACGCGTTGTGTTGGTGTATCATTGATTAATATATTATTTACTTTTTTAATTTTTTTAAATTATTTTATGTCGAAATATTTTGTTTAAGCAATTTTATCAGGGTTTTTTGCTTTGCTCTAAAATATTTTCTAAAACACCAAGGCTTATGAGGCGAAGTATGAAGAAGTGCGATTGTAGTGTACGGGCATTGAGTTTCTATGTTTTGGCTGTACTTCTGGTTGCATCAATCAAGTATAACGTTTAAATTTGAATCATTTTATGTAGCACTTCGCGAATCTCTTTTTGTTATACTGATGCCTGTTGTCCAATAAATTTATATATCAACTCTAACTGAAATAATGCGTGTATTTAATAAGTTCGCAAGAATACTTTTACAAAATCCTGTTGTGGATTTTCAGTGTCTCCTAGTTAGAACTTTTCCATGTAAAAATCGTTGTAAGAAACGCATGGGTATTAAAGCGTGCTGAAATAATGCGGCATTTTAGGATCGCAAAGTGGATCCGCGTCTGGAGGAGATCCAGATCATCAAGGATCTGGGCCGGGCCAACACCAGCACCACTTCGTCCTCCCCGACGCCGGCGGCCGAAGGGGCGGGGCGTCGACCCAGTCGGCGCGCCGCCGAGCCGGTGGTCAGTGCGCGCAAACCGCCTCCGCCGCCGGTCAAACCGGCGCCCGCCAAACGCGGCCGGAAAGCCTCCATGAAGAGCATGATGGAGAGCGACGAGACGGATAAATCAGGTACGGTCCGACGCAGGGTGTGTTCGTTGTGAATTTCAACGAAGTTTGTCTGCCGAATTTTCTGTTGGTTTTTTTTCGACATTGGCGATTATTGGCGGAGCTTAGGGAAATTTAGTTTTCCTAAATTTACTAAGTATCGTTTGCACAAAAACACAAATTTTTCACATCAAGGAAATAAATATTGCAAGGGGATTTGTAACTCTGACAATGTGAATAATGGTAAATTAACTAATGTAATTTAATTTAAAAACTGAAGACTAATATTAATGAGTTTGTTTCGGAAAATAATTTGCCGGTTTATTTTTGCTTGTTTGTTAATTATTGGAATTTAGAAATAAATATGCAGTTGATCAGTTTAATTTGATTTCGTTTTACGTGATTCAAATTACAGTGTACCTGCAAATCCGGGAATCGTTTATTCAGATTCTGACTAGGATGTAAAAGATAAATAAACTCCGACTTAGAATATTCTGAGGAAAAAGCATGAAAACTGAATAAAATCTCCATAAAAATTATAAAGATTTAGTTAGTTAATTTTTTAAGAAGCAGTAGCATATTGATTTTCACGGCCGTTCTTTTGTATTTGATCCACTGTTTTGATGCGGTTTTTAATCCACTGTTCTACGACTTTTCTAAACCTCAGCTGATATCAAAAGCAACCGCAGGGTAAAATTTTATGAAACGGAACGAAATTCGTTTACACTTTAATCGTGCAAAACCAAGTTTATCCGCTTTTGCAGAAACGGCATTATTAAATTGCTTAAAATAAATTTACGACTAAATCCATAATTTAATTTTCCAAATTGGGGTTTTAATGTAATTTTGAAGATTTTGATTTGGAAATTATTTTTCAGTTTTATTAATAATAAATTTGACACTAATTACCGCTGCAGAAACGCCAGTTTCGGTGGAAAAATCTAAGAAAGCGCCGGCAAAAAATCTGATTTTTCAAATTGTCGATTTAGCTTGAAGATTGGGATTTGGAAACTATAGTACAGTTTTATTAATATTTAATTGAATTATTCATTGCCGCTGCAGAAACTCCGCTTTCGGTGGAAAAACCCAAGAAAGTCCCGGCGAAAAATCAGCGAAAACCCTCGGTGACCCCGCCGGCATCCAAGAAGCGCTCGCATTCCGCGAAGGAATCGTCTTCCGCGGCGAAACGGCCGCGCGGCCGCCCACCGGGCTCCAAAGCCGCCGCTTCCGCGACCAAGACGCCGCCCGCCAAACCGGCGCCCAAAGCCAAATCCCCGGCGAAGAAGGCCTCCATTTCGCCGAAAGAGACCAAGAAGATGGTGTCCGAAGATGAGGACGACGACGATGAGGAACCGTTGGCGTTGCCGCGCAACGATATCAGCTCGGAGGGCTCATCGGATCAGGAGGAGGAGAGCTGGGGATTGAGCAAGTTCTCCAAGCAGAAACTGGCCAAGATCACGCCCGGCAAGCGGAAGCAGCGCTCGCCCAGTCCGCCCAAGGTAGGCGTGGTCGTTGAGATGCATTTCTCGATTTTAAATGCAGATTTTTTGCAAATTCAGTGTTGACTTAAATTGTTGTGGTATTTTACGGAAGTTTTCTAGTTTTTGCATAAAATTGCGGTTATTTTGAATGCGGATTTGAATGGTGATATTATTTGAAATGCGGGTTATTATATCTTTTATTTCTTATTTATCGGTTTTAATTATTGATTAACGAAAAAAAATTTAACGTTGAAGTGAAACTGGGAGTAATATATTTTTCTAGTGTTTGTTATATCGTCTGATTTTACAGATTTCCTCTTCTACGTGTATCTTCCTTTTAAAGTTTTTAAGCAGTTGATTTATTTAATAAAAATAAGAATGTTTATTAGAAGCGGATCCCGGACAGGGCAGTATTACGAGAAGCAGACCATTTTTGTTGCACAAATTTTCTTGCGGTTGATTTCGACTTGTGCGTGATATCTGGTAAAGTCGTAGAGCAGTGGATTAAGCGGTGACAGAATTAATTGCTGGTATGTTCGCTGTAAACTTCATTATCATTCGTACTTTGATTTTGAAAATATATTTTTGCAAGTCAACGTCTTCGATTGTCCGGGTATAGCGTTTAAAATTGTTTTGAAATATAATTTTTTTATATTCTAAAAAAATTGTATTGGTTTATCTCGGGTGGAAAATTTTTTCAAAAACCCGTGAATGGAAATTAAAAATTATTATTATTGCAGCCGAAAGCGGAAGCGGCGCAACCGCGTCTCCCGCCGAAAAAACGCATGGGCCGCGTGTCCCGCGTCGACTCAGACGAAGAAATCAAATCCTCGTTGGAAGAGGACGAAGAGAGCGAGGACGGTGGGGATCTATCCGAGGACTCGTTAACCAAAACCACCGGCAGCCGCGCCACCCGCGCCAAAGACAGCAAAACGAAGGACACCGTGAAATCCACCGCCTTCGGGCGCCAAATGACGGCGCGCGCCAAGAAGCACTACGTCAGCTACGCCGAGGACGACGACACAGACGACGAGGAGATGGACGTGCCGCCCGCGCGTCTTCCCACCCCGCCTCCCCCGGCGCCGGTGGCGGCGCCCCCTCCGCCGCCCCCGGAAGTGAAAAAGAAGGCCCCCAGTCCGAAAAAAGAGGAACCCAAGGTGGAGAAGCCGCCGGAGGTAGTACCGCCGCCGCCGGTGGTGGTGGCCCCGGCCAAGAAGAAGGGGCGCGGGAAGAAGGAGGCCGCGGAGAAGGCGGAGGCAGTGCGGGAGGGCAAGGAGAAGGTGAGGGTGGGGAATTTTGTTAATTACTATTTATATCAGTAACAAAAATTCTTTTTTAATATTATTCGGTGGAGAAATCCCACTGGTGAAAATAACGATATTATACCAGTGCTTGGACAATACTTTTCATATTTCCTTGGTTTATAACAGAAAGAAAGTCGGAAAATATGTTCGGAAATTGTGATTATCGCACATTTCCAGCTTCATAGCAAATCATCTTAAAAAATCACACGGGACTTTGTAAGGATTTGAACAATTTGAGATGAACAGTTAAATTTTTGTTTAATTGTGAGTTTAATCATTGGAAAAAGCGGCTAAGAACGGTTTAAATTGAAGGAGAAGGAGACGGAGGAGAAGCCGGGGAAGAGTAATGCGGCTACGCCGGTTAGCGTCGGGATTCCGACGTGGCCGCATTTGACGACGAAACCGACACTGACGGCGTCCGCAGCGGGAAGTGGCGACCCGGTGGTCCCGAAGAAGATGGCCAGAGTCGCCGCGCAACCGCAGCCACAGGTACCGACCAGTTTCCTGGTAACTCATTGTATTTTACTAGTTAAGTTGTTTCTTATTGATTTACTTATTCCTGATATTCTCTGAATTCTTATTTTTTAGCTTTATTATGTAATTATTTCTTATTAATTAGTGAGCGATTTAATTAACACATTAATTTCGTTAAACGTGCTAGTTATTTCCTTGTTAGTTTTCATTGTTTTTCACTCATTAATTAATGAATGGAAGTAATATTTTCTTAATGGGATTTCTAACGATTATAATAATCCAATGATATCATAATTAATGAATAATAATAGATGTTTGTAACGTGTTGCGCTCAGAGTGGTAGTAAATTTTGCAGAAACATTGTAGTGTAGTGGCAGCGTCTTCGATTCATGTGGAAGTAAACACATTGGTGCCATGTATGATGTTAAGAAAGTTGTTTTCGAATTTCATTTCATGACGGCGATTAATGGTTGCTGATTTTTTCACGTAACGACCACTCGGTTACGTTTTTACAATTCTTTCAGTGATCTTCAGATAAAGTGTTTTTGTGCTTTTCAAATTATATAGTTGTTGAACTGGTGTTTTATTTCGGTTTCCGTAATATTTTTATTTTTTCATTAGTTTTATTTCTACGTTCTCTAATTACATTCTTACAAAATATTTTACAGTGTCATCAATTCACCAAAATTAAATGAAAAGTTATAATAATTTAGACTGTTTCGTTATTACTTTCAAAAAATGAAATTTTTTACAATATTTTAAGTCATTGGACGTTTCACAAAGATGGGTAAGCCGGTCGTGTGACAATGGAAAAACTTAACGCATAATTTTTTTTAATAAAATGGCTATGCTGATGGACTGCGTGGCTGTAGACTTCCACGGCGGATTTCGCGCGGGAACGCGTCGGCGGCGGTGACCGCGACGCCCCCGCCGACTATCTGCACCGCAACAACAACTTCCACCCGGCGCAACCGCCGCCGGCGACAGTCCACGCGGCAGCCGCGCCTCCGTACCCTTCCAACGCCGCCCCGCCCCCCAACGCAGCGCCCCCACCTGTGGATTATTATCAGCCATCCCCCGGCGGGCATCCCCACCGCTACCCTACTCCCAGCGCCGCGTCTTACCAGGCGCCGTATAATTATCAGCCGCAGCAGTCCACCGCCAGCCACCCGCAGCCGCCGGTGGCCCAGGCGCATTCCAACCGCGGAGGCGGCGCGCATCAGCAATCAGGTAAGGATTGGGAGGGAGATTCCGACGATTTTGTGACGGTTCTGGATTTTTTTAAATTATACTTGATGTTTTAAATTATACTTGATGTTGATACTTGATGTCTATCACTAATTTCGTTGTTTCTATCATAGGATTTAATATTTATCATATTTGGAAAATTAATTTTTGCTTTTTAAATCACGTTTTGAACAAAATATTGAATTTTTATGCTAATTTTTGACAGCATCTGCTTTTAGACGATGTAACAAATCAGGTAATTTTTTCTCCGTTTTCTCCAAAATCGTTTGGTCAGTTGTTCTTCGTCAGGTTTTTATTGCGCCCCGTGATTCTCCGCTTCAACTGTCTTTCTAAAAAAATATTTATTATGTGCAGACAATTAACTTCTCCATCACTGAAATAAACAACGACTTTTTTGATTTTGAAATGAGATTGCTTTGAAGCTTGAGGAATCATGGTATTTCAGTTTAATCGGGATATTTTTCTAGAAAACGTTGTGATTTCTTGACGATGCGGTAATTGATGTGATTTTTTCCTTGTTAAGGTTTTATCATATTAGTAACTGCCTTTTTGCCAGATCTTAATTTAATTCTGTCATTTCTTCGCTGAAAATTGGTCTATAAATAATTTGTTATATTGAAAACTCTAGTTTTGATGAATTTAGGTATTTTAATTCAAATGCGTATTTTATTTCGCAAGAAATTTGGTTTGACCATTGAATAAATGCCCGTAGGCGGGACCACCTCGCCCTTCCGCGCCACCACCCCCTCCCCGTACGTCCCGCGCAACTCCCCCGTCAGCAATCCGCAACCGGCGCAGAGCGGCACGCCCACCGCCCCCGGCTACCCCCGCTCTTCGGGGACCAGCGCCCCCTACCCGGCCGGCAGCCAGCAGCAACAACAGCCCCCGCATCCCGGCCAGCAGCAGTTCCCGCCGGGCTTCGCCCCCTTCTTCTACCCAGCCGGGACGCCGTTCGCCCCTGGGGCGCCGGGTGCGTGGGGCGCCGGCGGCGGCGTGGTGATGGGCGGTCCGGGCGGGTATCCGCTGCATCTGCCCGGGCAGGCCGGCCAATGGGATCCCAGTATGATCTACGCCGGGATGATGCCGGCGCAGATGCGCAGCGCCGAGGAACAGTACCGCATGGCCGCCGCCGCCGCGAATAATCGCGCTGTGCGCTCCACGGCCACGTCGCCGGATCTGCGGCCCAACAGCAATCCCTTGACCGGTACGTGCACGCAGCTGATTTTTGGTTGTACGATATTTTTCCGTTTATGTACTCGATTTCGTAGTTTTCTGATTTATTGTGATTGGATTTTATGTTTTTCTATATTTGAACATTTTTAATTTTGCTTTCATTAATTTTTTCTCATTTATTTATTTTAATATGCAGTATTTTGGGTACACAGTATACACCAATCGATTTATTTTACCGTTAAAACGGTTTTTGACAAGTGTTTTACAACTTTTTTTTATTTATGTCCAATTTAATTTGCTACACTATCTGGAATTAGAATGGGTTGATAACTTTTAAATTATTACAATATTTATTTTTATAAAAATGTACGAGTATGCACTTAAGCAGGATTTTAATTTAGTGATCTGTCTGAAACGCCGCATATATTTTTGAATATTTTCGGGAGTCACTGTACTACGGTTTGCTGTTGTACACCGTATACATCATACTTCAACCGTTCAACGTACTGCCAACAGATTATCAATTTGCAAACTTGCAGTAGTTTCGTTTACACGAGTAATTCCCTAAGCGTTTGTCAGATTGAAGCAGTATTATTGAATTAAGTAATCGAGCCCATTGGTTTTAAACAGCGTATGATTTAATTTATGTTATACTCGTACTTATGTTTATAGCTTGTTATTTATGTTCCATTCATTTGCATTCAGTTGAATGGTAATTTGAATTAATTGCATAATGATCCTTCATAAATCAACGGGATGGCGTAGTGGACGGCGGTCGTCACGTCGTGTGTGTTTGCAGGGGTGATCACGGGCGCCATGCAGGCCCTGCACAACTTCTCCATTCCCTCACCGCCCCTGCCCACCGCCGGCGGCTTCCCGCTGCCTTACCACCCAGCCGCCGGGCAGTCACCCGTGGCGCGCAGTTCCCCGGCCAGTCTTCCCGGCAACCTCCAGGATGCCGCCCCGCCCACCAGCAAGCACGCCACCGAGCCCGCGGCGTCCCGGAAGGCTGTTCCGGAGGTGCCGCCGGCCGCCCGCCAGAGTCCCAAGATGGGCAAGAAGAAGTCGCCCAGTCCCAAGGAGAAGGAGGCGGTCAGTGGGAAGGGCGGGAAGGTGTCCCCGCCGACCACCACCAGCAGCGCCCCGCAGGCGGGCGAGCCCTGTCCCCTGACCATGCTCAGCGCCATTGCCACCTCCATGATGCCGGTGGCCACCGGCGGGAAGGAGAAGGACAAGGAGGAGGGCAAGGAGAAGGCGCCGGCGGTGGAGACCGTTGTTGAGAGCAGGTACAGGATTTGTCCCCAATTTTCTCATTTTTTCCCTGGACAATTCTATTTTTATTCAGCATTTAAACAGTTTATTTGCAGTATTTTGCGCTCGATTCTTTTTCTAATTAATTGTTTCTGGTTTCTTGGTTGATAAAATTTTGTTAGTCATTCTGTGGAATTTTACCGGCCTTAAATTGTGGCTTTTTCTGGCACTGACATTTTGAAATTAATTTTTATGGAACGTGCGTAAATTGTTGATTCTCTTTATCTTGTATTTTTTTTTAGCATGCTGAGAATTTGTTTGATCTTCTTTCAGATATTTACTCTGTTTATTTATTAAAAAATTCTGTTCATTTCTACATTTAAATTTAAGTGCTTAATGAAAGCCAGATGTGTGGTTACGACCTTTGCCTCGTCGATTCCGCATGCTGCGGTCACTGTACTACGTTTTTTTCAGTAGTTAGTACAAACTAACAACTCGCACGTTTAATACCCTGTTATAATACGGTCCGGGAATTTTAATTTTGATACAACTGAAGTTAATGTAAAAGCTGTTAATAAAATTTATGTCTGAGTTTTTTATTATTCTGAATTCAGATTTTTACGGTGACGTGATTTTATAAATATTGGAGTTTTTTCTGTAGATCTCAGAGTATGATCATCCCGGAATAAATTACAGGATTTAAAATTATCTATGATGTTAATTTAAATTGAATTTACGACGCCATGAACTATGGCCATTTTTCTTGTTAATTTTCCGGTGAATTTATTTCATAAAATCGGAAATTATTCTGTATAGATCTCAGAGTATGATCATCGCGGAGAAATCCGAAACCCTGCCCACACCGACACCCATCGCGGCGTCCACACTGACCACCACGACGACGACGACGACCACCAACGCGGGGAGCATTGTGAGTGAACAGGTGACCGCCGGGGCGGGCGGCCGTGTTGAGGCGCCCATCGCAGCGGCGCCCGTGGTGGCGCAGGAGACGCTGGTCACCGTAGTGGCTGTTGAGACCACCGCACACACACCCCCACCACCCCCCACACTGTCTAACACCACCACCGACGAGGGCGACGCAGGCGGCGGGGCCGAGAAGGTGGCCGCCGCCGCCGCGGCGCCCATCGTCAGCTATCCCAACTCGGATGAGGAGGAGGAGGATGAGCAGCGGCCGCGGCTGCGCATCTGTGATGAGGACGGCGGGAAACCTGGGACTGGGACGGTGGTCAAGGAGGTCGTTGATGAAAGCAAGGATTCCGTTGTGGAGAATAACGGTGAGGATTATGGCATTTGTTTTAATAATTTTCTTGTATTAAATTATATTCATGCTGTATATCTTACGTTGACGGGTGGGGTTTTCTTCGCCTTGGAAATTTATTTTGAAATTTTTTAAATTAAAAATAAGCTTACTAAAATCTTACTCTCAATAGAAAATCTTAAAGTTTTAAAAACAGTCTTAATAAAATCGAAGGTCTTCTATTTTCAGAAATTCCCAGAATAATTTTCATGCTGAAGGGAATGTGAGATTTGCGAATTTTTAAATACTTTTTCTTCGAAACGATAATTCTGTTCTAAAATTGCATAGTAGATTTAAAAGAGGTGTTAAATAATAATTTTCCAACCTTTGTGAAGAGTACTGTAATAATTCAGTTTTTAATTGGTGGAGTATATTTCTGAATTTTAATTTTTAAATTACAGCAGTAAAATACTACTTACGTAATCTACAAATTTTTAAACGATTCGGAGGTTTCAAAATTATAAAAATTATTTTAAAACTAAATCAGTTTAAAATTAAAATGCTATTGGAGTTTTCTTGTCAGTGCAAGTTATTATAAATTAATAAAATTAAGACTTGGCCACTTGGGTGAATTTTTCTTGCGACGATTTTAAATTGGAATTGTGAGTAAATTTGCCGTTTATTTGCGAGTCATTATTTATCGCCAAAATTCAGTAAATGCCGTCCGTTCCTTGAGGCAACTTTCGCACCTTTTATCCGCGGTTTTTGTGGTGGATTTATTTAAGAATTTGTTAATAATATTGGAATTTTTACAGGCATCTCCAGCGACGCGGAAACGAAAGAAATCCCCTTAACGGAAGCGGCCACGCCCAGCGCCGTGGACGCCACGGAAAAATCGCCGATTGTCACCGAGACGGTCACCGTGGAGATCGCCCCGGAGTCCTCCGCCAACGAAGCGCCCAACACCGAAGAAATCCCGCTGCCCGACGCCGGTAGCGCGCCGAGCACCTGAACAACACCGAAAACAAGAGATGCGCGTTGTTTGTTTGTTTGTTGACCGGTGATCCGGGTTGTTTTGTTTTTCCTCTTCGTCTCTCTCTCGCTACTTCTCTCCTTTATCGTTTTTCTCGTTTTCCCTTCCCGCGTTGTACGCTTAGCTAATTTTTTTTGGTGTTTTTTCAAGAAGGATTTCGTTGGTTTTTAGTGGGTTATTTTTGATTAATGCTTTTTTTACCGTATTAATTAATTACAAATTATTATTAGTAGAACGGGAGTGGTTTTTGTCCTCCCTGGAGAATGTTTTTTTTCTGCTTTTTTTTGTGGCTGATGTTTTGTGTAATTTTATGTGGATGCGATGGCGTGGAAAATTGATTATGCTGTTTTTTTTTAAAAAAATGGGGCGTTGGCGGAACAAAATTATTTCGGATTAAAATACGACGATTTTCTGTGGAGCGGTTGAGGTTGCGATTTTATCCGGAAAATTGCATGAGTATGGTGAAAAATGGGTGAAGTGTGTGGTGGTGTTGTGCTGTGAAAAATTGCATTATCCCGGCGATTATTTTTTCAAGTGTTTTGTTTGGCGGTGCACGTTTTTGAGGGTTTTCTTGGCATCCTTCGATAATTGCCGGCGTCAGACGCAAATAAGGGCGCCGCGATTCAATCTGCATGGCGCAGGTGCTCCCATTAATTTTACTATTTAAAATATATTTTGCTCATTTCAGTTTTTAATCTTTTGATATTTATTGTATAGTTTTTTATACGTTTCTGAATTATTTCAACCATGAATATTTTTTCTATTTGTAGCTGCAGTGCGGTAAGTCGGGTAAGCTAGTTAATTACTCGTAGTTTATTTTTGGATTTTAAGTTTTCATTGGTTTTGTGTTTTTTTTTTGTACTTTTCTTAACCAATTTAAGACACGGATATTTTTCCTAACTGCAATGCGGTAAATTCATTAGTTAGTTATTTCGGATTTTAGGTTTTCTTTTTTTTATATTTTTTGTAACTTTCTCAATTATTTAAGCCATAAATATGTTTGCTAACTGCAGTGCGGTAAATTGTTTAATTAATTAGTAGTTTATTTTGATTTTCTTTACGTGTATATTATTAAGCTTTTTTATCTGGCAGAATATTTTAACTGACATTTTTCGGATTTTTTCCGCACATAACGTTAGGTTTTTTTATCAAAATTGTTGATGGATTTTTAGCATGCTTTTTTAAATTGAATTTTTCGAATTTCGAAAATCAGTTTTCGTTCCCGAAAAAGAACTGTAAACGGTAATTTTTCCTATTACTCGTACATTATTCGTGCAGCAAATAAATATATTTAATCATTGTATTTGCAATGCTTGTTGTTTTTTACCATATTAACTGATTAACGCCATAATAATTTTGACCACGAGAAAATTAATAAATTAACCGGAAGCCAGGTAGCCGTTGGCTTCGGCTCGGCACTGTCCAGTGCAGACAGTGACAGACAGCGCAGACCGCAGGTGGCTGGACGACATGATTCACACTGATCGCAGATTCGCACATCGACTCCAAACGAAGATGAGTAATTCCTCAGTTGTTGGACGCGTGTCTGTGCTCTGATCCAATCCTGCTGGAGGGTTGGGATCTGAGTTATTCACCTAATTCGGTTCATTCTGTGCACTTAACGTCTCGTGCTCAGTACAGCAATTACAATTCCACTCTCGCATGAAATCCATTGGAAATTGTAGCTGTGCCGCGTCTTTGTTAGTGATGCAACAAGGTAAAATCAAAGTTTTTTATTTCGGATCTCAACAAATAATATCATCGCCGACTGCTTAATCAAATTTTTGAATTATAATTGTAAATGCGCATTTTCAGATTAGTTCTTATTTAAGTGTGAGGAACCTTCATGTGTACAGCGAAACTTATACACTGATCCACAAATTTGCATTCACTGTTGCACTACTTCATATAAATGTTTATTGAATGTTTATTTTACCATTACTGTGCTATAATATTTCACGAGTAAACAATTTATACAAGGCAACCATTATATTTATACATTAACGCACAGTATTTATAAAAGTTATGCTACGCAATCAAAATTTATCCCTGACGGTTCTTTTCCAAACCAATTAAACGGACATTGCAAATCGCGCCCGCACAAAATAAAAGTCAGAAATTCCAAAATGAGCTTGAAAACCCAAATCTAACTTACAACCTCCAGTCAAGTAAAACTTTTGACGATACTAATGTGTGCACTCGGGTTAAGACTTTGATCTGGACTAACAAGATTACTAAGGTTTATACTCGGTTATAAACTAAAAACAGCACTCTGGTTAAGACTCTGGTTAAAAATACGGTCAACAGACGAATCAACTGTTTTGTTCGGCTTTAGCTTAACCCCTTTCGACAAACTGACTCTCGATCTTTTTCTGCAAATCTTCTTCGGAACTATAACTCAAATAAACTTTCGCATTGAAAATGTCTTCATTTCTTTTTTATCTTCGTTTTTTTTTTCATTAAGAATACTGAAATCAACCTTTTCGTTGAAAATGCTTTTAGTAACATCTACGCAGGGGAAGCCGCATGATATACGTACATTTCGGAATAAGAACATAAGGGCATAAAACTCTTCCGCATATACCAATTTTAGCATAGCACAATTTGGCTTAAAAAACAATTTTAACAAAGCTTGAAAAGTTAAAAAACATACTGGATTAAAAAAAAAACTAAAGCCAGCCAAAAAAGCTAATAATCTTATGAACACCACGAAAATATATTCAGAAAACACAAGAAAAGCTAACAAAAACAAGTAAAATATAAAAAAAAACTTAGGAAAACATTCTAATGAGATTATAGATTAGAACGTAAACAAAAAGACAGTAGCATGCCGAATGTCTGTGTAGCGATTCAGCAAAAAGTTTTTGTACCAAATTTTTCTCATGCCAAAGCGTCCGCGAAAAATTGTTTTTCATAAGCATTTTGCAAAAAATAATTATGTGTAGCGAAACAGTTACGATTCCTGAATTATTGAATGATATTTGGTGTACAAATAAAGATGTTCGTGTTAGCTTTAACGAGAGTGTTAACCCGAGTACTAATGCTAGTTTTGATCAACGTATAAACTTGAGTGGTGATACTAGTTCAAAGCATGGTCTTAACCCGAGTGCTCATAGTAGTGTTGGCAAAAGTTTCAGACCAACGGAATAATTGCGTATAATACCTATAATGCGTTCTAAAACAATTTTGCAACAATTTCCATTACATTTGAAACGCTCTGCTACTCGGCAGTGGAAGTATATAGTAGCGTAGCGCTAGCCTCTTTTTATTTCCAACATCAGCTAAAAACAAAAAAATATACATTTTTTTTCGAAATATTTAACCAGAAAAATGGTATGCTAAGATAACTTTTTATTTTCTGCTTTTTTTTTCTCTAATAATCTTTCTCAATTGAAATATAACTGTTTGGTCAACGCATATTTAGTGTTTCAAGACAACAGATTTAGCAAACGTGCAGGATGAAAAATTGTTGTGAAAAATGACGGCGCAAAATTAAATGTGCAAACAATTCAAAACTCAGGCTTTAAATCCTCGTCATTAGTAATGTCGTATATTTTTTTGCAATTACGTCATTTCGTCATTTTCAGTTTCTAGTATTCCTTTGGTTTGCCAAAAAACAGATATTACAAAATAAAATGTATAATACCATTAAATTTTCTTTGAATTTTTAAATTTGAAGTTCTGTTATAGTGCCTAACTTCTGTTATAGTGTATTTCTGGCTGAATAAACTTCACTGGTGAACATAATAATAAATTCAATTAGGTTTAAAACATTTTGTGGACGGAGGAATTTTTGAGTTTTTGGGAGAAATAACCAGAGTTCGCAAACACTAAGCTTTCTGAGGTTTGAAAACCTGAGTATAAATATTAGTTTTATCAGAGTATTATCAGAATTACTGATCTTAGTTTTAAGCGTAGTCTTAACCCGAGTGTTCATCTTAGTTCTTTCAAAAGTTTCTGCTGACAAAAAAATATGTTTTTTAACAGTGTTTTATGCTTAAAATTTTAGCTATTTGCAAACGTGTCCTGGCAAGCCGAAGCATATTACAAATGGAATGAGGTGTGCTTTATCATCTTGATTTCACTACCGATGTTGTAGGACTGGGGAGCATCATAATGAGCCTTTCCAGCAATATGTCCAACAATATTCCTTATGTACGTAGTTTTCAGCAAAGAAATACAAAAACTACGAAACCTTGTGGCTCAAGATCCACAAGCTACTGTTTCCATGTCGCTGAATTTTCATAAGGAACTTGTTTTTACGATATTGCTGCAGGTGCCAGTATTTCATATTATATTTTAGTTTTCCCGTGGTAAATTGGAACCTTTCGGATATCAGTGGATGTAAACATAAATTTTATCAAAAAAAGAACATTGTGATAACTTGAATGACTTTTTTAAAACATTGATTACCTGATTGCGAAAACCGAATGCAACACACACCAAGAAACCACAAATTCCAATGGATGTCGAGACGTGTACAGCTGTAAACACTGCTACTGAGCGCGAGACGCAAAGTGCGTAAAATGAACCGAATTAAGTGAATAACTCAGATCCCAACCCTCCAGCAGGATTGGATCAGAGCACAGGCACGCGTAGTTGTTGGCCCACCAAATTCCCTCCTTTGTCTGCCTGTTGTAGCGTGTTTGCGTCATCGCGGATTATCGCGGACTCGTTAGTTTCGTCACGTCCGTCTGTTGCCGCCAGTCTGATTTATCAGCCTGCAGGGGAAAATATTATCCAATTGATTAATCATGGAAGTCAGTTGAATCGCAGCTGGCGTTTTCATCATTTTTTAATTTGAATTTTAAAATTTTATCGTCTGCTGCTTGATGTGCATGCGTCTTGTCGCGTCTCTCTCCTTGCCTGCATTCTGTCTATCCATGCATGACGAGCATTATCCCGGAGTGTTTTGTGCATCCATCTTTGTGTTTGCAGCAGCATCGCGTGGAAAAGTGGAAGCAGTACGCGCTGAGACACCACAGTATCCCCCACATTTTACACTCCTCGTACCTGACGACTGCCAACCGTGATTTGCCTGCGGAAACGCAAGGGACCGTGCCCAGCCCCGCAGGTACGTGGGTCCCGAAACTTCTGTTTTTTATCGTTAGTTTTTGCATGGGCGCCATAGTGGGTCGGATATCCGGCGTGCGGGATGACGTAAAAACGCGTGAAATGCGATTTTTCAGCTGATTGCCTGATGTTGCGAGATAATTGCGGCGCGAGTAGTGAGTTCTTGGTAGTGGGCTGTAGGCATCTATGTGTGAGAACGGGGACGTTTTAATGGTTGAACGAATCGTCTGATGTTTTGCTTTATTGGGCTAAATGCGGCGCAGTGGGTAGCGTTTCAGCTATATCGTATTGTACATTGGCGTACTGGTACAGGGAGAAATCTGAGATGCGTTGTGCTTGTTGGAAATTAATTTTTAAACGCAGCGCAGATGAAAAATTTTACGGACAGTCACTAGGAATATTGACATAGGATAACAGGGAACTAGCTTGTTTGGTTATATTTATTTGGTAATTTCAGGCAGTTGCTGGAGAGTTTGATTAAATTATTTTCCTGCTTTTCTTTGACTAAATTCGGCGCTTTTGGTGGTGATCGTGCTTTATCGCATTATGAATATACGTACCGTTACAGGAAAAGTAGTGCAGTGCGTTGCGTTTGTTGAAGAATAATATTAAATGCAGCGCGACTGACAATATTATGTACCGTTCTACTGATCACTATAGTACGCTCACAGGGAACTGTCTGCTATGGTTCAGTTTAATCGGTAATTTCCGGCGTTGTTGCAGCTTTTGATGAGGAGATCTGGAGTGAAGAGGAAGTATTGGATTCTATCCGCGATAAAATGATGGCAGCTAGTGAGAAGAATCATATCGGCGCCAAACGCGCCATCCTGGCCACGGAGAACGGCGAGAAAGCCGTTGTGAAGCGAGCGAAGCGCGATGTGCTGCCGGCGGGGAAGCCGTCGTTCATCCAGACGACCAGCTGCATTCACCTGCGGAAGCCGCTGCCCGTGTCGGCCGGCGTGACGGGGCAGTTCGTGGTGGAGGTGCCGCTGTGCATGGACTGCTTCCTCCTCTACGTCCGCTTCGAGAGCGATTACCGCGGGGATAATACCTGCCGCTTCCGGGAGACCAATATGCGATTGTAAGTTTACTTTGGTGTACGGTACTAATTGTATTTATTTCCGAATTATTTTACTCAATTTAATAGGGGGAAAATTTTTATACTAAATTATTTTTTTGAATTACAGTAAATGGGAAAACATTTACACATTCTGTGAATTATTTTCTTAAATTACAATTAGAATAAAAATTAAATTTTCAGCGGCTGTCAACATATGATATTGTTATTCGTTTTTAATTGCGATTTCTACATCGAACAGTCGAAGCCTTATAATTTCTGCTTTTCATAGAAAAAGTTTCCTTTTCCAGAAAATTGTCTTTATATTTCTTTTCTGTCATTCGGTATTGAGAATATAGTCATATGGAATAGAATGGTCTGCAAGAAATTCAAAGAAAAAACGATTCAGTTTTCGTGATAAACTGAAGTTTAGCAATCATAAATCTGAAGAAAAATGCGAAAATTCTTCTAACTAGAATTTTAAAGTAATATTTTATTATTAAAATGACGTTAGTTATTGTTTTTTTAATTATTGGAAATTATTTTTGATTTATTAGAAAGTTTTTTTTGTTTTCCAGTTTATTTAATTTATTTTAAAGTTGTTATCAAATACATATTGCTTTCCAAGAACGTAGTCGGTTTGTGACATTGATGACGTTTATCTAGTTTGTTTGCAGATTACCGGAAAATACATTCCTTTCCAGTTTTTTTAATTTATTTTTTTAAAACATTAATTTCTTTTTCTTGCAGTTTACGACCGCACGAATACCTGAAGCCGGAGCGCGCAGGGGGCCCGAGCGTGCCGTTCCACTCGCTGCGGCTGCACGCCGCCGTCACGGAGACGGTCAGTCAATCACGCTCTCCACCCCCCTCCGCCCTGTACTTCATCGAGCCCCCCGCCGTCCCCGACCCGGTCGTCAGTCGCGCCGTGGCCGCCTACATCCTGCCGCGCGCCGCCGGCCCCCTCCAGCGCGTCTTGAAGGACCAGGAGGCCGACTTCAACGTCTACGAGCTGGCCCCGGACAGCACCATCCTCAAGCAGGTGCCGGCGGGATTCCGCGAGTACTGCGACGTCTGCAAGACGTCTATATTCGATCTCCATCATACGTGCCTGTGGTGTGGGTTCGCCGTGTGCGGACCGTGCCGGAAGCGGCGCAATGCGCTGCAGGGGGCGCCCGTCGCGAAAACAGGTACAAAACAACTCATTTTTAATGATTTCTCTGCTTTGCGTCCGTTGGACTCCACGAGACAGTGCAGTGGGAATTGTTCTCGAATTTTAATTGTGGAAACTAAACTAAATTGTTCTTAATTAATCTCCATTTTTCTTATTGGCTAAACACCAGAAAATTATCGGCCTGAAATTTTTTTCTGGATTTTGCTATTGTGTGAACAAAAAATAAGTTAGTGGTGATGATCTTTAATTATAAATTATTTTGTTGTCTAGAAACATAGAAAATAAATTAGTCTTCGTTTTCCGCGAATTTTATTGGCTGAACGCCAGAAATTTAATCATTATTGATTTAATCATTTCTTCCTGTTCTCTGATTTTCATTTTATAGATTAATCTGCAGAAATTACGTAAATGCGCTTTAACCTTTAGCTACAATCAGCGTTTTTTGATCAGTTTTATTTAAGGAAACCGTTATAGCCACCCCATATTTAATTCATATGTTTATCATCATGTATTTTGTTGGACTTGATTTTGGTATCAAATTGATTGCTTGGATTCGAAGTCAGTTACTGTAATTTATTTGGTTTTGTTTCTTTGTTTTTCCTATTATTTTTTTCCGTAAATCCTGTAAAACTGTATTTGCGCTATCATTTATTACTTATAAGTGCGTTTAAATTGTTAACCAAGATTTTTCTTGATCGAATTTTTGGTTTGAACCTTTGTCGAATCCCCATATCTTTGATGGATTTAAAAAAAACTGGTTTTTTATTGGGGAAAATTAATTATATGGATTGTTTGCGTTGTAGGCAAGACGGGAAAAGGAAAAACCGGGAAACTGGTGTACAATCCGGATGATTTGATCGGGATGCAGGAGATCCCGCGTGACGACTGCAAATGGCCGGCGTGCTGCGCCAGTTCCACCCGCCCGCTGCCGCGCGACGTCAAATCCATGGCGCAGGCCCAGGAGCTGGCCGCGCAGCGCTTCGACCATAATCTCAAGCCGACACGCATGATCCCCACTAAAGGTCAGCGTTGGCCTGCGTAAAAGAAATTACTACCGAAATTAATTATTATTATTTTTTCCTTTTTTATTTAAATCAGATTCTAATGACATATTTGTCGTTGTTCTTACAATTAAAATTCCTTATAATTATGGAAATTTAAATTTCGCGTTTTTTGATTTACAATTCTGACGTTTTTTCGTTGTGTTTAAATGTAAAATTTACCATTTTCTGTTTTATTAATTTAAATCGTAGTAGTTGTTTCGTTCTGTTTCAATTTAAAAAGGGAATAGTTATTGTTACGTTTATTACCTGTGGTACAACGGTTATGCAACAGCTTAAAACAACATAATTTTACAACATGAAAATTTCATTTAACTTTTCTGCTCCTTCCATCGTTCCCAAAACTGATGCAGCGTTTCCTCGTTGTATCACTAGTGACAGTCTTTGACGTAGAAATTCATGGGAACGTCTTTCGCCTGTGTGTTGCTCCAGTCGTTTGCCCAATTCTTTAATGATGGCAATGGCTGACGGTCCCCATGGGCCCATTGTTTCGAAAGCAATTGGAGAAAAAATGTATCTGCCGTTTAAGTACGAGTACAACTGAGACTTCTTCTGTTCTGCTTCCACCGCAGCCGCACTTGCGTGAGTTGCTGTTTTCTTGATGTGAGAAGGGTTGTTGTCATGATGTGTAGTTATTGTTGTTTTTGGAGGCTGCAGTAGTTGTATTATTATTTCACTTTCTTTTTAATTGGAATTCTTCTGTCGCTTGATAAGTAACGATTGGTTTTATTTAGTACGTTGTCCGGTTTGTGTTAGGGGAATTGTCGGAGATAGTTAATTTTCCTTCAAGAGGATTTTTCTGTTGCTTTTATTCACTGGATTATTTAATTAAATTTTCAGCGGTGGAATTGATAAAGAAACGGTGCAGCGAGTTAGCGCCGGATGAGCTGCTGCCGAAAATGCCGATTCCCTCGAAGAAGGCCCTTCTCGACCGGAAGAAATGCTTATCGACGCGCTGCCGCGACATCGCCGATCCCTGGCCGTCGGAGCGCCACATCCGCCGCATCCCGGCCGGCCGTCCGGACGACGTGGCGCTGCAGGAGTTCCGCGACAAATGGTGCCAAGGTACTGCCCGTCGAACGCTCTTAATGCCAGTGCTATTGTGGTTTCGTTCTGTCAATAATCTGAATGAAATTAACATTTATTTTTCGATTGTGCATTTTGGACGTGTTCCATCGTTGTTGTCCGCATGATAGCTGATTTTAGTACAGTATTTAATTTATTTCTTCTCCCTGTAAGTAGCCAACTTATTCAACATAAGCTGGCTACTGGAAAATTTTTTCGGTACATTTTCAAAATTTTTTTTTACTTTTTGTGTTATCTACATGAATCAGACTACATGTACGGGTACTCGCGACATCTGCACAGGCTGACTTCAGTAACTTGATAGAGTTTAAATCGTCCCGAGTTGACGAGAGGGTGTAGTGTAACGGTAAAGCAGATTCCTTTGCTGGTGCTTGATGGCTTAGCAAGTGTGAAAATTCAGCTAGATGCAGTCATAAAATATTTTTACAATGTAATTTATCAATGCGGTGGAATGCATCGCTGGATTTATTTCATAATTTAAATGGAGTAATATTGCCCACGCTGGATTTTATTGTAGAATTTCATATTTTCAAAATATTGTGCGATTTGTGCAGGTGATCCGGTGATTGTGGAGGGCGTGCACCGGCGTCTGGCGCGACCGGACATCTGGCTGCCAGAGTATTTCCAACAGCGTTTCGGCGCCGAGCCGGTCCTGTTGGTGGACTGTCTGAAGAAGCCGCAGGAGCAGCTGCACGGCAAGACGCATGGCGATTTCTGGAAGGGCTTCACCAACTACAACGGTAACGAATATTTCTAACAGAATTCACATTTTTACAGTTTTTTATCCCTAATTATTCTGCTGATGAAATTCCAATTTTTTTCTGCAGAATTTTTTTGTAAAAATAAACAGCTTCCGCTACTTTTGGTATTAGTCGCAAAATATGCTCTCAAATCGATTAAACGTTTTTTATTTATGCTACCAGATTTATTTTCTCTAATTTTTAGTATTGTTACAGTCTCTAATTTTATTTTTTTAGTATTATTTGGATGTTGTGGTTATTTGTCAAATTCTTGCTTATTATTTTATATTTATTCTTTTTTAATAAAATTAATGAATTTTATTCATTTTGTCTGATTTTTAGTTTGTTTTTACAGACTCTAATATTATTTATTCGTAGTGCTCGGATGCGTTGGTTATTTGTCCGAATCTTGCTGATTATTTCTTCTTTTTTTAATTAAGATTAATAAATTTTATCGAAACGAAAAACTGGAAAGGTAGTAACTGTTCCCAGTTGTCAAACTTGCATGCGAAATGAATTTTCTTCATTTTTCTGACTGCTATTTGCGGACGCTGCAAATCTCGTGGCGTATAATTTATTTTTCGATTAATCTGTTATTGATGAGAGATCTTTTCCTTGCAGAACGCTTGCGAAATAATAACGGTATTCCGCGGCTGTTGAAAATCAAGGACTGGCCGACGGATGCGTCGTTCCGCGAGAAGCTGGTGGATCATTATCAGGATTTGATGCAGGCGCTGCCCATCAACAGCTACGCCAACATCCACGGCGTCTTCAACCTCTCGCGCTACCTGCCGAGCCATTTCAATCCGCCGGATTTGGGCCCGAAAATGTACATTGCCTACGGTGAGTGGGGAAGACGAATTTCGATTAAAATGCGAATTTTTGTGTGTACAGATACGTTTAATTGTATTGCAATTGAAATGTCGTTGGGAAATTGTGCTGTTGCGGTCGAAGTGATTGTCCCGAAAAATTTTCTTGGAATTTTGTTAAAAATATGGGGAAGTTCTCTAGCAAAATGGGAGAATTATTCTTCTAAATTTATTTAAATATAAAGTGGATGCAGTCTTTTGGCGGGGATGTTTTAGATTTGATTGATTTAAAAAGTTGCGCAACATTTTGCACGTCGATCAGTCGGTGTACAGTGGATGCGAAGACGAGCGGCTGTACATGCACTTGCAGCTGCTTCTATCACCGTAACCAACAGCGATACTTGAGGATTTTGTAGTGTAGCGGCTATTGAGCCAGTCCAAATTGATTCCCGTAGCCTGGAAATATAACGAAATCTGAATATTGGAAATGTATTTTAAATTTTTACTTCTTCTAGATAGATAATTCGGAGCAGTACAATGTATTTTCAACCAAACAAACATCGATATTTTTTTTTAAATCAAGGACCATTTTTATTCCTAGTAAATATGAAATATGAAAGTCAGATTGTTGATACACAAAAATTCATGGTTTTCATTATTGGTGTTTAGAGTGTTGCTCTAGTTGTTGTTGTTAATAATTATTATTAATCGTGTTAAAAATGTGGCGTTGCAGGCGCGGCCGGGCAACCGAAACACGCCACTACCAACCTGCACGTGGACATCTCCGACGCCGTCAACGTCATCGTCCACGTAGCCAAACCGGTGGGCGAGGGCGCCGAAGAGAGCCTGCAGAGTACGCCGACACCGGAATTCCCGTTTTTCCCTCGTCAGCTGCGATTTTTGCGGCTGAATTAACTCAATTAAGTGATATTTGTCGGCTGTGTTGCAGGTACGAAGGAAGTGTTGTCCAGACTCAATTTGGATGAGGAGACGAAGCGGCGTCTGGAGGATCCCAATGAAGTGCCCGGGTGAGAATGGGGTCTTCCTTATTCAGATCATTTTTTCGTTTTTGTCGAGTTGTAATTAATATCTTTAAATTTTTTCGGCAAAATCTATATTTTTCCTCTGTATGTCGTAAGTTTTTCGAGATAATGCTTTTGTGTGGCTAACAAAAATTAATTGTCTAATTAATTTCATTAAGATATTGTGGAAATATTCCCAGTCAGCAAATAAATTTATTCATTTTAATGTAATTAGTGTGAGCAGGGGATAAAATTCGTTTAATATAAAAACAATCTGACGGAAATACTGTACGTACGTTGATTTATAAAAAATTGAAATAAATTTGTTGAAAATTCAGGGAAACTCGCAGAAAATTGCATAATATCCTTACTTACTTATTGTGATGGTGGTTTTAAGGGCCGTGTGGCAGATCTTCCGGGCGAAGGACGCCGACACGATCACGGCGTGGCTGCTGGAGCGGCAGCAGTCGGCGCGGGAACGGCGCGCCCTGGCCGCCGGCAAGAGCGAGCCGCCGGTGAATCCCATCCACACGCAGGACGAGTTCCTGGACGAGGCGATGCGCGAGCGCCTGCGGCAGGACACCCACGTCTGGCCCTTCGATATTGTGCAGTTCGAGGGCGACGCCATCTTCATTCCCGCCGGGGCGCCCCACCAGGTACGATCAGGAGGAGGCATTCTTCCTCCAGCTGGGGAATAACTTCTTCAGCAGAATATTTACATGTTTTTATTATTGAGTTTTCGGTCCGGGATTTACTTATCTGAATTAATAATTTATTTCGTACTTGTAAATTTATTTTATGGGGATTTTTCATTTATTTATTTGATAGTTCATAGGTTCTGGTTTTATGCATAATTAAAATGGTAATTTATTCACTGATTTTTTGGTAATCTGTTCTATCTCAGCTTTTTATTTGTTGAGAAATTTCGCAGTAGGTAATAGGTAATTAATTTGCGATTTAACATAATTTTTGCAGTAATTGGTTATTGCGGCTTTAGGCGCGTGCACAGGTTTTCGTAAATTTTCTAAAAAGCCTGAAAGATGTTGTGTAACATTTTTTGGAATTATTTGAAAAAACCTTGTTTTTCTAGAAGATTCTCTATTTTTATGAGAATTTGCGGTGTGCGAAACGGTCGGAATAATTTCTTTATTTGTTCCTTCGAAATAATTGTTTTTAAGGACTTATCTCCCATCTTTTACAGTTAAACGATATGATTAGAATTAAATGATTTTTTACAATTAATTTCTTGGGGCTTTGTAGGTGTGGAATGTGCACAGCTGTATTAAAGTGGCGGAGGATTTTGTCAGTCCGGAGCATCTGGCGCACTGCGTCAGTCTGACCACCGACTTCAGCCGGCTGCCGGACAACTTCGACAACAAGGCCGACAAACTGCAGGTACAGAATTGTGTGCTTGCTGCATGATAGCGTAGTGTAAAGGCTGTTATTATAAAATACGGTTCGTATTTTAATGGTTTTATTTTTTCCCGTTTTCGTCGCGCTGTTTTCTGAATAATGAATAAATGTTTTTTTAAATTGTTGTGTGCCTATAATAGAACCAATCCAGAAAATTTTTGTAAATAGTTCATTTTTTTGTTTTGGTTTTCACCGGATTGTGCATAAAAGTTTTAAATTAATAAACATGTAATTTTTCCACTTGAATTTGTTTTGCAAATGTTTCGTTGACTAAACACGAAAAAACAACCCGAAAATATTTGTAAATAGTCTGAAGCATTGCTCGCGTGTCGAGAACAAAATAAAATTTAAAACTGTAATAAAGCAAACAGCGATTAGCATTTTTTCTAATTTTTGGAATGGGAATTTCGGTGATTTTTTGAGATAGCGAATTATAAGGTTTTATTAATTCAAATAAATGGCGAAGTAAAATTTGTCATCAGGTTTCATGTGACTGAACTGTAGATAAAATTAATAAATAAGTAATTTGTTGTGCCATTAATAAAATACAAAAAAGATTTGAAATTATTTTATTTCGGCAGGTTCGTTAAAATGGGTGTCTTTTATTTGTGTTGCAGATTAAGAACATCGTCTACCAGACGGTGAAGGTGCTGGCCGGCGTCGCGGAGTAGCCGCCCACCGGGATGCGGCGGTGTTATCCGCACACTGCGTGCCTTTATTGTAGTTTTTACTTTTTGATGTTTTCACGCTTCGTGTTCCTGTCTAATTGACTGATGGAATGAGCCACGAGCAGGAGAAATAGGATTTCGTACGTCATGCGTGTATAGTTCCGTGTCAACGTGCTGTGGTGTTGCGTTGCGTGTTTTTTAGACGTTTCTGATTGTTGATGGTCAGGTTAGCCAGTTCCTGTTGATTATTTTGTGTATGGATCTCGTTTTGTTCTTTTCTCGACGCAACTAGTGTTGTTACGTGTGTAAACACCGATCGGTGCTGCGACCGGCTCAGGAATTAATAAATACTGTCGGATGAGTTTTACACGGTTTGGTAGGGACATTTTGCATTGAAGATTGCACGTTTGTATAGACGGGAAAAAAATACGCAATAAAATATTTACGATGAAATAGAAAATAAACGGCATAAAAATCAGTATGTACGAGTTGAACAGAATTACAAATGAAATATTACATAAAAAAAGAAAAATTCAAAAAAAAGAAGTAGAAATCACAAGAAGAATAAGCAAAAGGAAAATAATTAAAAATCAGTCAATCCTTTAATTAAATAGCTAAATAAAATTAAATGGTTTGTACTTTAAATAATAAATAAATTATTCGATAAATTGAATGGCTTGTACTTTACAGGAAAAAAAAACTATTTTATACAAGATAGAGTTTATACTTTATACTTCCCGAGAAAACTGAGAAAAGGGTAGAAATCACAAGAAAATAAAACTAAGAAAAACATGAAAATTAATCAGATTTAAAATTAAATAGCTAAAACTGTGATTAAATAGTTTATTATACTTTATGTAAAGGAGAATGTTTTGCCGGCACTGCATAACCGTTTACCGTTCGCATACGAGGATTCTAATGATTGCACAGTTTCACTGAATCTGTCCGATGCTGGAACGTCGGTGTTAACTGTGTATTCCGGTGCTCACGGTGTTGTTGTAATCGGCGCACGGAACGCTTTGACGCACACATGTTACTTCAACTTACCTCCACCGCGGTGACTACTGTACAAGTCTGCACCTAACGCATCTGGACTTAAGCACACTACAGTAGGAAGTATACTCGTAATAACATAAGTAAAAGTACTGTATATCAAAAACAAAGATGCAACGTTTCCGGTGGTTGCATGAACGCACACTGGCGCGCCTTAAAAGATGAAAATGCATGCTGTCCGTGTACTAGAGAGTGTCTACTTGTGCAATTACTCTTGCGGCGCAATTTGATATACAGTAACACGCACCGTCGTGCACAAGCCAGCAAATTCTTTGTCCTTCGGCATCCCTCCTGCAATCGCAACCGAATACGCCTTTTGCCTGAAATTGACTGGATCCAGTTCCGACAACCAGACGTCCAAGTTGGAACGGTTATTCGCGAAGTCAGCGTGAAAACCAAACAGACGTCAAACCAGGCAGAAGGTAAACCAGACATATTTTCAACCGTTAATGCCTGACTGCAGCAAACTGATACAAGTGATAAGCATTGGGCCATTGGCTGAAGTGGTTAAGAGTATACTGCAGGTGCCGCCGTGTCGGCATAGCATACGAGTACCACAAATGAAAAATGCAACATTTTAATTAGTGCGGCGTGTACAGCTCGTTTTTAGTTGTGATGTATCAGTTTTACGATGTCAGGCCATTAAGGGTAAATAAAATAAAAATTAAGCGAATTTTTCCGCGTTATTTGGAAGCTTTAAAGATAACTTGGGATAACTGTCCTATGTACTGAGTGACATAACCATGGTAAATCCAAATCAGAGCGATTCTTTTTGATTGGCGGCCGTGTAAAACCGAATTAGCCGATGAGCCTTAGCCAGCACTTTATGTGGCCCGTGGTGTTTGCTGGTATGATTGGAAAGAAGGTTTTTGGCGATGGTTCAGTCGGTGGTTAGCATTTTCTCGAACCTCTAACACAATCGTCAATCCTGCCCATCGACATCCTTTTCATCAGTCTTTCGGTGTGACCTTTAGAGTCACATTTCCTCGCAGCAACTACTCCAAGAATTCAGTAAGATATCCTTGTTTACCGGTCATCCTAAGCTCCTCACGTGCAGAGTACAATATAAGACCATTCACATCGGTTTTTCAGCTGTGGATTTAAACTGTTCCAGCTACAAGTCAACTACGCCTTTACCCCTCAGCCGGATACCGTTTTAGAATGCACCTGTACGAGAACGCTGACCGCTCGGTCTACGCCTGGAACGCTGTGGACGGGGAGATTGACGGTCGACTGCAGCACGGCTTCGTCGTCGGCCTGGAAGAGAACGGCATCACTCCACCGCGGCTGATCGTCGATTTCGGATGCCCGACACAGGAGGCGATGCCGGTGGAATACGGGAAGATCTGGGATTGCTCCACGTATCGACCTACGCGGGCGCGCGAGGGTGCCGCTGTGGAGGCACTGCTCCACGACGGCGCGGATCGTCCGTGGAAATGGTACCCCGCGAAAATGCTGATTCCGAAGTTCAAGCACCTGGATAATGTGGCGCTGGTGGAGGTGGTGACTGGCGGGCAGACTCGTCGGGAAATGCTTCCCCGCCGACAGATTCGCAATCGATCCGGAATAGCCGCCAAAAAAGATCTCCTTCCCGTCGGCCATTTTATTTTGCAGACATGCCATGTGCCCAATGGCTACTGGACCAGGCCGTTCCCTGAAACGACGTTGTTGCTTCGAGAAGTTGAGCGGAAGTTCAAAGTGCGACTTATCAAGGTTTTCAGTCAGCAGATACTCTTTGTGGGGCGATGCCAGGAGGCGCCTTTGCAAGATGAAGATGTAGTAAGTCGTCGTCAGTTGCTCGTTTTAAGTTTTACGTTCTTGTCATATCATTAGGTTCCTCATGATGCTATTCTTACCGTAGGCACGTGTCTTCGAAAAAGGCAAGCAGGATTCTGCCTTTTACGAATTGTTGCACAAGAGCACCGAAGAGTCGGATGATGGTGAGCCAAAGCGGAAAAAGCCGCTGAATGTCGGTGGGCGCGGTTTACCGATGGATTCGCGAGTGTTGAAGGAGGTCTTCCACTCCGTGGACACCGTCGAACGCCAGCGCTGTCGCCGCACCTGTCAACTGTGGGAGACCATACTTACATCGGCGGAGCTGTGCAGCGACTTGCGTGTTACGCGTCAGAAACCTAGCTCGACACCGCAAGCAGTGAAATGGGACTGCAATTACGCCTTGTACGCCTGTATCTTCAAGTTCATCACACCCGCCACCCGCACCATCTGCATTCGCGATACGGAACCGCGCTTCCTCGACATGTCAAACCTGCACGGGCGCAGTGACGCCCTTGGCTTTATTAAGAAGATTCTGGAGGATGCCGGCAGCCGTATCGACCGTTTCATCGTGCACCAGCGATCCATCACGATCGCCCAGCCAGAACATTCTGTCTTCTGGGATTTCGGCGTGCTGTTCGCCGAGATGACCGCGCACACGTCCCAGCTCGTGTCGTGCTGCGAGCGTATGGTGTGGAAGGATTACGCCCTCACGCTGCTAGGCACGGAAACCGCACCCGCCATGGAGTTCCGCATTCCGGCTGCGGTCCTCATCGGTGGACGGGTGGATGAGGCGTACTTGGTGGATCTCTTTGAGAAGCATCTACTCTGGGAGGGACCACCGTTGCTCGGGCAGTTCTTGTACATTAATCAGGGCATGACGAGTCGTATCGCCGGCGGAGCCTGGGCCACGAAAGTTCTGCAGGTATGGACGCGCCGCTGAAAGAAAGCCAGCATATTTCATAGTGAAATATTTTTAAAAGAGTTCTAGAAAGCCTTGGCCGATTTGATTATTTAATTTGCTCTTATTCCCATTGTCAAACTGCGTGTAATCTAATCGATAATTTTGCAGATTCTCCAGGACTACCAGTCCGCCGATCCGCGTCCTTCGGCACACTATCCCGAACGCCAGTGGAGCCTGGACGACATACTCGGGTTGGACCTGAACAAACTGAACCGATTCTGCCTGCGGGCCCTGTCGCACTACATGTCCGCTCTTCGCGGATGACGACCGAGCACGCGCAAGGCGAACCAGCGACTCCTGCAGCGAATCCGAGTCTGACTAATTTAAAGGCTTAGTGTGCAATTTAAAAAAATTTCTGTGAGTTTTGGGTTAATAACGGTGTGCCGTGAAACCTTGGCCGCTTTATCAGTTCACTGAGTCAAGGACATGACTGAGCTTGAATGCATTCCTGATTTTTTCAACAGGTAACCCTGTCCGTTAAAGTTTATATTAGGAAGCCTGGCTATCTTCTACCGGTTTGATTAAATATACAATTTTCTTGAAGTTTTTGGTTTGATCCAGGTAAATACGAATAAATGTCATTGCAAAATCACCAGACATTAGTTATTTCATAAATGTTGCGTATTCGGGAAGCAGACTTGTTCCACTCTTAACACGTGCAATTTTGTGATGTATGCATGTAGCATGTAATGAAGTACGTAATTAGCTAAATTAGGTATGACTTTAAATAATACAAGTTCACAGTAACAAGCTAACTAGAAAGTACGACAAGGGATAAACACGCAGTAACAAAATGAACAATACTTAAAAGCAGATTCACCAGAACGCCACAAATTCCTACAAAATCGCCATCAACTGTCAACTGGAATATCTATGTCTAACTAAGTTATTCTGCCGAAATAAACTAAATATACCTACGTCTACGGCGACGTCTGATCGTTGATTTCGGGTGCCCTTTACAGCAGGCGGTGGAGGCGGAATACGGTAGGATCTGGGACTGCTCCACCTATCGACCCAGTCGACTGTACGTGGGAGAAAGCGCTGCTGCACGAGGGCCCGAACACACCGTGGAGATGGTGTCCCGGAGAGCCCTGCTTCCAGGTTTCGACCAGCTGTACGATAAGGCGCTAGTGGAGTTGATAACGGCCGGGCAGTTTCGTCGCGAACTGCTTCCCCATCGGCAAATTCGAGACCCAGTGGGAAAACTGCTACAGTGAAAGATTCTTCCCGTCGTCGTGCAGACCTGCCGAACGGTTACTGGACTTTACGCTTAGCTCAACGCGGCTATTCCGAAAAGTCGAGCGCAAATTCAACGTGCTCATCAGTCTTATTATCGTTTCTTATTATACAACTGTATTCAGCATTTGCGCTCATTTGGGCTGGACAGGACACACCAGAAGCTGCAAAAACAAGTCAAACCAAACAAGACAGCAACGGTGCCAAAACATTAAACGCCATTATTGTTCTGCCACGACTAATACGCATTTTATAAGAACAATACTTTGTATTAATCACGTAATTATTACAAGAAAATTAAAATATCGACGCTTAATTCACAAAATGTTTCCAATCAGTATTTAATCCTCGCCGTCATCGGATTCCGAGCTGCTGGAGTCGCTGACTTCACTGCCGGGCTCGCTGGACTGTACGTACTGAGCGCTGCCCCCCACGGAGGCGGGACACCAGTCCTGTGTGTAGCGCGATAAGGCATTCAGGCAGAAACGGTTCAGTCGGCTCACATCCACGCCGGCCACATTGTACACCGTCCACTTGCGGTTGCGATACGCGGACGATGGGCGCGGATCGCGCGTTTGGAAGTCCCACAGAATCTGCACATCAGTTACGCAACAGATTAAGCATATTCACCGCATCACACAACAACATCATCCAATGAAATGTGTGTACAAATTTACTCGAACAGTCCTGAAAGCGCACCGGTTCGCTGCCAATCATATCTTTTCAACAGTCAATTCTTCTGTTTTCGGACGTATATTAAAAATTTATCCAGAAGATTAATTTAAAAATAAGAAAGCCTATTAAAGTAAAGTTAGATGTATTCTATTTGACTGCAGCCTTAAAAACAGTATTTCGTACAGAGTAAATTCGCCTGCCATTACGTAAAATGATTGTAAAGTCAAGTTTTAAACGTAAAAAACATCCAAAACTATTGGCGCTATCCAGAATCATAGAACGTATGTTTATTTTAGAGTATGGCAAAAAATACTGGAAATTAGCTTGGTGCGCAAGCAATCGTCCCGCTTTACTATTCTAAAGAGAGACAGTTTGAGAAAATTGGCCACAATAAGGTTGAAGGTCTAGTATTAACGGTAATTAACCCTATGAGATACAGTTGGTCCATCGCGGGTCGCTTCTACGAAACCAGCACTACGATTATCAATCAGCGGCATGCCCATACCTTCTTCACTCCTTTGGCCTTCTCTTCGCTGTCGATCCCGTTGGCCATGCAGTCGGCCAGGCGCTGCACATCCAGAGGCGGCTCCTCCCAGTGCAGACCCTGCTCCAGCAGTTCGACAATGCGCGCCGCGTCGACTTGTCCCCCGGAGAATGCAACCAGGGGAATGCGGGACTTCATCAAGGGTCGGCCGAACATTTTTACCACTGTGAGGGAGTATTCTTTTACAATCAGACGTTGACAGGACGACACCAGCTTGGCATGGAGCGCGGCGATGTGGATGGACAGGGCGCTCAGTTTCCACTGGTCAAATATTTCTTCTCTGAGCCAGATGGACTGCCGGCACGAGATGAAGCGTTCGATGCGGATGCCGGCCGTATCCAGGACCTTCACCATAACGTCCACCACGTCACCGGCAGCATGCGGTATGTGTTCGAGGTGGAGGGGTGACGGGTCGGTGTCACGAATGGAGATGGTGCGGGTGGCCGGTGTGATGTGCTTGAAGATGCAGCCGTACATGGCGTAATTGCAGTCCCACCTTACGCGGGGTAACCGGCTGGGCCGCTTCCGCGTCACCCGCACTTCCTGGCACAGCTCAGCCGACGTGAGAAGGGCTTCCCACAGTGGACAGGTGCGGCGGCAGCGCTGCCGGTGAACAGTGTCCAGGGAATGGAAGACCTCTTTCAACAGCTCCACAGGCAACGCCAAATATTGCTCGCCGTAGTCCGACGGCTTTCCCCGCTTCTTGGTTATTTCCAAAAGCTTATAGTAATAATCCGGATGGTTTCGTTCTTTTTCAAACACACCTGCCTACAACCAGACAGACCATGCACTGTACTAGGTAATAATGTTGTACCTATATTAATTTAACTAGGGAAGTGCACCGCTTTAGGCTCGCACGACAAGACCGAAGCGAAGCTTAGGAGTAGTTCACGTAATGTTAATTTAAAAAGCCACAGAGGTTATTAAAGCCGTTTTTTCAGTACGAAGCACACAACTAGGCAGATAGGTTACTGGTGGAATAACCCAGTTAGGCGGTAGCGTCTTTTTTCAGGTCTTTTCGCTATAAACATTAGCTATCTTAAAAACTTGTTTATCGTTTCTCTAATTCACTATTATTATTTGTATTTAATTTTGCTAATTTTTATTTGCTTAACTTTGAATGTTATTTTGATTATTGGACTGTTAATTAAGTCAATCATACGGCACAAAGCATAATGTGCCCTGCCAGAAGAAATCTGGGGGAATAAAATTGCGTGTTTTGTCCTGTCTTGTCTTCCGGGAACTTATACCAGCTTTCTAAGTCGCACGCATTTCTGTGTGAATGATCACAGTTGGGGCAATCAAGTGAAATACTATCTTGGTATTTACATATTTGTGTGTAAATCACGTGCGGTGTACGGGATTCATTCTTATGAGTAATAACTTTTTGCGGCGAAAGTACACGTCAGTTCATCAGTGAAGTCGGCCGACGTATCAAAGAGCAAACAGGAGAAGCGCGCGCTTTTCAGTATTTGTGGCAACGCATAAGCGTTGAACTTCAGCGTGGAAATGCTGCTTCTGTCCTGGAGACGGTCGCATGTTCTCGAGAGTTAGAAGAGTTGTTTAAGATGTTCTAATTATTTGGTTGTAAAGTTAAATTTAAATGCAATTGGCTTGTACAAGTTGAAATAACGTTGAAAAAATATTATTTTTTCTTTCTTTTCCCTCTAAGTGTTTTTTACGTTAAAAAAACGTATTGCCGCAGATTACCGCGCTAACATTCACTGTTTAATACAGGACGCTCAGATTTATTACCGCTAACTGTGGAAGTATTAATGATCTAGTGCTCTGTAAGCCCTATTGCAAGGCTGATATCCCTGGGATACAAAAGTTCAGATTCGGAGTGGTATTCAGAGGGGCTGCTATATTCAAACTGCTGATGCTGTGCTTTTTAACTGAGCGCGGAAATGACTGCTATTTGCAACTGCATAACCTTGTAAGCAGCATCCTGGAAGGCTGGAAGAGATACCAAAAACGGTGTTTATTAACGCCCATCACTTTATTTTTAAGTTCGTTTGCAGTTACCTCGCAAGTTAGTAGTAAAGCGTTAACGACTTAGGATACGGTGAAAGGTTGTTTCATTGAATGTACACGGACTTAAACGCAGGTTGACTCGGCCCGCGAATGAGCCCGCCAAATAATAATGTTCAATTCGCCAAATCAGAACATTAGGTTTCCGTGCCTTAGCACTACCCTACAGTAGCCTAAGTACTATGCCGAATAAACTTATGAGTTATGAATTGTAGTGCCTTACGAAGACAGTACAGGTCACAATTCAGCACCTAACACATTTGCTCAAGTGCTCAGTAACCTAAAATTTTTAGACACCTAGGACTTTAGCAGGCATCATTTCTACAACAAGATTAGGGGCACAGGGCATGCTTCGCAATGAAGACATGATCAATTTTATGGGAATATCTGACACTGGGCAACCAAATGCCTTAATGCTATGCTTCAACGCTCTGTTCCCGAACCCCAGAATTTAGTGCGTTAGCGCTATAAAGTTTACTAATGCACTAAAACTTAGGGTTGCGTAGATATAGGCTTAGTGTGTGACCGACAGTTTAGAGCGTGACCGACAACTTAGGGTGTGACCGACGTGCGTGACCGACACCCAAAATTTCCTAATCTCTTGAACATAGAGGACCTTCGCTTCGCTTCGGTCGACTACAGTAGTTCAATAGAGAGAAAGCTAATAACTAGATTAGTAGGGTAAATGCTTTGTTTACGTTGATGAGCTTAGTCGTAATGGTCGGTAATTACCGACCCGTGCATGAGGAAAAAAAACTTCAAATACCCACTCGGCCACTCCGCGAGCGGTTGCGAGTGAGTAGCTGCAGAGCTGCCTTTGTACTTACTAAAGCGATGCACATGGCAAAATGTATCGCCGTGCAAGCTCGCGTTGAACATGGGAAGATGCGGCTCCCCGTTTCGATGTTTGGCCGCCTAAGGCGAAGTTTAAAGTATGGCGACCCCGTTTTCGAACGCCGCGAGGGGAGGCGAATCTAAAGTATTGCACCCCGCTCCTTACCAATTTTCGGGGTTCACGCCCCCAACCCCTACTGTAAGATGCCAGCGCGGGCCTGCCCCCTTGATACTTGGTATTTATACACGCCAAATCAGCCTGCTGAGAGAACGGTTTACAGTTCAACAACAGTCAACAGACTCACCACGTCTCCCGTGAATTCATTCCACCACATCGGCGATTCTTCACGCAGTCGGACATAGTGCATCTGCTGATTGAGGACTTTCGTAAAACGCAAATCGAACCTTTTCTCAGCTCTGCGCAGCAACCACGTCGCTACCGACGGTTCCAGGGTCCAGTAGCCGTTGGACACATCACACGTCCGTATAACCAAATGATCAACGGCCACGAGTTTTCCTTGAAATCGTTCTTCGGCGCCCGGATCGCGAATCTGGCGATAGGGAATCAGTTCGGGACGCAGCTCCCCGCTCACCATCACTTCCACCAGTGACACCTCATTCCGATGCTCAAAATAAGGAATCAGCACTCTCCCCGGGTACCAGGTCCAGGGGCGATGCGGGCCGTCGTGCAACAACGCCTCCACGTCGCGTAAATTGCGCACCAAGCCGATGGGATAGGGATAGCATTGCCAGACCTTCCCGTGCGGCACCACCACCGATCGCTGTGTGGGACATTCGAAATCGACGAGCAAACGCGGTGGAGTGCTACCATTCTCTTCCAAACCGACGACGAGGCCGTGCTGCCGTAGACCGTCAATCTCCACATCCACAGCGTTCCAGGTGTGCACCCACCGATCAGCATCTTCGTACAGATACATTCTCTCTGGCTGAGAGACAGAAAAGGAAAAGTGGCCGTGCGGAATAACAAGGCTGAATGCGCTCCGTGAGGCTGCGGAACAACGTGGACTTATTAATAAGAAGTCAAAAGTGGTACTTGAACTGAAGCAGATCGAAAATAAGAAAGCAGTCGCAACTCGCAAATGAAAGTCCAAGTCACCAAGTGCAACGACAGATCAGCATGCGGCGGTTAAGAACTTAGCAGCTAACCAGCTAAGCAGTGACTATCGTCACTCGTGTTGTGGCGTCAACGTAACCGCTGCCACGGGGGCGTCTCCGTTACACTGGACTGCGACTGCGGTAGAATATGGCCTTTATTACCATTATTGTTACAAATTGGGTTTTTAAACGTGCATTGAAAAACTGATAAGGAATGTAGAATATCTGTAGTGTCCCGCTAGAAGATTTTTAGTTTCATGCATCCGTAAGGCACAGACTGTGTATGAGCATCTGGATATTTTTTACAGGATTGCTTCTTTATCATTCTGTCAGAACTCAAATGTATATCGAGTCACGTTTGTGCACAGATACTGTACCTCACTGAAACTCATTCCTGCGGTACAAGTTTTCCTTGGGTCAAGTGTGTTTCAATAATGTTAATGCTAACCGCTCTGTCATTTCTGTAAATACAGAAATTAAAGTGCTTGTCGAATTTACGCTTATAAGGTAACTAACACTGTATGCAACGCGGTAATAATATTTTCTTTTTTTGTAACGGGCAGCAACGCTTTCCTTTGCCCAGTGCCGTCACTGGCCCGTCAATAATTAATGGCAGTCGACTGCCTCAACCGTGTATGCCATGATTTACGGTACTATAAGAAACTTTCACTCCACGAGCCAAAAGATAGTCCGCAATTTTTCGGGAGCTCCATTTCAACTGGTTAAGCGTCAAAATTGACGACTTACCTCGGAACTCACTTTCCGCGCCATGGATACCCGAATCAACACGAAAATAGCGTCAGATTGAAGAAAAATGTTTTTAGTAATAGAAAAGATACGACTACTCAAATAAATTCAAAAACTGAATTTTTGACGATTTTCAGAAGGGCTGTTTCAGTTTGGCTGCCGCACCCTCTGTATTCACCATCCGCCAGCGTCTTTACCAGCCGAATTTGCAGCTGAAGGGCAGTCGCCGCAAATTTCCCTGCATCCCTTCATCGTAATTTTTCTGCACGACATCGCTCTTGTGCAGCCGAATTTCTAATGACAGCACTCTTTGAGCCGGCGATTCGTAAAGGTCCCTTCTTCCAGCGTCCGTATGGTGGAGAAAACGCAAGAAACCTTTCGTAGTCTCCGGCAGTCGCAAAAGTCGCTGGCTTTCGCCTCAAATCCGTTACAGCAAAAACGCCGTACTGCAGCAGATTCGCCACGCGGTAGGTGGCGAGAATGCGTGGGGCTCGCGGAGTTACGCAATTATCTAGCCCATCTAACGCTAGTTCCCGGCGGATGGACGAAATATTCTAAAAGGTCACAGGCTATATAGAGGGTACACAGCATACATTACACTGTATTATTTGTATCTGCAGTCCATAGCGTAATTTTTATAAATGAAACTGTATTGGCTGTCGTGGTACTGTGTTTAGGAAAATTATTGGTACAAGTTGTCGTGAAAATCCTTTTGTGTCGTGGGCGGACAAAATGAAGATTGGTAAATTTAACCTTTTTTCCTAACGGACTGCGTACAATAATGGTGAACGTATTGTCGTGGAACAAAAACCATGCAATGAAGTGCATACAGAGTACAGGAAAATTAGCTGCATATTAAGTTTATCGGAAAATTTTGCATCATATCGTCCTTACAGTTGATGGATAAAGGATAATAGGAAACCATGCTGTAAAAGGTGCACGCACACTGAAGCAGCTCGTTGTTGTACCGCACACGCTATCCACTCTAGAAATTAATAATGGCCCGTGTGTATATTTGTGTTTTACCGGTACCTAATTCCCTAAACGAAGCAACGTAAAGCACGACACCCAATACGGAAGCGGTTTCAATGGGAAGCGCGCACTTACGAGTGTCTCAAGACTACCATTTCCGTATCCTTCAGTAAATCTCGTTGACACTCGTTCAGCGAATATTTGCTCTTGTTCCTCGGCATTGACTTGACCCGGTCTGGTTTCGGCCAGGGATCCCACGCCCTGACTGACGTTTATTGAACGGCTCGACTGATAGCAAGACACCTTAACAACACTATCTACTAAAACAATAATGTTCGATGCTACAGCATTCTGATAACTCTGCGTACTTCTGTAGTCTGTACCGTAAGTAAAGTTATTCTGGGCAGCAAACCATAGACAAACACTTTTTTAAAATAAACTTTGTCTCGGGAAAGAAAATGTTTTGATTAAGATAAAAAGGTTTTAGAGAGAAAATAATTAAATTGTTGTGTTATCTTCCCAAATAAATAAATAAGAGCGTTGACATTAGCAGTGAAGTGTTACACTTAGCAGTTACTGGATTGATGCCCATTATTCACGCTAAACTATGCCTGCTATAATCCGGTATGAATAGACTTCAATAGAGTCATCGTCTTCGATGAATTTTTCAATCCCAAGCCAACAAAATTGTTGCGCTGGTTTCTCCGATATGACGTCTTAATCTGCGTCGGCCTTTTTTGCTCACGAGTAACAATAAGAACAAGCAGTAAAAGCTGGCATCAAGGAGACGCAACATAAATTATTAAAACCGGTTTCTATAAAAATTTGAGCACGTACTACACGCATCAGCACCGCAACGAAAATCCGAATTCATGTTCAGTAAAACTCCGGCAACCGACGTAATACAGTATCTGCTTTTCATCTGCTGAAAAAAAGACATACACACATCCATCGAAATGCACAGGCTTTTGTAGTGCGGTACGAAACGTGTTATAAAATCGGTCAATACAATTCTCTCGGACCGGGGCGAGAGGACTCTGAATTTGTAGGTGAGTTCCCGGGCTCCGGTGCGTACCGGTCCATGGTTTCGGCATATACTGTAATTACAAAAATTTAATTTCTTTACATGTCACGTACAGAGTATGTACTGATAAGGTCATCAGGTGCTGTAACCGACATTTTTTTAACACGCATCATCCAAACACCAAAACGTATTTCATTTTAGATGTGTTCATCTTCTGGTCGGGTCTTTCCTGGAGCCGACTGCGGTGATAGTCAGTGAAAAGGTTACGAAAAAAACCTTAATAAGAACAGTTGGTTGGTCCGGCACAAAACTCTATCCGGTTTGCACGTTCACTTTTGATGTTAGCGATCATGGAAACGGGTTCGTTTTGCTAATCTCTTTACAGAGTATTTGTACAAAAAGAACTATGCACAAAGGAGTACCTGATATCTCACGCACTACCGTTAATGATAAAAACATTTTACCGATTTAAAATGTGTTTAAAAAAATATTATTAGGAAATTATTATTATTAGTACACGTTATTACCAAAATGACACAGGTACTGGTTCCGTCGTACAGATACGTCGCTGTTGTCTCTGGATTTTGAGTTGATTTCGGTCGTGATTCGTGATTTCGTGAACTACCTTTGCCTAAATAATATGGACTAACAGCTTATTACAACACTGAGAACTGCCACTTGTGCTTTCTGACGCTGCAATTTAATTCTTCATGGCCTGACATATTTTTAACCGTTAACGCCTGACTGCATCAAACTGATACGGTTTGCTGATATTATTAAGAGCATACTGCAAGGGTCGACATAGCATACGAGTACCACAAGTGAAAAATGACAAATCGGCGTGTACAGCTCGGTTTTAGTTGTGATGTATCAGTTTTACGATGTCAGGCCATTAAGGGTTAATAAAATAAAATTAAAGCTAATTTTTCCGCGTTATTCAGAAGCTTTACAGATAACTTGGGATAAGTGTCCTACTGTGTGACATAACCCCGGTAAATCCAAATCAGAGCGATTTTGTTTGATTGGCGGAGGTGTAAAACCGAATTAGCCGATGAGCCATAGCAAGCACTGTATGTGGCCCGTGGTGTTTGCTGGTATGATCGGAAAGAAGGTTTTTGGCGATGGTTCAGTCGGTGGTTAGCATTTTCTCGAACCTCTAACACAATCGTCAATCCTGCCCATCGACATCCTATTCATCAATTTTTCGGTGTGACCTTTCGAGTCACATTTCCTCACAGCGACTACTCCAAGAATTCAGTAAGATATCTTTGTTTACCGGTCATCCTAAGCTCCTCACGTGCAGAGTACAATATAAGACCATTCACATCGGTTTTTCAGCTGTGGATTTAAACTGTTCCAACTTCCAGCTATCTGTACAAGTCACAGCGCCTGGATACAGCTGGATTCAGCTGGATACCGTTTTAGAATGCACCTGTACGAGAACGCTGACCGCTCGGTCTACGCCTGGAACGCTGTGGACGGGGAGATTGACGGTCGACTGCAGCACGGCTTCGTCGTCGGCCTGGAAGAGAACGGCATCACTCCACCGCGGCTGATCATCGATTTTGGATGTCCGACACAGGAGGCGATGCCGGTCGAATACGGGAAGATCTGGGACTGCTCCACGTATCGACCTACGCGGGCGCGCGAGGGTGCCGCTGTGGAGGCACTGCTCCACGACGGCGCGGATCGTCCGTGGAAATGGTACCCCGCGACAATGCTAATTCCGAAGTTCAAGCACCTGGATAATGTGGCGCTGGTGGAGGTGGTGATTGGCGGGCAGACTCGTCGGGAAATGCTTCCCCGCCGACAGATTCGCAATCGATCCGGAGCAGCCGCCAAAAAAGATATCATTCCCGTCGGGCATTTTACTTTGCAGACATGCCATGTGCCCAATGGCTACTGGACCAGGCCGTTCCCTGAAACGACGTTGTTGCTTCAAGAAGTTGAGCGGAAGTTCAAAGTGCGACTTATCAAGGTACTCAGTCAGGAGATACTCTTTGTGGGGCGATGCCAGGAACCGCCTTTGCAAGATGAAGATGTAGTAAGTCGTCGTCAGTTGCTGGTTTTAAGTTTAACGTTTTTGTCATATCATTGGGTTCCTCATGATGCTATTCTTACCGTAGGCACGTGTCTTCGAAAAAGGCAAGCAGGATTCTGCCTTGTACGAACTGTTGCACAAGAGCACCGAAGAGTCGGATGATGGTGAGCCAAAACGGAAAAAGCCGTTGAATGTCGGTGGGCGCGGTTTACCGTTGGATTCGGGAGTGTTGAAGGAGGTCTTCCACTCACTGGACACCGTCGAACGCCAGCGCTGTCGTCGCACCTGTCAACTGTGGGAGACCATACTTACATCGGCGGAGCTGTGCAGCGACTTGCGTGTTACGCGTCAGAAGCCCAGCGCGACAACGCAACCAGTGAAATGGGACTGCAATTACGCCTTGTACGCCTGTATCTTCAAGTTCATCACGCCCGCCACCCGCACTATCTGCATTCGCGATACGGAACCGCGCTTTCTCGACATTTGCAACCTGCACGGGCGCAGTGACGCCCTTGGCTTTATTAAGAAGATTCTGGAGGATACCGGCAGCCGTATCGACCGTTTCATCATGCACCAGCGATCCATCACGATCGCCCAGCCAGAACATTCTGCCTTTTGGGATTTCGGCGTGCTGTTCGCCGAGATGACCGCACACATGTTCCAGCTCGTGTCGTGCTGCGAGCGTATGGTGTGGAAGGATTACGCCCTCACGCTGCTAGGCACGGAAACCGCACCCGCCATGGAGTTCCGCATTCCGGCTGCGGTCCTCATCGGTGGACGTGTGGATGAGGCGTACATGGTGGATCTCTTCGAGAAGCATCTGCTTTGGGAGGGACCACCGTTGCTTGGGCAGTTCTTGTACATTAATCAGGGCATGACGAGTCGTATCGCCGGCGGAGCCTGGGCCACGAAAGTTCTGCAGGTATGGACGCGCCGCTGAAAGAAAGCCAGCATATTAATTTTCATAGTGAAATAATTTAAAAGAGCAAGAAATCCTTGGCCGATTCGATTATTTAATTTGCTCTTGTTCCCGATTGTCCAACTGTGTCTAATCTAATCGATAATTCTGCAGATTCTCCAGGACTACCAGTCCGCCGATCCGCGTCCTTCGGCACATTATCCCGGACGCCAGTGGAGCCTGGACGATATACTCGGGTTGGACCTGAACAAACTAAACCGATTCTGTCTGCGGGCCTTGTCGCACTACATGGCCACTCTTCGTGGATGACGACCAAGCATCCGCAAGGCCAACAAGCGTCTCCTGCAGCGAATCCGAGTCTGAATAGTTTAAAGGCTCAAAGTCTGCAAATTAAAAAAATTTGTAGGAGTTTTGGTTAAATAACGGTGTAGAGAGAAATCTTGGCCGCTTTATCAGTTTGCTGGGTCAAGGATATGAATGAGCTTGGAAGCATTCCTGATTTTCTCAACAGGTAACCCTGTCCGTTAAGTTTGTATCAGGAAGCCTGGCTATCTTCTACCGGTTTGATTAATTATACAATTTTCTTTAAGTTTTTGATTTGATCCAGGCAAATACGAATAAATGTCATTGCAAAATCATCAGACATTAGTTATTTCATAAATCAGACATCATTATCATCAGACATCAGTTATTTCATAAATGTTGCGTATTCGGGAAGTAGACTTTGTTCCACTCTTAACACGTGCAATTCTGCGATGTATGCATGTTGTATGTAATGAAGTACGTAATTAGGTATGACTTTGATAATACAAGTTGACAGCAACGAGCTTGCAGGATGGCTGACTAGAAAGTACGACAAGTGATAAACACGCAGCAACAACAGGAACCATTCTTAAAAGAAGGTTCACCAGAACGCCACAAATCCTACAAAATCGCCAGTAACTGTCAACTGGAATAACTATGTCTATTTATGTTACTCTGCCGAAATAAACCACGCATACCTACTCGTATGGTCGTTCAAGTGAAACACTATGATAAGTGAATGAGCGATGGTCGTTCAAGTGGAACACCGGAAATATTGAATTCCCCAGACCGATTTTCTTCCGGTTTTTTTCTTTATCCAATGAAGGAAGATTTACTCTTTACGGAGTACTTAAAATTTTATAAAAGCTTGAACCGTTTTCTTGCAATTGCGTCGTAAAGAAATCAGTGACGAAAGCGCTTTAGCCACGCCACATGAGCCACTGCACTAAGCTCATGTAACTGGAGTCACCGCCGTACATGTGCGGCTGTGCAATCGCCGTGTTAGAAGTTGATTCAGAGAAACTTGAATTCAGTTTAAAGACATCAATCAACTTTGAAGAAATGAAGAAAAAACTTAAGTTAAACAGAAATTAAGCTGAACTAAATTAACTTCTAACACGGCGATGATACAGCCGCCCATGCACGGCGTTGACTCCAGTTATGTGATCTTAGTGCAGTAGATCATGCGGCGTGGCCAACGTCTACGGCAACGTGTGGTCGTTGATTTGGGGTGCCCTTACAGCAGACGGTGGTGGTGGAATACGGGAAGATCTGGGACTGCTCCCCCTATCGACCCAGTCGACTGTTGCTGCGCTGTTGCACGAGGGCCCGAACACACCGTGGATACTGGGTCCCGGAGAGCCCTGCTTCCATGTTTCGGCCAGCTATGCGATAAGGCGCTAGTGGAGTTGATAACGGCCGGGCAGTTCTGTTGTGGTCTTCCCCGTCGGCAAATTCGAGACCCAGCGGGAAAACTGCTGCAAGGAAAGCTTCTTCCCGTCGTCGTGCAGACCTGCCGAACGGTTACGGACTCAGCTCTTTGCTGAATCGACGCGGCTGTTCGGAAAGGTCGAGGGAAAATTCAGTGTGCGACTCATCAGTGTCTTATTATCGTTTCTTGTTATACAACTGTATTCAGCATTTGTGTTCATTTGGGCTGAACAGGACACACCAGAAGCTGCAACGAGAAGTCAAACTAAGCAAGACAGCCAAGATTCCAAAACGTTAAACGCCGTTACTGCTCCGTCTGCCACGATTCATACGCTTTTATAAGAACAATACTTTGTATTAATCATGTAATTAAACAAGAAAATCAAATACAAAATTCGACGCTTAATTCACAAAATGTTTCCAGTCGGTATTTAATCCTCGCCGTCATGGGATTCCGAGCTGCTGGAGTTGCTGACTTCACTGCCGGACTCGTTGGACGGACCGCTGGATTCACTGCTGGATTGCACCGACTGAGCGCTGCCCTCCACGGATGCCGGATTCCAGCGCCGTGCGTAGCGCGCTAAGGCATTCAGGCAGAAGCGGTTCAGTCGGCTCACATCCACGCCGGCCACATTGTACACCGTCCACTTGCGGTTGCGATACGCCGACGATGGGCGCGGATCGCGGGTTTGGAAGTCCCAGAGAATCTGCACATCAATTACGCAGCAGATTAAGCACCGCATCACACAACAACATCAACCAATGAAACGCGTTTACTTAAACCGTCCTGAAAGGGCACCGGTTCGCTGCCAACCATATCCTTTCCACAGTGAAATCTTCTGTTTTCCGACGGAAATTAAGATTTTTTCCAGAAGATTAATTCAAAAATAAGAAAGCTTCTTAAATTAAAGTTGGGTGTATCCTATTTGACTGTAGCTTTAAAAACAATATAGCGTACATTCGCGTGACACTACGTAAAATGATTGTACAGTCAAGTTCAAAACGTACAAAAACAGCCAAAATTGTTAGCGCTATCGAAAATCACAGGACTCGTGCTCTTTTCAAAACTTGACAAAAATGCTGGTAATTAATTAATTTTACTTACAATTTACAAGCAAGCCTCACACTCAAGTATTTTGAACCGAAACATTTTGGGAAAACCGGTCCTAATAAGGTTGGGTTGAAAGCCTAATAGCAAACTTATGAAGCACAGTTGGCCCATTGCGGGTCGCTGCTACGCAACCATCACTACGCTTATAAATCAGTGGCATGTCCATACCTTCTTCACTCCTTTGGCCTTCTCTTGGCTGTCGATCCCGTTGGCCATGCAGTCGGCCAGGCGGCGCACATCCAACGGCGGCTCCTCCCAGTACAGACCCTGCTCCAGCAGACCGACAATGTGCGCCGCGTCGACTTGTCCCCCGGAGAATGCAACCAGGGGAATGCGGGACTTCATCAAGGGCCGGCCGAACATTTTTACCACTGTGAGGAGTATTCTTTTACAATCAGACGTTGACAGGACGACACCAGCTTGGCGTGGAGCGCGGCGATGTGGATGGACAGGGCGCTCAGTTTCCACTGGTTAAATATTTCTTCTCTGAGCCAGATGGACTGCCGGCACGAGATGAAGCGTTCGATGCGGATGCCGGCCGTATCCAAGACCTTCTTCATAACGTCCACCACTTCACCGGCAGCATGCGGTATGTGTTCGAGATGGAGGGGTGACGGGTCGGTGTCGCGAATGGCGATGGTGCGGGTGGCCGGTGTGATGTGCTTGAAGATGCAGCCGTACATGGCGTAATTGCAGTCCCACCTTACACGGGATAACCGGCTGGGCCGCTTCCGCGTCACCCGCACTTCCTGGCACAGCTCCGCCGACGTGAGAAAGGCTTCCCACAGTGCACACGTCCGACGGCAGCGCTGCCGGTCGACAGTGTCCAGGGAGTGGAAGACTTCCTTCAACAGTTCCAAAGGCACTGCCAAATATCGCTCGCCGTAGTCCGACGGCTTTCCCCGCTTCTTGGTTTTTTTCCAAAAGTTTATCGTAATAATCCGGATGGTTTCGTTCTTTTTCGAACACATTTGCCTACAGCCAGACCGACCATGCACTGTTACTAGGTAATAATGTTATGTTAGGGAGGCCAGTTTAGGCGCGTATAGCCGGCAGAAAGGTTTACGGGTTTATGGTTTTTGCGATCAAAGGAGCCGCGTAAACCTTCCTGCCGGAATCGTAACCTATGGGCGGCCCATTGTGTGCAAGTGTTCAAGATTACAGACTAGCCTCCGATGAAGACCCAGACTCCAATTCTGACTCTGATTCTGACCACTCAAACTCTGACTCTGACTACTCACAGTCTGACTCTGACCGCTCAAAGTCTGACTCTGACTCTGGAAGGTTTCTTAGGTTTCTTAGGTTTTTTAGGTTTTTAAGGTTTCTTAGGTTTTTTAAGTTATTCTTAGGTAATTCGGTCAGAGTCAGAGTTTGGACAGTCAGAGTCAGACTTGGAGTAGTCAGAGTTTCAGCGGTCAGAGTCAGAGCTTGAGCGCGGGCCTCTGATGAGGCACCTTTGGAAGTACCGTAATTACGGGTAAGTCGTGTTATCATAATTTGCCAGTCAAACGGAATGTGTTGTTCACAAATTGAAAAATAGGCAGCAAAATATGATATTTGTACCCTAACCACAATATTACGGAATAACTTGTGAGAAGCCGAACTGAACTGTCCTTCGAGCACGACAAGCCGGTCATGCAAGTACTAGTATGCAGCCACTCCGCGCGCGGTTGCGAGTGAGTAGCTGCAGAGCGGCTTAGTAAGTACAAAAGCGGCTGCGGCATGCCAAAACGTATCCCCATGCAAGCCCGCGTTGAACGGGGGAAGAGGCGGCTCCCCGTTTCGATGTTTGGCCGCCTAAGGCGAAGTTTGAAGTATGACGACCCCGTTTTCGAACGCCGGGAGGGGAGGCGGATTTAAAGTATTGCGCTCCGCCCCCATCAATTTTCGGGGTCGACGCCCCCAACCCCTACTGTAAACCGCCAGCGCGGGCCTGCTCCCTTGATATTTATACACACCAAAGCAGCCTGCGGATAGAACGGTTCAAAATTCAACAACTGTCAATAGACTCACCACGTCTCCCTTGAATTCATTCCACCACATCGGCAATTCTTCACGCAGTCGGACATAGTGCATCTGCTGACTGAGGACTTTCGTGAAGCGCAAATGGAACGCCGCTACCGACGGTTCCAGGCCCCAGTAGCCGTTGGGCACATCACACGTCCGCATGACGAAATGATCAGCGGCCAAGAGTTTTCCTTGGAATCGTTCTTCGGAGCCCGGATCGCGAATCTGCCGATAGGGAATCAGTTCGCGACGCAGCTCCCCGCTTACCATCACTTCCACCAGTGACACCTCATTCCGATGCTCAAAAATAAGGAATCAGCACTCTCCGGGTACCTGGTCCAGGGGCGATGCGGGCCGTCGTGCAACAGCGCCTCCACATCGCGTAAATCGCGCACCAGGCCGATGGGATACCCGGATAGGGATAACATTCCCAAACCTTCCCGTATGGCACCACCACCGACCGTTGTGTGGGGCCTTCGAAATCGACGATTAAAAGCGGCGGAGTGCTGCCGTTCTCTTCCAGACCGATGACAAGACCGTGCTGCCGCAGACTGTCAATCTCCACATCCACAGCGTTCCAGGCGTGGACCCACCGATCAGCATCTTCGTACAGATACATTCTTTCTGGCTGAGAGACAGAGAAGTGGCCGTGCGGAATAACAAGGCTAAATGTAATCCGTGAGACTGCGAAGCAACGTGGAACAGAATTATTAAGAAGTCAAAAGTGGTCCTTGAAACGAAGCAGATCGAAAAATTAGTAAGAAAGCAGCTGCAAATTTTAAGTGCAACTGTGCAAGTTCAACGACAAGAATACAAGATCAATTTAATGGGCTCTGGTTAGCACTGGCTCTCGTCACTCGTGCAATGGCGTTGGCATCAACGTAACCGCTGGTGCAGGGAGCGTTCCCTTACACTGGGCAGTGAGCCTGTGACTGGAGTAGATATTTCATTCAGGCAATAGCCAATTAAACGTAACAAAAAGCCTGCGCCGAAAGACACTAATTAAAAAGTTTGAATTTACACATTGAAAAACAACCAAAGTCATTACTGTCACATCCAACTTTCGGTCGCGCGTTTAATGTACCCAAGACAGCAGCCGCATTTCCTCTAACAACAGCGAGACTAAAACGTTGTCTAAGGAAAGCCGTAGATCGAGATTCCCCGGTCACATCGCGAATCTTCCTCCCGACAAAACGTATCATCTCAGCAAATTCCGCACCAAAGGTTCCGAGAGTTTCGACTGCGAGGGTGTAGAACAGATACCCCATATCCTCCAAAAATCCGTACTTCCCGCGCTTAAAGTCTTCCGCCAGCCGTGCCACGTTACCTGACTTCTTTGAGCTGGCTTTTACGTGCGAGGTAGCCACGGTGTCCCAGCAGGTGGCGTCCCACACTACCGCCTTTCCGTCACGCACGGGTATCAGTGTCATGCCGTCCGGTCGCTTGTTATCCTTGTTTGACAATCCAGATGGCTCATTCTGACAGGGGAAGCCCGCCGTTTCCCAGCCGCGTTTAGCAATGTTGTTCAGTTCGAGATGCCGGGACTAGATTCAGGACTAGATGCTGGAGTAGATTCACGTTCAGATATGTATCACTCACTATTATGGCCTGTGTTGCCATTATTGTTCCGAGGTGGCTTTTTAAACGTGGATTTTTTAACGTGGATTAAAAAAAATTAAGGAATATCTTTAGTGTCCCGCTAGACGATGTATTGTAAGCCGTACGGCAAAGGCTTACTAGCTGTGCCTGAGCATCTGGATACTCTTTTACTTTTACAGGATGGTCAGAAGTAAATCATGTCATGTTTGCAGTTCTGTAAGGTTGCACCGACAACAGTCGGTATCAGTGCTGCAGGAGCATGAGTGTTGTATTTTTTAGCGCAGTCATGCAGTAAATCTTACGTTAGTAAATCTTAGAAAAACGTACGTCAACACAGTCTGCAAACATACAGCAGCTATAAATTGTACCTCGTTACTGACGACACCGTGGCCAAGAGAAAGCTTTGTTGCCCGTTGCAAAGAACAAATATTGTACATAGATTTACCGCGTCACATACGTGAAGTCGACAAGCACATTTTGCATTACGACAGAAACAACAAAAACTCGACAAGCACATTAGAATCAGACAAGCACATTTTGGTTTTACTGAAATTATGGAGCGGTTAACATTATCGAAGCACACTTGACCCATAGAAACCTGGTTCTGTCGTATTCAGTGATGTACCTGTACAGGCATAGTCGAACGCGATACAGTAGTACGATCTACGCGGGACTGCAAAGCATTAAAAATGATCAAACGAATTGACACCTACCACACTCAGCGCATCACTTAGAGAATTAAAAAACACATTTGTACGACGATAAGGCGCGATGTGTGTACAAGTATACATGGTACAGTATTCTTTGTCAGGATTTCGCTACCATTCAGCAAGCTGTAATTTATCATTACGTAAAACGTTCAACAACTTCAACCCTACAAATACTGATGAAGTAACGCAGCCTCTTTCCTAGCTGAACTGGTCACTATGAGATGCAAGTGATCTGTGCCAACCTTTGTAAATAATTATGATGCAGTAGGATTGAGCGTTGATAAAGCGGGCGCCAACTACCGTAAATGTCACGACAGCGCGATGGCGTAAGTTTTTTCGGATGTCGACTGACTCACTAAAGCACAATACATTTACACTTTATTATGAAGTGCTGGTTTGGCGGCCAATGAGATGACGTTTGCGGAGACTTTCAGCAAGGCCTTGTGGACCATGTTCAATGGGAATGTTAGGAGGTTGTGCTGCGGTTCCGCTTAAATCTCTGTCTGCTTCTGAAAGATATACGACTCCGCTGTGACCGAGTCCTTCAAAAACTTAAGACGCTGAGCTTACCTCGAAGTGGTTGTGCCTTCTCAGGTTCACCATTGGATGAACCTTCATGGCTTTCGTCATCGGAATTATACCCTTCCGTTTGTTCGACTGTAGGCTCCTTATACTGCTCCCATGATTGGTTAGAACCATCGCTGCTGTCGGTGCAGATGCCCATCTCGATATCCACTGCTGGTGGTGCGGCTTCGCCGTTGAAAGCTTGGCGTTGTAGATTTCCCGAATTGCCAGGGGCCGCTAGATCTGTTTCGGAAATGTCTCCACTCGTTGACGGCTTGGTACTCAAGTTTTCGGATTCGGGATTCGCAGCGACTTGAGTTGTCTCTGCAATTCGCAAGGAGACATTCATTGCAGAATTTGTTTACTGCTTTACTGAAGGATATTAGGGATCAAACAACGAAATCACTGTCGACAGCTGCAGACTGCAGTATAAACTGGTTTGAGCGAACTGATGGCTGTTCGCATGACCTATCCATATACTGGTGCCAGTGCAATAATTCATGCGAATACCTCCTTCGTAAGTTACTGGGTTTGCCATTTACGCACTTCGATTCGGCTCGAAAATTGTTCACTTGTACATGGATTACAGTTAAGCTGTTTCAACTGATCCATCAAAATACGTTAGCAGGTCAGGCTGGTCAGCAGATATGTAACGCGCCAGACAGGGGTTATGTTCGCTTAACTAACCCACACAAAAAAGGGCGGAGCTAAGTAATAAGTCACGACTGACACGAGGCGGTTAGTTATCATTTACAAGTGGCGTGTACAATTGACCCACTGGCGTGCGGAATCGTGTTCGTAGCAATAGTTTGGATTTTATATACCTGGTGGGCGAAATCTGAACTCTACTTGCACGTACAGCTCGGCAATTCCAAGAAAGAGCACGAGGGTGCCCAGTGGACTGAGGATAATGAAATAAGTGTTATTAATCCACGATCCAGGCGGAAACACGTGGTCGGACGATGGCAAAACGATCAGTCCGCACAACTGCATTGCGGCGGATACAACAGCGGAGCAACACAGGAAGGTATAATGCTGTCGCGCCACGGAGGAGTTCTCCTTCACGATTTCCACATGTAACTGTGGACAGTAAGGGCTGAAAATGTAGCGCAACGATGCCAGCACCGGCATCGGATGCTCGCTCCATGGGACCTCCTCTGGCAGCGCGAAGTAAAACTTCAATGCCCAAAACAGTCCGCCGTGCAGCGCCAGACACAAATGAAACAATGTGGATGAACTGTTCAAGACCAGCGCCCAGATTGTGGTTTGTATGAGGCAATATATTAACGACAAAGTCACAATTACGATGCACTTGACGATATTGTGACGATACGGCCGCAGCTCATTATCAAGCAGGATTTTGTGAGCTCTTTGCCGACCCTCCGGAGAAGCACAGTTGCTATCAGAATCATCTAGTTCACAAAGCTTCCTGATGCAGTAGCATTCGTCTTTTAAGATTTGAACGCTGTATAGCTCCAGGCAAATGCTAAGAGATGACATTATCAGCTTGATTGCGGTCAGCCAGGTAGGTAAATCACCAGAGCGAAGGGTATGCCGCATAATAAAGTATAACCGTAAAAACAGTTGCGGCATTGCTTCGCCGAATATCTCCAGTTTCAGTATTTCGTGAAGTCGACGGTTAGCTTCTTTTGCGGCTAGTATGGCATCGACCGGTGCTTCCTGTAGTAAATGTTCTCCATTTGGATCGCTTCTCGTTGCCACTTCGACTTCTCGCACACCCCGTTGGACATGTGCACACCTGGAATCGGTTTGCAGTTTTCATATTTTTTATGTTAGGCCACCGGCGTGAGTTACAAGTTCATACTTATGGTTAGGCTTTCTTTTTTCGAGCGGAATTATACATCGAGTTTGAGCTTGATTCTGCTCGTAACTGACCGTGAAAAAACACCAGATCGCTACAAAATCGGTGCACTGTACAACGTTGTCAATGGATTTTGTGATCGAATAGCTGCGTGTAATTTTTCTTTAGCGTTTCCGCGGTTATGCAAGGTATACTTAAAACTGCCTCGATAATCAGACGATAAACCGTGTTTGGAAAGTAAACTTTTAATCCGTTGGTTTTTTTTCGGTTAGATATTCCTAGTCGTACCATAGGGCACTCGTAATCTTGCACCCTTTCTTACAGTTTTTTGGTTCAAAAGAGTGCGTTAACACCCAAGCTGCGATATTAGAAGGTCCGCAAACATTATAGTGAAAAGATACACTTGTTGAGTTGATACATAAGAAAACATAAAAAAACACCATATTTTTTCTTCTGTTGAACGATTTCTGTTAAACAATTATTCTCAAGTTCAACGATTTTGTAAGCAAACGTGACCATCCGCCGGTCACGCGCTACTTATTCTCGCATTATTTCCCTACCCAGTTACGCAGGTCTATTTCGAATACAAAGAGAAGAATCAAATGAGACGCAACACAACTCACCACCAGCAAAGGCTTGCCGGGTATGCATGTTTAAGCAACTGTTCTCTCGGAAATCTGCCCTTGATGATTTGCATTACGGCATATCCAAATGGTAGTAAAAGAACTGACAGCATTAAATGTTTCTCGTCGGACGACAGACACAGCGGATTTTTTAAATAATTCAAACTGATGTCGCAAACGTCCAGAAGAAAATCCACCATAACCAGAACTGTGCAGAAAACGCTACTGAATCGCAGGTAGTGCCGCGTAAGACGGCCGTGCGATAATGGCGACTTGTATGCCGTGAAAAAGTCAGATAGAATCTCCACAAATTTGCTACACGAAAGACTGGTAAATTTCATTTCCGACTAAGCGACACAAAGGTAGCGAAATATATTAACTCTTACTTTTACTGTAAGTGCGGATTGTTAACATATATTTAATAATGCTTTAATCTGCAGCATTAGAGCTGCATAGCAACAATTCGGGCAAATATACCCCGAAGGGGTGACACAATTCTCCTTCGCAGTTATTAATTACACTAGGTTGTTTGTTTTTTAATTGAATTCACTTGCTCAATTTATTAGCAAGTCGATCCTTTTGTACGCGGCGGTTATACTAAACCAGTTTACCAAACTACCGCCTTTCTATCATGCCGCAGTTTTTTTTATTTATTCAATACATTTTTTCCGCGTTTCAGTCTGTAGTTAACTTATTTGTGGTTCGTATTACTATTTGTTACATTCGGAGAGAATTAAGAATGATTGATTATGCACGACATCAATTTTGAGTTTAACTATCTGCTGAGAACACAGTACCGATTACGAGCGTTTTGATGGCATACTACATAGTATATACATCATGATACATGTATATCCTGATATTCATATCGCAATTTCACATGAATCACATACCTTTTGCTAGTTTTTGTACTGTAGTATTTATTTATCCTGACAACCAGCAGAAGAACGGACACCTTCGTATTTAATCAATTTTATGTTGTCGGCTAGAAATACTTTTCCTTGGTAAAAAAAATGCGGAAGACGGTTTATTATGTGAATGGCAAAGCATGAATGACGTCGGCGGTTAATTTTTAATGTCAGAGCCCGCACTTACAGCGTCACGCGGCCTTAATATTAGTATTGTCAAGGGCACGAGCTGAACGGTTTGGCGAGACGACATAGTTAAAGCAAAACCTCTGCTGAGTACTCTGTAATCTAACACATTACAAATGCGCCTGGATTATTAATGATTATACTGCATGTGACATCTTACTGGAAAAACAGCCGGAGGATGTTTTGCGATACTAATAATCAAATTGATCAATAACAGCGCTGATGATGAAAGGCACTAAAACAGTTTACTCCATTGAGAAGATGACACGTGAACCAAACTAATATGCTATACTTCATCTAGAGAGAAGCATACTTCATATAGAGAGAAGCATCAAAGCAACACTATTTGCGATAACACTATTGATCAGTCGATACATATGATATAGATAGACCATCACCAATCTAACAGCTGGGCTCATTAGTATTGCTAGCGGCAGTTAAGTAAAAGCACGCTCTTCGATTTTAGTATTTTACCTTGTTAGTTTGCCGAGCCGGCAAGCTGGTCCATAGAAAAAGTCACGCAATATAACATTTTTGCTTGATTTTGCAACATGATGGGTGAGTTTTAATCAATTATTAGTGTATCAGTCTCTATGTCGACTTCCAGTGCCATCTAATAGCTGTCTTACTGCCGAACTGACCTTGTACTCAAGCCATTTTTGCCGGTTTTTCGAACCCAGTGTCTGCGGTGAATAAGCTGAGCATCGGTTCTTAAAATTAATTATCAATCGTCACTGAATCGTGTTAAAATTATTATCAATAACTGTGCCGGTTCAAAGGGAAACATGTCCCAGACTGCTATCGTCGTGCTTGTCGACGTTTCCGAAAGCATGAAGAACATATACTGCACTCTACAGACAAAGAACGATGACGAAAAAACCTCACGATTACAGTCGGTATTCGAATCGGTTATTCAGATTGCATCCGAAGAAAGTGGAAAAAATAATTGTACAGTGTCCGCGGTGGCATTTGGGATTCGCACGGAATCCGGACATCAGTGTCTCTGCGATATGTTTTCGTTGCTGAAGTTTCAAAATAATGCCCGTAAAAACAGAGACAACTCTGGAAGCGCCATTACCCATGGCAGTTATCAATCAGAAACAACTGTTCAGGATACGAAAGCACAGTCACAGCAAAAGGTTAGTAGGCTTAAAGATGGCAAGCTGAACAGATATTGATGTACTAGAAATCCGATATCTGGACTATTTACGAGTATTTTGAACTCCTGTACCTACACTACAGCAAAATGCCGAATAGGCGGCGGTATACAGTACTGTTGTATGTTGGCCGTCTTTGCAACCCCAGTATTGTTGTTGTTTTTATGCGTGAGCTGCAACCAATAAAAAAATGCAGTTAATGGGCAAAAGCTGTGGGATACGAGCAAATGTTTTGCACCAGGTATCGGTCTGAATAAACCTACGGGTTTTCAGTAGGAACCAGGAACGCTGTCGTTGAAAGCTTAGTGAGCATCTCATCCATAATTGGCAAGTAACAAAAACGTTCGCAAAGAGAAATGTAAAAAAGTTGCTGTTGTCGGACAACACGGCATCGTCGTACAGTGGACTTCAAAAATATGGTTACAATCGGTCTGAGACCGAATGACCAATAAAATTAAACGGCCAAGACCAAATGACTAATAAACATACAGTGAAACTCCTCGTAACACACACCCTTTTATAACGTTCACCCTTTATTATGTGCATACGGCTGGGAACCGGACTGTCCGCATATTATAACACAGGGGCAGTTCTCTTTAAACTTTCACCCCTTTATAAGTATAACGTACACCTATCATGGAACGGAAGACCATATTTAAGGTGCATTCAACCCCTGCGTTACGTACAGCTGGATAAGAACGAGAAACAAAAATTTCAAAGAAAGCTCCTGCTTCTGGTTTTAAGTCTGCCCAATGCCAGATCTTGCGATGCAAAGCAGCGGAACGATAAAAAACAACATTTACACACATAGTTGGGAGCTTAACCTGTCAGTTACGGTACTGTGGCTGTTTACAAATGGACGCGAAAGGTGAGCGTCAGAGTTTCTCTTTGGAGAAAAAGCTCGAAATCATTAACGCCATTAAGTCAGAGAAGCTTGTTATCGCAGTGCTGCTAAAAGGTTTAATCTGTCGGCCACTACCTTTCATGGCTTTTTGCACCAGCAGAATGATCTGGAAGTCGAACGCGAGCATAATCCGGCTGCTACAAACAATTCTATATGTAACTCAACCCTGGGGGATAGGGCGTCATTATTTGCCCCTTGGGGCAGTGCCCGTACTTACGCCCACCCCTTTGTAACGTTCTGGAAGCTAGAGTAGGAACGTAGTAGAGAAGATTCACTGTAAACCGCGCAAAAATTCAACCGCTTGCACCTTGCACATTTCCCAACGAAAACTATCCACAGATATCTCAAACGAGTGAGAAAACATTATCAAGAATTTTGGTACCAAACATGTTGTTGTTTAAGAGATCTAAGAAAAAATCGAGTCACGGCCTCATGCACCTAAAGTTTCTTGTAGACAAAGCATACGATTTCTGCGAGAAAATTGAAACCAAACTGTGGATCAGAATTCTATGCTATGTCCACGAAACATTTAGGTGCTTCGATTTTCTCTTAGATCTCATAAAGAACAACTTGCTTGGTATCGAAATTCTCTTAATTTATTTCTCATTCGTTTGAGATATTGGTGGACAGATTTCGTTGGGAAATGTGCACGATGCGAGTGTTAACATCAGCGGGCCGGTGGTCAGCCCGGAATTTGGCTATCTGAGTACAGACAAGTGCCTATTTGCCCGTTGTGGTTACACAAGACTTGTGTAAGGTCCATCTTTTCGAAGCCCACTGTAGCACGGTGGACTACGAGTTTCCGGTCAAATTTAAGGTAGCAGTGCGGTAGTAAAGGAGTAAACATTTTCTATGTTAGCAGGGGCCCGGGTTTGGTCTGCTTATAACCCTCTTGCAAAACAACGGAGCACCGTATTGTTCTGAGTACGTACACAAGTATTTAAGCCACGACGAGTGCCAATATCTACACACATTTTACTCTTCGGAACCGACCCTGTTGGCGGAAATAGTTAAGGAATTACCGGCTGTCTGCCGCGATAATTTAAGTCATTCTACGTATGGTGTTGGTAAACACATTGGAAATCTTCTCAGCCCTTTCAGCTTTGGGTTGTCATCAAGAGTGGTAGATGCCGCTCATGACAATGAACGGCTGAATGCCCGAGCCCAGGTCAAGAAATGCATGGACCATGTTCTTACAAAACACAGCCAGCCTGGTTCCATCCACCTGGAGCAGGCCGTCAACATAATAAAAGAAGCCGCGGAAATGGATCCAAATAAAGCAGAAATCCGGAAGCTGACGAAGCAGCAACTCGATCGGGTTATCGAGGGTATCGAACCATACATTTACGGATCCAGTACTCCAATGTGCGCCGCCGTTTCATCCGCCTATTCCATCTTAATAAATAGCGATAACAGTCGTGCAGACTGGAAGATGTTGGTAATAATGACTGACGGCTATCCTACCGATGGCGAAATACCAAATGTGCCTACCGGCCTAAAAGTCAATATCGCCACCTGCTTAATAGCAGACGATTTGACGCCAAACCAGTGCAAGGCACTGTATTATAAGGAGGACGAAAGCTGGGGCGATGGAAGGCGAGCATTATTCAGACTCTGCACTAATGTACCCTGCCGGCATCCCGCCATTCAGTTTTTACGGCGACGGAAGTGGAATATTTCAGAAAGGGGGGAAGTTAGGCTATTTGCTCCAGTTAATGATCCAGAAGCTATCGAAGACTTTACAACGGTGGCGCAGTCGTTAGCCAATAGTGGCGATGCGACTGCGAATTTGTTTGCCAGAGTCGCACTGGACGAGTATATCAACAATGAGCTGCAGGTTGCCGCGAATAATCCCCATAAACAGTACGATGCGACTTGCTATGCGTATGCAACAGCCACGGTTTTCCATCTGGTCATGAAGAGGATACAAGGTAAGATAGTTGAGGACGGCGTAAAGCAACCTCTAATACTTCGCAGTATTTATTGTTTATCACAGTCCGGACACATTCACAATACACGCGACCGGATACCAGAGGTACGGTATTCTCCGCGTGGATGTTCGTGGCAAAAATTTTCCAAAAATTTCATTATGTCTTGAAGATTAGTGTTTTTATACAAGCGTGAACACGAGGTTAACAAAAGCATTATTAAGTTTTCGAATAGTGGAACAGTCCGGAACGCGAAAAATTTCGAAGTATGGACTACAACAGTAAAATTTCCCGGTTCAAAGGAAGAAATTCTTTAGTGTCCTCTCAAATGTGTCTGTATAGGAATTTTACAAGAAATGACTTTTACAGGCAGAGACGGTGGCGTGCCAGCTTTCAAGGATCTGTATGGCGAATTTGTTAAAGATTTCGGAACTGATGGGGCGAACACAGAGGAGGTTGTCAAAAAATTTGCAAGCAAATACCGACTTAAATATCGCCAATTAAATATCAAAACCGGGTCTGTTGGGGACGAAAAAGACCAAATCTACGGCTGCGAAGCTAGGCAAGCTTTAAATGCCGGTCGTCCTCTGATTGCGACGTATCGTCTGAGCAAGCAGCAAAGAGAAAAATTCAATCAGTTTTATAAAAACAGCAAACAAGGTGTGCTGACGAAGGAAGACTTGGGGGAAGACGGCAACGCGCCAACAGAAGGTCATGCTGTTGTGCTTATCCATTGTGATCCCGTATGCCTGGTGTTTTTGAATTCCAGAGGGAAAACATTTGCAGACAACGGTCTGTTCCGAGTTGCTGATAATTTTGTATTGAATTGCAAATATTATGAAGTTTATTGGGAGCAGAATGCATTGACCGAATGCGAGAAGGAACAGTTTACACTCTCAGGATACAAAAGAGCTCACGATTTAGCCCGGCAACTCCCTGATTCAATCAAGCGTTTGCATTATCGCTGTCCAAGCTGTTCGCAGCCATCCGCAGCCAATGAATATACCGGCAATTTCGTAGTAGCAACCTGCCCAAAGTGCAAAAAATCCTTTATTCCTGCGCCGATTGGATTTATTGCCGGTTTTTAATTAGGCTTTTTGAGTGTAAAATTTTTCACGCCTTTGATTTCCAGGTGGCACTAACTGTTAAACGGGAATGACATGATTTGCTTATGTACGCTGCCGGTTTATCCGAGAACGAACTAAAATTTCCGGTGGCTTTCTGATGTTAATTATCCACAATAATTAATGTTTTGTCACCGCGCCTGATCTTTCTTCTTTCATTATGCTATCTGAATCTGTATCTGAACTACGCGCTAATCAAGAAGGCACAAACACAAGCCATCATGTGGTTTTGAATGAAAACCAAGCTCAGTAGTTATTTATGTCTGCCCATTCATTTATTGGCACCGCGACATTTCGCCGCGGACAACTAGACGCAGGACTTTCGGTCGCAGACATTTCGCCGCAAGGCCATTTCGCCTCGCGACGTTTCGTCGCAGGACATTTCGTCGGTAGGACTTTACGCCGCGAGACTTTCCGTCGCATGGCCGTTTCGACGCAAGGAAATTTCGCCGCAAGGATATCTCGACGAAGCGACATTTCGACTGTCCGATAAATAATTTACTAAGCTAACTCCAAGAGTCAGAATAGGGAAAAATATAAAACAAAACCAAGCGAACAACCTAAGAAACCTAAGAAACATAAAAAACCTAAGAAACGTCAGAAACCTAAGAAACCTAAAAAACCTAAAAAACCTAAAAAACCTAAAAAACCTAAAAAACCTAAAAAACCTAAAAAACCTAAAAAACCTAAAAAACCTAAAAAACCTAAAAAACCTAAGAAACCTAGGAAACCTAAGAGACCTAAGAGACCTAAGAAACCTAAGAAAATCTAAAACAGCACAAGAAGACCTATGAAAGTCTAAGAAAGACCAAGAAAGCCTAAGAAAAGCTTAGAACAAGCTTTAAAAAACTGAAAAAATTAGTGAGAATTAAGCGCGGTGAATTACATTGCGGCGATTAGTCGCATCGTTCGAATGTCCCAAGACGAATTGTCCGCAACCAGACGTCTTGCGTCGAAATGTCGCAAAGGTAAAATGTCTCAAAGCGTAATGTCCCAAACCGAAGTGTCCCGAAGTCCGAATGTACGGCGGCGAAAAGTCGCGCGTCGAGTTTGAGTGCGGCGAAATATCACACTCCCAATTGTCCGGGTGCGCATTTATTCCTTTTTTATAAATAAAACTTATAAAAGCTATTATTTAGGGACAGTCCACCTTTTCCCATATTGTAATCGATTTATCGGATCTAGGGGTGTATATCATGACATATGACAATTTGTATATGGTGACTCCCAAAGCAAAGCGCTACCTTTAAGCTTGCGAGTAATGGCTGAAAGCGTGCTTAATTACTAACGATCATAGAGTACCTCTATTAGGGCTTCCCAAATTCCCATAGGATACACTAGCGTTGTACCCAATACATTAAAACTGCAGTGATATCCATAAACTACTGTACCCTATATGTAGTCATTGTACCCAACCTGTATCCACTGTATTCTACGTGTGATCACTGTACCGACACTGTATCCACTGTACCCTACGCGTACCCGCTGTACCCACACTTTACCTAATCTGTATCCACCGTATCTGCCTTGTACCCGCTGGACCGACACTGTACCCAATCTGTATCCACTGTACAAGCTTGTCCCGTAATTTCCATCGCATCAGAACAGCGAACAATACAAATTAACGTGTTGCGCGTAAATCCGTACTACGGCGCGCCACGCCACTGTTTAAACACGTAACATGCATTTGGCTGGCTGGTGGCTTGGTACACGCCATATAATTCAATGAGAATAACAGTAACTGCCTGGCGTAAGATGGCTAAGAAACAGTCGGTGTGGTAATGGACAATCTAACTACGGAGCGGATTTAGGCAATCAGATAAGTGTAGACTGACGTGGCCATCGTTTCAAGCGCAAATTTCGCGCTAGCTGTACCTTTACGATGGAAATTACGGGACAAGCTTGTACCCTGCGTGTGACCACTGTACCGACACTGTATCCACTGTACCCTACGTGTACCCGCTGTACCGACACTGTACCTAATCTATATCCACTGTACCCTACGTGTACCACTGTACCCGCTGTACCAACACTGTACCCAATCTGTGCCCACTGTACCCAGTCTGTATCCACTGTACCCTACGTGTGACCACTGCACCGACACTGATAAGCAAAACATTAGTAACGTAATTACAAACGAACCATTAATTCGACACTTACATGTTTGCTGTTTGTTGTCCTAGCTTGGACATTCTCTCTAAAAAAGACTGATTTTGGAAACGACAGAGTGGCGGCGATAATTATTTTTTAAAGGTTAGTTAACGGGACAAACTTTTGGAACAGTGTTTTTTAAAAGTAATTTTTGGACGGTGAAGGTAATCACGGCGGCAGAGGCAAAGTAAAGTGAAAAAGGGCAAACTGAAAAGGCAAAGATAATGGGTGGGCAAAGGCAAACTGCAAAAGCAAAAGGCGGACAAGGGTAAAGTAGGCCGACCCCAATGTTAAGTGTGCATGTTGCAAACCAATGCAACACCACAAAACAAATAAAGCTCCTGTTAGTTCGTGTCTAGAATCAGCATCTTTATTAGCACTATTAGCACAACTTTGATGTTATTAACTTTAAATAAGTAACGTAGACAGATGACCCGGAAGAACGGGTGGATCACAATTATGCGATTCCCGCTGCTTCCACTGGGGCTGTAGCACGTAATCAATGTGCAGCATATTTTTTACCGATAATGTTTCCTCGTAGGCTCGGAGATTGCACAGTCGTGGATTTTCCGTCAAGGCAGGGTCGGCATATTTTTTTCAATCGCAATACATCTACCGTAATCAAACAGAAGACAGTCGCCGTATCAAAGCAGTCCAGGTTTACTTGTACGACGGAGAACCGGTCATTAGAGTGACTATGCGACAGTACGCGAACGGACGATCCTTCTAATCATCTTGCACTGCATTTCAGTCCGCACAACGGGGAAGCTGCCAGACTGCGATTGCCGAATGTTCAACTAAAGTCACTGCCCTAATCTGGAAATTAAAAGGTCAGATAAGGCAGGCAGGCAGTTCCAGGCAGCCTTCGCGATGCATTCCTGGACTTCAGGCAGTTCCTGTAGCAGCTTTCCCGATGCATTTCTTTTTTTCCTTTTCCAGCCCACTTTTCCAATATGGCAGTCACGCCGCCAAAAAGGAAACAACGATATGAAGAATTAGGGGCGCAGTCCATATACGGATGTTAAACCAATGCCTGGGTACTGAGAAGGTTGCACTTTGGCTGCGAAAACACATGGTTTCGGAAATGGTGGACCAATAAGAAGCGATTGCACGAGGCCATGAAAAGGAGAAGTCAAAAAATTGGCGCGAGTTCATGGGAAAAGGAAGAACGCAATAAAACCAATCGATATCTGTCGATTAACTGCGCGCTTGACCCATTTTCGAGTGATGTTCAAGCCGAAGTGTCCAAGCGTCTGATGTCCGGCGGCGAAATGTCTTCGCGGCGAAAAGTCACGCGTCGAGTTTGAGTGCGGCGAAATGTCCCACTCCCAATTGTCCGGGTGCGGTTGCTTCTGTACTGTAGGGTAGATTGCAACTAAGAACGCCTCTCGGGTAACGAAGATTTTGTAAATATGTGAAGAATACGAAATCCATACTGTATGCAAACGCATAGGTGTCCTCGTGTTTGCTAACCCTTTAATATGGCCTTTATCTCTTCTAATTCTAGATATACAGTATATATTCTATATATTATTTGGTTCGATGTTTTAGATGTGCGAAGGCTGCTGAATATCTTAAAATTTGCCACACATTTGCACGGTTGTTTGGATTTTGGCGGACCCTGATCTCGTCTGCGCTCGCGAGAACAACAGTTTCGGTTTATGTACTTCGTTCCGTTTTACTGCCCAAGAGTTCACGCTATGGAGTGTGGGCACATGAACCCACCCTCCAGACTTTCTTTGCTAGTGTGTTTCTGGCCAGCAGTATTCTGCGAAAGTGCCATAAAGATGGGCGCATTAACGAATTTCATGTACACACAGTTTACCAGGTATCCAATTCGTTGCCAGAATGCGGCCGCGACCGGCCCAACTACTGAGAAAAGCATGTCGCTGATGTTGCAATTTGGCACCAGTACAAACAAATAATCCTGTACGCTGTGCAGACACGTTGCATCAGTCCTCGTTTAAGGGTCGGCCAACCGCCTTTGCCGTCCATTTGCCTTTGCCGTTTCAGTTTGCCGTTTTCAACTTTATCTTTACCTTTGCCTTTGCCGTTGGAAAAGCCGTTAGCATTCCAATTTGCCGTTTCAAAACGCCGTCTGTAAAAGCCTTTGCCGTTTGAAAACGAATTACCGTTAGCACATTGCCGTTCCTAAACTGTTTTTGCGGGTTTCCGGTTTCACGGTTTCTCACATTATTCTGCATACGTTATGTACCCTCCGCGAAAGTTTAAAACTCCTGATATTTTTGTTTCTGTATACACGGCAATATTTAAGTTTCAAGATGTGCAGCAGTGATATAACATGATACTGTAACAGTATACCTATACTTCTACAGCATAATCGTTACCTGGGTACAGAAAATAATTAAGTGTAAGTTATCAGCACACCAACAAGGTTATCCACACACTTTGAGTTTACAATAATGTTAGATTGTAAAATCATGTATTTTAGTATTATGCCAACGGCAAAGGCAAAGTTGAAAACGGCAAAGGCAAATGGACGGCAAAGGCGAAGTTGGCCGACCCTCGTTTAACCAAGACGCTTCTCGTACATTGCTTAATCAATCTATTAGAACATCAGATACTGGAGCGCGGCCTATGAAGATCAGATATTGAATGATGACATATCGGAAGTGGTGGACCAACAAGATGGCGCTGCTAAGTGAAGCGGATGTTGTCGACGCCGTTACAACGCTCAAATAAATAGTTGGCAGGATTGTTTCATGTGTAAGCACTTGGAAAATTACCGTAGAAATTTTTATTATTTTGATGGCCAATGCAATCTAGTCATAGGCACTTCTATCGATAAGTACGTATCTGTACAGATAGAAGTTTGACAGCGAATACGCACAATAAACCAGGCAACACAAACTGAGACACAACTACCGTTCGACACCGTTCGACTTTCTTGATATATTTTGTTCGAATTTTTCTTTTTTCAGTAACAGACTTACAAAAGCGGACCAAAATTTCGGAAATATGAAGGAATATAAACATATTTCCGGCTTCTTGCGGTCAACAATGAATCATCTGAAGTGAAACCTGGAGCGGTAAGAAAATGACGCTGTCATGGTGATATCGGCTGCGTTGAAGTCCTAGCGCTTAACTCCACACTTTCAGTTCGTCCACTACTGTTGTTAGCGAATACTACAGGTAGCCAGGGGCGGAGCACTGGACGAACAACTAGTTCCACGAAACGACGCCGATATTGACGTTCGGTCAGCAAATAAAGGTAGAAATTTAACGAATAACCCATGTATGTTACTGTATAGATGATTGGTTGCGCCAGATTATGCACGGTATAATCGGTAACATAAGAAATTGAAAGGTCATACGGTGCCGCTGATACACACAAGTCGAAGAACTTTGGGGACCGCGTAATAAGAAAGAGCATTGCATTGCTGAGGAGAATGATGTTGATCCCGTGCTGAGATACGGATTTACTGGCAGAGGCCGACGCAGCTGCAGCTCTCTGTAAACGGCGCATCTGGCCAAACTTGGATCGTTGGTGGTGCGCCAGGAAGATAATTAGGCCAATAGTGGGAACAAGGATCAGCAAAAAAGTCAGAATGCGCACAGCAATCTGCAGACAACAGCCACATTAAAGTATTCACTGTGCAAACATACCTTTCATGTCAAGATGGGACTTTGCCCATCTTGGACTTTTCCCATCCCCATTTCATCCCCTAGTGTCGCGCACGGCTCCAGCCCAGCCGATCTCCAGCTCGCACTAGTTTGAAGGTTCCATTTCATCCCATTTTTTGAAAAGTTTAATTACCATTAGTTTTTAACTGTCAGAAAAACTAGCTAAGCCGGCAACCGAAATGCGTAAAAAAACGTAAAAGCCCATCCGCTGCTTGTCCCCCATTGGCCATTGGATCTAAAAACTGGAATGGGCTAAAAATTTTCAGCCCAACCAAGAAATGGGCAGAGCCTGGGATGGAACGTTGTACTGTTCCGTTGCAATGCAGTATTGTCTCGCTCACGGATATCGTTACACGCGCCGATGCACAGAGGTGAGAGCACATTAGCAAAAAATAAACGGATATTCCAAAAAGCAAATAAACGGTAAAAACGCTGAAACTTGGATGCAGTAAATTCCTGCAAATAATTTTCAATGATATTTTTCGTTTCTCTACCTTCTGTACTTCAGACTGCATTACTAGCGCCCACACGGCAGTAGTGTTGTGCCGGCCCGGGCCGCAGCCCAGGCCGTGGCCCGCAGTGGACGTGAAATATGCAAACTTACGTAGGAAAAATGAAATAATCTATACTGCATGACGGTTTGGGCCATGGAAACGACGGGCCGGGCCAACCGAACACTACTCGGGTGAAGACTCAGACAGTGGCCCGGCGCCAGAAGTGGCTCAATCTGTACCAAACCTAAAATCGGCTGTCACTGTCGCGCTCCGTGTCTGTCGTGCGACGCAGAACAAGTTTTGAACGAGTTCTACCCGGCGCGGCCCTAAACGGCGCGGCTCCTAAACGGGCCGGGCCGACCTGACATTATCGTTTACTTTGACATACTAACATGACGCACATTTCGTGACGCGTATCCATGATTACTGGTAAAATCTTGTTCGATTTTAATTACAAAAGATGCAGCTGAAAACTTTTACGGTCAAAAGTTAGGACTGAAAAAGGCAAAACATTTTCATTGCAATTTGTAAGGAAAAAAAAATATTGGTACAGAAGCAATCCTTTTTGGTTTTACAGCAGTTAATTTCCTGTTTCCTTCTTTCCTGCAACCTCTGGCTTAATAATGCAGCTGCGGTACATACCTGGGCTCTCGTATTAAAGGAGTTCCAGACCATCGCCCATTCTGGGAAATGTTCAGGTAGGCCCGTACTGGAGTCTTCAGTCAGGGACGATACGCAGCACATTGCCGCCAGATAAACCATGTGAAGCGTCATCGATAGAACGGTGAGAACGACGATTACAAAGCGCGCTACTGAAACCCGCTGCAGAAATCGGAATCGAAAAGGATTCATAATAACGAGCAGCCTTTCCCAAGAAAAAATAACCAGGATCCTGAAGTTATAAACAGTTTGTAAATAGTAGATCTCAATTCCAAAAAACCTACCAATCGGACAAATTCACCGAGGCCTCCATAAACCACGGTAAGAAGATTGCCACACCCGTCGTAACATGGTGCCAGCTCCAGCCCAGCATAAGATCCGACCAAAAGATAATTAAACCGAACCACCTAGCAAACAAAATTACACAAAAGGTGGCAGTTTACCTGGCGGCAGTCTTAACGGGCAGTGCGTGAATTTTTCGTAATGATTTCAGGGCTTGTTATCCAGATTATACAGTACTTATACGTATCCAGATAGCTACTGTCTAGTACCTACACCAGAGCCACAAACCTAGAAAAGATCGACCGAAACCAATATTGTGCATATTATGAGGGCCAGTAGTCGAAAACCCTGCCAGATAATATTCATTTCTTTTAAAATAAGTTCCGTTTCAAACGGCAAAGAAATGGTGAAAAACAGTATAAGATAAGATTTTAAAGAAAAAAGACGACCGTTCTTACGCCAAATTATGTAACACGTCCAGCTATGAAAATGGCTAGCTATGATTTGGACTAGTTGTAAGCTTAAATTTCCATTGTATTATCAGAGAATTTGTAAGAAATAAAGCCCCACTATACATCCGCTAGCGGGATAAGTGCCCAGCCTTCCACCGCTATCCGGTGCACAGGACCGGTAGTTGAGTGAGTGACAGAGCTACGACTAGAGATGCCAACGGTTACAATCGGTTAGAAAATTTTGAATTTCGCCACGACCACATTCAGCGAACAGCGTGAGTACTAACAAGCGCACAGAGCCTGCTGTGTTATTAGGTAACCGAGTCAACCGACATACCACTGCTCTCCTTTGCACAGACCGCGCTAACACAAGCTGAATGAGGCGTCGGCCAACTTCTAGAAATTCTACGTACTCTGTAAGTACGCTTTACGAGACAGAGCAGCTTGTTCTCGGTTAGTACGCACGAGCCGATAATTACCGGACCATATTATGGTCCGAACCGGATGGTGAGAAGCGTTTACGGCGCGCGTTTAGTATGATGTCATAACGCCAATGTGATTGGTTGGTCAGACTACTTTACCTTTGCCCGCTCTTTGCCTTTGCCTTTTCAGTATGCCCTTTCCTACTTTACCTTTGCCTTTACCTTTGCCGGCGATATTACCTTCACCGTCCCGGGTGACCTTTGGAAAACACCGTTTCGAAGCCCATTCCTCATAACGGATTCAATCTGTCACGTGGATGCTTTGTTGCGTATGATGTCAAGTGGTTTGCTCTGGCAGCGGAAAACGAAAAAGAACACGCCCAAATGTTTCGTAACGGACTTTTGTTTTAAAAAGCGGAGGGCCTAGACGTAAGTTCTTGCAGTTACTGAGAGTATTAGTATAATTTTTGTCCGTTATGCAAGTAACGAAGAACTGTCGATGTGCAAATACATCTCAGGTATTTGCGTACCTAATTAATTAACAATAATTGATTAACCCTTTTGTAACTGTTAACACTTACCAACGCGTCCTTAAGGTAAACCACAAATTCGTTTTATTTGAAAATTTTTCCTTACCAGCAGCGATTTTCAGAGAAGTTATTCCTGGGAACACATGAAACATACCACTCTATAGAAAAAAATCGGCTCTATTAAGTACTATTTTTTACAACGGGTAAGTATCATTCTTATGTAATAATTTTGTAAAATTAGTATTGCCAAACGTATTTTTTTAAATTTTTGAAATTCATTTTAAAATTTGAAAAGACTGGTGGAAAGCTAGTTCGGTGCCAAAACAACCTTGATAGTGATGCGCGTTTTCGTGCAAAATTTGAAGAGCATCGGTTCATAATGAGATTTTTGGTACACCTCCGCGCGTTTAAACTTTCGGAATTTTATTTCATTAATAACTCCCTAACCGGATGTTGCGCGCCCAATCGGTTTTTTCGTCTATGTATACGAATCTTTTGGCTATAAAATATCATAAAGCAATGCAAAACTTGTTTGGGAGTGCGCGACAGCGAAAGTTACCGTGGATGTACACGACTTTGGTACTATGTACCGGGCCAAATCCCCTAACGAGACAAGCTTTTGAAACGGTGTCTCCAAAGGTCTCCCGGACGGTGAAGGTAATATGCTGGCAAAGGTTAAGGCAAAGATAAAGTTGAAAAGGGCAAAGTTGAAAGGCGAAGGCAAAGGGGGGGAGGGAAGGTAAAGCAGGCCGACCCGACTAGCAGCAATCAATGGCAAATATTGTTCACACAATCACACCCAGTGGCAACCACACGCTGGTGTGAATTTCATCGGTTTCCACATAATATACTGTATGTAATTAAATATCTCATCACATTTTTTAGTCGCAACTAGTTTGTGTTCACGTGAATTGTTTAAAAGTTTAACAGTTCCCACCCAGTGGTAAAGAATATTTCTTGGCTTCAAACTTACAGTGCCAGAATATCAGCAACGGCTGTGCCGATCATGTAGTGACACGCTGATGTCTTCCACGTGGGAACACTACGAATCAACACCACCAAATTCAATCCATTGCCCACGGTGCACAAAATCAACAAGCAAAAGTACACCGCTCGGCAAGCCAAGTACACATTACGAGGTTCGTCGCCAGTATATCTGACGCGCATTGTGCCCATGTGCGGATCATTGTGCGCATGTTGAGTGTTGATAAGGCTGGCGTTAATATCGTTTACGCTCGCATCCGGCGACCAGTTCGAAATATTAACGATTAAATATGATAGGGACGAAGAATTGGCCGCTGTTAGGCTGTCCATGGCAATTGCGCAAAACTAGTGGCGCGCTTTTTCTTGTCAACTACACTACAGTAATATTATTAGGATTGCAGTGTTGATACAAAAATTAATTCTGGCTCTGCTAGCACCACGAGGAGACGCTCAGTGAAGTCGGAAGCGAGCCGTGTTCCTCAGTGAAAGTGATTATGGCTACTCAAACGAGTCGCAGTACAACCATTGCCGTGCTCTGGTTAAGTGTAAGTGATTAACTGCAAATTGCTTCCACAAACTCAGTAATAGCAATTTCATTAAGGAAAAGCGGCAGATTATCGACTTCACCGAGCGTCTCCTTGTGTGCATCAAAATATGCAGCTAATTTTGACCGACGACGAAAATGGTTAACTCGATATTACAGTAAATATTAAATCTGCCAGTTTTCTGTACTGTTAGACGGTGGATAGGGAGTACGGTCTCGTTTACAATGTACTTTGCACAAATTTACCTTGAAGATCATCAAAGCTGTTTCAACCCTTTGGCTGAATAGCTTAATGTTCTATGGTTATTCACTGTTATTCTCGTCTAAGCTGCATGTATAAACGTTTAAACATTTCGTATTAGCTGCGTAGAGCACTTATGGCTGCACTCGTTAAAGCATAATAATAACCGGAGGATGTAGCCCGCACATTTTGCCAGTGACTGTCGCTTACTCAAAGAAAAGCAGACAATGCAGCTATCTGTACAGCAGACAGTGTACAGTAGCTGAATATTAAGTTCCTCGGAAAATTCTGCATCGCCCAAGGCTTGCTTATACATAGCTTGTGGATTACAGGAAACTATTAATTTTCATTGTGTGCACCCAACAGCCGGACTGTTTCTGTGCTTGTGTGCCTTACACAGCAAAATTTCAAAAAGAACGAATAATAATTTGGGTTTTTTCCACGGCACTTCGTTCGCCCTTCTTATTCCATTTCATTTCGCAATACAATCAGTTTCAAATTAAAAATTTTAATCTGTTTTTACCAATACCGGTTTGGTATTATGATATTGGCCTTTTTTTGGAATAATAATTCATTCGCAATCATATTATATCCATAACCGGTTTGTGCGCACGCGGCACACTTCCTTTTCACGGCAACTTGTACCAATCCATTATCTAAGCATAATTTATGTACCCAAACAACCGTAAAAAAGTGCTTGAGAGTCCAGGGATGTAATTCCGGTGAATGCAGATGAACTGGTACATGCACTTCTCTCTAGCAACATGCCTTGCTTACGGACGGACTGTTCAAATATACCAGCCCACCCACCAAACAACAGACGTGTACTTATAAGTGGTGGCAAAATGAGTCGACGCCGAAATTAACGTAACGCAGTAGCGCGTACAGTAGGGCAGTCAAAGAATACGCACACAGCAACATAAAGGTTATCCGGGTTAAAAATTCCAAGGTTTTCCAGGCATGGTTATCGACGTACGAACCCATATAGGCGTAAATGGCCGGCCAATAAAACTGCCTTTGTATCACTACAGCGGACGGTGTGAACATCATCGCAGTGGTTCAGCGCGCCAAATTATGATCAATGGCTCAAACACATGCTTTTAGCTCAAGTTAATTTTTTGCAGTAGTCGCAACCGTGCCGAAAATGAATGCAATGCAACCGTTAAACTTTCTCCTTGGACGATGGACAGAAAGAATAACATGCCGGGCTGTGGTAACAGGTAAGCATAGCGTTCATTCGATCGCCCAAGGAGACACATCTGGTACTGTTCCTGATGATGCTGTGGCTACTAAACATGGGAAAAATTTAACCTGTATTCGAAGCAGTATTCTTTTTGTGATCCGGGTATATGCTGGAAATTACAGTTTCCACGCGGTGCCGCTATCACTCAGAGGTGCGTTAAGAAAACAGGCTGGAGAAATGAGATTATAGAGATTATGTAGGTAGAAAACGAAAGATACCAGGGCCCAGGAAAAGACGCTATTACTACATTGGAAAAGTGGTTGTAAGAGAAAGGTTTTTCCAGGGTTTCGGTATCCACCGAACCGGCTGAAGTAAACAGAACGAAAGTCGTATTATTTACGAGCGAATGTACCGGCAATGATTAACGACCGTATTTGTCGCATTTTAGGCGGAATCGATAGAACCGCGGTCGCTCGAAAATGCCTATTTGTGCGACATTTTAACCTGCTGCAGTGAAAGCTTCCTGTGGAATTTGCGTGCTGGGGTGGGCACATTCTTCTGAAATACATAACTGGTAGCTTTCGAAAAAAACCAGATTCATATTTCATGGAAATTTGACCCAAAAGAAGTGTCCACCTTATTCCATTCGACACCACCTTATTCCACCTTTCCACCGTGTCCGCTGAGATTTATGAGAAAAACGGGCAACGAACACCTACATCGGGCACCTTTTGCTTAGAATATTATGTAAAGGTCAAGAAACCAAATCCACGGCTGCGCAGCCGCTGAGTCAGGTTGGACTTGCGGTTAATAACAAGACGCCTTGATGACAGTAGCTATCGGTTGAGGTTTCACTTGTTTAAGAATACTGTATTTCGATGGCATTCAGAGAACCTTAAGTACTTTCTTGAATTAACATTATTTTGAGCCCCTGTACAGTGTACACCGAACTGCTGTAGTATTCGAATTGTACATTGATACCAAGGTACTGTACTATCAGAGGAAGCGAAACGACCAGCTGCAAACGTGTTACGTGAATGAATTGGGAGTAAATCAGTGCACATGGTTTCGGCAGTGGTGGAGCAAGTACGAGTAATTAGAACCTACGGCAATAAGCTGACGATGGCGGAATGTGTATGGTCGGTCTTGGAATCCAACGATCCACGGAAAAAAGCGACTTTCGATCGGTTTATTGTGCAGCCCATCCGTTCCCAATGGAAGCAGTAATGAATTTCGGCCCGCGCTTAGGGGCTGGGTTGACTTTGAGACTGACTATAGGTTGTTTTATCTTTTTTCTTATTCTTTTGCTGTTCCTATGTTTTCATATTCGACCGGAGCGCAGCGAAGGTCCTCTAATTCAAACAAAATTGAAAAGGTGCTGTCTGTCTGTCTGTCCGTTACGGAAGTAAGAAATGATGTCATACAGGGAAGTAAATGTCGTCATATAAGGAAGTAAAGAAAATTATGCCATATAAGGGAGCCGGAAATGACGTCATATAAGGAAGTATAAATGATTTCCAGAAAAAGGTCACATCAAAGGCTCATAGGAGCACCAGCCGTTGTCAGGTCACCGTAAAATTTGGGATTTGCAACAAACATTTCTCTATTTTTTTGCTATTGTGTGCACACAATCAATGTGGCAGCTCTGCAAGCGCAGAATCGGTAAGAGCAAAGGAAAGCGTAGTACAAAAAAGGCTCTTCGGCCCTTCAAGAACAATTTTTGAAAAACAATTTCTAAAATCAATAACAACTTGGAAATACTCCTTATTTAAGAAAATTTTAATCTTTGATCAGACTAAAGAAAAAACATTTTCAAAAAGAGCAGTAAAGAGTGTTTTGTGATAAATGTTTGCGCGTCTTGCTTAAAATACAGTAAATAAATGTACTTCCGGTGTCGAAAAGTGTTTTCTTTCAAGATAGGGTGCATTTTGTCAAAACAACGTTCCACAAAACTTTAGCCATTTGAGATAAACACAGTACTTGAATATGATGCTTCAAAAATCTGCTTCGATTGTTATTACAGTGAAACCTGTCTTTTACATACACCGGTAAATACATACACCTGAAAATTACATACGCGGAAAGTTTAACCGGCGCGTCCCATAAACTGTAACACAGCTCTGTGTAATACATACACCTGGACAGTACATACGGTTTTGCTTTAACCGAAGGTGTATTTAGTAAACAGGTTTCACTGTACTGTACTTCCGCAAAATAACGACTTTCAACTATCAACCTTTACACTTTAAAATAACTTAATCGAGTTCAAACTTCGAAACATGTACGGAGTAAAAATATCATTGTAGTAAAAATATCATTGTAGTAAAAATATCATTGTGCTACCGCAAATGCGTTCCGCAAAACACGTTCCACAAAACTTTAGCCATTTGAGCTAAACACAGTACTTGAATATGATGCTTCAAAAATCTGCTTCGATTGTTATTACTTCCGCAAAATAACGACTTTCAACTATCAACCTTTACACTTTAAAATAACTTATTCGAGTTCAAACTTCGAAACATGTACAGAGTAAAAATATCATTGTAGTAAAAATATCATTGTAGTAAAAATATCATTGTGCTACCGCAAATGCGTAGTGATGATGCAGCACCGCATTGTGGCAGCGAAAATAGTTCAAATCGGCATAATCTCTTCTTTGGGAGTTTTGAAGAGGTCAAAAATTGACCTAAAATGAGCTTTTCTTTGAATTTCCTTCAGTGAAGTCACATTCTAAAAGAGTTACTGTTTCATGGTGACAAGAGCGGAAAATGAAGATGTCAGGCCGGCAGCTGTTTTCTTTGTAAAGAGGGGAAACATTATTGCTGGTCGCACGTCTATGTCGAAGTGTGTTCAACATTTGTACACAATGAAAGGGTTTAATTTTGCTTGAGCAAGCACCAGTTAGAAATCCCTTGAAAAATCAAGTTTTGAGATTTGGCATGTGGGATCATTTGGAAGCATTTCTGAAGCTGTAGAGACATTACTAAAGTTTTGATTCACTATGAGAACACTTTCATCAACAGACGGATGTTTTTCAAAAACAACTGAATAGGATAAAAAAAGCAGTTGCAACACTTATTTAAGCGACTAAGCTGCGCTCCGGTCTGCCAATGCACGCCAAAGTGCATTTTTCTAGTTTATTCTTATTACTTATGTTCTTTCTTATGTTTTTCTTTTGAAGATCTTTTGATAAACATAAGAAAACATAAGAACGTAAGAAATATGTAACATAAAAAATAATATCAGAATAGCATGAAGAATATCATGAGATTGACATAAGAAAACCAAATACATACATAGTAAGACAAGTTGAATAAAATTTCGCACTCAGATTCAGACTTTCAGTAGCTCGCCTCAGACCTAGACAAAGCCCCTTAGCGCGCGCCCTGAATTACTCGTACATGCAGAGTATGATTGTATTGAATTTGATGTATGGTATTAGAAAACACAGGTCATCACATGTCGCAAAACCGGCTGCGTTTTCAAACCTTTTGCCAGCCGACTTTTACCGCCTCTAAACGATCGTTGGCCACGCACGTTATATGCACCTCCATGCTTCTTGACTTATGCAATAACATATCGGCGCTTTATTCTCTACATTTGGCGAGTTGTGTGGACGGCATTTGTCAACTTAGCAGCCACTTTAGACGCTGCTAAACCTAAGCGGTTTTGATGGCGCTGAAGAACCAATAACAAGTATGGAAAAACGAGGTTTGGCCTCTCCCATCTTCGTCACGATTCGACTGTTATCATTACGCGGTCTTTGTGTGCACAGTGCAAGTA